ATAAAAGGCTGAGTCACATTTCCAGTGAACGAGTAAAACGATTAGTAAAAGATGGAATTCTTTCAGATATTAATGTTACCAATCATGAAGTATGTGTGGATTGTATTAAAGGAAAACAAACAAAACACTCAAAGAAAGGAGCCATAAGAAGTACACAACTTCTTGAAATAATACATAAAGATATTTGTGGACCTTTTGACATTCCAAGTTTTGGTGGTGAAAAATATTTCATCACTTTTATCGATGATTTCTCACGATATTGTTATCTCTATTTATTGCATGACAAATCTCAGTCGGTGGAAGTTGTCCAAACTTTCATAACTGAAGTTAAAAGACAATTAGATAGAAAGGTAAAAATCATAAGGTCAGATAGAGGTGGTGAATATTATGGAAGGTATGATGAAACAGGACAACATCCTGGACCTTTTGCACGACTTCTACAAAAACTTGGAATTGTAGCCCAATACACAATGCCTGGTTCCCCATGGCAAAATGGTGTGGCTGAAAGGCGAAATCGTACATATATGGAAATGGTTAGATCAATGATGAGTCATGCTGACTTACCAAAATCATTGTGGACATATGCCTTACGCACAGCTGTTTACATTTTAAATCGGGTTCTTAGTAAGGCAGTTCCAAAGACTCCTTTTGAACTGTGGAAAGGTTGGAAACCTAGTTTAAAACATCTTCAAGTTTGGGGATGTCCAGCTGAGGCACGAATTTATAACCCACATGAAAAGAAATTGGACTTCAGAATGATTAGTGGCTATTTTATTGGCTACCCAGAGAAGTCCAAAGGATATATTATCTATTGTCCTAACCATAGTACGAGAATAGTTGAAACCAGAAATGTTAGATTCTATGAGAATGGCAAAACTAGTGGGAGTGAAAAAATACAAGATGTGAACATTCAGGAAGTAAGGGTACCGATCACTTTATCTTTACCCCTAATTCCAAATATAGTTGAGAATGTTCCAGTTGTCGAACAATTAGACACCATGGAACACTCAACTAATGATTCACAATCCCATAATGAGATTCTAGCCAATAATGATCATATGGGTAAAGCACCTGAGGAACCAGAATTAAGGAGATCAACTCGTAAGAGGAGATCGTCTATTTCTGAGGATTATTGGCTTTACCATGTGGAATCTGATATTGGAATTCTTAAAGACCCGATTTCATACAAACAAGCCATTAACGATATTAATTCCGATAGTTGGAACAATGCCATGAAGGATGAAATGAAATCTATGGTAAAAAATGAAGTTTGGGATGTCGTTCCTTTGCCTCCAGGACACAAGGTGGTCGAAAATAAATGGGTTTATAAGACCAAATATGACCAAAATGGTAGTATTGAACGGCGTAAAGCTAGACTTGTAGCCAAAGGTTTTAATCAGAAAGAAGGTATTGACTATACAGAGACTTTTTCCCCTGTGTCCAGAAAAGAGTCTTTGAGAATTATTTTGGCACTCGTAGCACATTATGATCTTGAGTTACATCAAATGGATGTTAAACCCGCCTTTCTTAATGGAGACTTGGACGAAGAAGTCTATATGCGTCAACCTGAAGGATTCGTAATTGAAGGTAAGGAAGACATGGTCTGCAAACTTAAGAAATCAATATATGGACTAAAACAAGCTTCTAGACAATGGTATCTCAAATTTGATGAAACTATTAAGAAATTTGGTTTCAAAGAAAATATTGTTGATCCATGTATATACCTCAAGGTTAGTGGGAGTAAGTTCATATTTTTTATACTGTATGTTGATGATATCTTATTAGCCAGTAGCGATCTTGGCCTTCTACATGAGACCAAGAGCTACCTGTCTAAGAACTTTGACATGAAAGATATGGGTGAAGCATCCTATGTGATAGGAATAGAATTATTCCGTGATAGATCACTCGGAATTTTAGGGATGTCTCAGAAAGCATATATTGATAAGGTTCTAGAAAGGTATGGCATGATGACTTGTTCTTCTAGTGTTGTTCCCTTGAACAAAGGAGATAGACTTGATCTTGACTAATGTCCTAAAAATGATTTGGAACGTAAGGAAATGGAAAACTATCCTTATGCCTCACTGGTCGGGAGTTTGATGTATGCACAAGTTTGCACTAGGCCAGACATTAGTCATGCAGTAGGCATGTTGGGAAGGTTTCAAAGCAATCCAGGACTCGCTCATTGGAGAGCTGCAAAGAAAGTATTGAGATATTTGAAGGGAACAAGAAATTACATGCTCACATATAAGAAGTCAACACATCTACAGATGGTTGGATTTTCTGATTCAGATTTTGGTGGATGTCCCGACACTAGACATTGCACTCTTGGTTACGTTTATACCTTAGCTGAAGGTGCAATATCATGGAAAAGCCAAAAATCTGAGATGATCTACACATCCACTATGGAAGCTGAATATGTAGCATGTTATGAGGCTGCAAATCAAGGTTCTTGGTTGCGAAATTTTATGTCACAATTTGGGCCTTTGAGTTTTATCTCCAAGCCTCTAACTATATATTGTGATAATAAGGCTGTCATTCAATTTTCTAAGCATGATAGGATATCTAAGGGATCAAAACACATGGACCTTAAATATCTATCATTGAAACAGGATGTTAGGCAAGGAAAATTTGTCATTGAGCATTTAGGCACTGATGAAATGGTCGCGGATATGTTTACTAAAGGACTCCCTCCAAAGTCTTTTCAGAAACATACTAATAGTATGTGTCTTGAGGATAGTTTCCAGTAAATTTCCGTTGTATGTTTTGACTATAATTGAAATTTCCTTTTGCCATAGAGCTCATAGATGGAACTATACATCTTGTCTATTCTGTTCTCCATTGTGTACACATATTGTTATGGATGTATGATACAGAATTCGTCTTTGCAAAGACATCATGAGACCATTATGAAAACTCTTAATAACGGTCTGGTTGTGATAGTTGTTGATGTCGTGGTACATGGAAGGAATTAAGGTTGTTAACTTATGAACGCCATGACTCTCATTACCAACTAGATCAATTAAGACACTTATGATAACCAACTAAAGATAACAAACTTAACAACTTATGCGCGCCTTATGATTTCCTATAAGCAACAACACGGGTATTCATAACGATCAAGTGGGAGACTGTAAGATAACTTTTAGTGCAAGAGAGTTATCTCATCCTTAATATGATCTATTATGAAACCCATGAGTTATGAAAGGAATAGGAGTGTTACATTTGATTCAATTGGTTATAAGAATAAGGAGTTATCAAAGATTAATAACTCCAAAGAGTTATGTTCCTATTGTAACTCTTCCATGATGGATGGTTGAGATGAAGTGTAAAGATAAAACTTAATAGGAATTTTGGTCCTCTCTCCACCTATAAATTGTATGCTTTGGACCATCACAAGAGATATCATAAGAAACACATATATCAAGTGACTTATAGGCTAGGAGAGAGAATCCCAAAATTCAACATTGCTACTTCTTCATAAGCTCTCTCTCAATCACCATGGAAGGAGGTATATTCTTCTAATCTCTTTTCTATTTCATGTGATTATCATGTTGTTTTATCGATCTTAGGGTTTCATGTAAATTCAAGGTTTACATGCTACTCATACCCTCGCTCATTCATCAACTTAATAAATAACATATATTTCAAGTAATATTATTTTCATACGTTTTTATTTATTGAATTATTTCATGAAAACAAATCTTTGCTCCATGAAAATTACTACTTTGTTGTTAGACATGTCTGCGATCTGAGAATAATTTGGGAAGTCCGTACACAACACATTTCCAACTAACTATTAGTGACAGTGTAACATCATGTCCTATATATTTCAAATCAAGCAACTTCATATTCATTACCAACAGTGTGGTAAAAAAGAATGCTCTCTATTGGAAAAAACTTAAAGGACATAATAAATTCTATGAGACATTTTATTTCATCCTAAAGGTTGATTATATATGTATTATGAGAAGCAACTCTAATATTCAACTATATGGTTTAATTAAGTATTGAATGACAATTAGTTATATATATTTTTTCATTCAATGTGATGCTTATATTATTTTTTTTCTCTTTTCACGGAGATCTAAAGTCTAAACATATTATGCATAGTTCGATTCTTTCAAAAATATTATGTGCATAACTAAGGTAGAAAATAATCATTTCATGTATTTCAAATCATCTATTATATCCATTATTATATATCATATTCTCGACAAAAATTTTCCGACCAACGGGCCCTCTGCTAGTATTTGTATACCTTAAAAAAAGTTAGATAAAGATCCCCTGAGCGCTAGGGATGGCAACAAAACCCGAACCCACGGGTACCCACCCGACCCAACCCGGTCAACGCGGGTAAAATCCGTGTTGACGGGTTTTGGGCCGGGTTTGGGTTTAAACCCGTTCACTATTCACCGGGTTGGGTTTGGGTTTAGGTAAACCCGACCCATGGGTATCCGCCCACACTCATATAATTAATTTTCTTGGTATATTCAATATTCTAAACAACTAATCTTATTTATGTTTGTGGAGACGTCTATTTTTTCTTTCTAATTGTGTAGAATGAAGTTGATGTTATCGAGTGGAGTGAAGAAACTTAATTGAAAGGAAGAAGCCTTCAATTAATTATGTTATTTATAGATAATTTATGATTTACTTCAATTTTCTTGAGTTTTCTAGATTGGTGTTAAACAATTTGTATAGTTAATTTGTGATTTGCTTGATTTTCTACAATGGTGTTTTAAATATGAATAATTTGTATTAACAGATTGATATTTGACTTTAATTTTGATAGAAATTTGTTATTGTAAATTTTTTACGACAAAAACTCGTGTGTACCCATGAACCCGCGAATACCCAGCGGATTGGGTTGGGTTTGAGTTTTTCAAACCCAGTAAGTTTTACCCCAGATTTTTTTCACGGATAAAACCATAAGTTTGGATTTGAGTTTGGCAAAACCCGACCCCACCCGACCCATTGCCATCCCTAGTGAGCGCTGCCATTATTAAGCAGACAATAACTGTACGCTTCTCTTGGCAAGCTCAGTAACCAGAGACTTCAAATGGCTCTTCCAATTTTCAAACCCGATCTCCTCCATCTCTTCTCCATCTCCCTCTTTCTGTTCACCTCCGTTTCAATCTCTCACAGCCACTCCAACGATGTACGCCTCTGTTCTCTTCATGCTGTTTGGTTCCCCTCAATCGTCGTTGACTTCCCGCAAGTTCGAAGCGATTACTCGTTTCACCGGTCAGAATGTGATTTAATTCAATTCCCCGCTTCTTGTCTCTGATTTCCGTAGTTCTGCGAGGCTGGAGCTCTGTACGGCGCAGCCGGATGTGGAATTTCGCCGCCGTTGTCGTCGGCGAAGCTGCTGATCAAGGGAGGAACGGTCGTCAATGCTCATCATCAAGAGGTTGCCGATGTTTATGTGGAGGATGGAGTTATTGTTACCGTCCGGCCGAATCTCAAGGTTGGTCTTTTGCTGTCTTTGAAATTTCCTCGTCTGCTTCGTTTCTGTGTTCTTCTAGTGTCGATGCTGTCTAATTTTCGTTGTTTCGTATCTCTATTTGTGCCCTTGATGTGGTTACTATTGCAGGTTGGGGATGATGTGCAAGTATTGGATGCCACAGGGAAACTCGTCATGCCAGGTTCGGCTACTTAAGCACTGCTGTATATTCTGCTCTATGGGGAATTCTATTAATGAATATTTTCAGTTTGCTGCTAACTGCATCCATATCACTACCAGAATGTTGAATGCTATTTTGGGCACTTTTCGTGCTCATTTGGGCACTGTTAGTTGGTGGATTATATCCTATTTTGTCAGGGAAACTTAATCCTGTTAATTTGCAGGGGGAATTGATCCTCACACGCACTTAGCTATGGAGTTCATGGGTACCGAGACGATTGATGACTTTTTCAGCGGCCAAGCTGCAGCATTAGCAGGTGGAACCACCATGCATATTGACTTTGTTATACCAGTCAATGGCAGCTTAACGGCTGGTATTGAAGCTTATGAGAGGAAGGCACAGAAGTCTTGCATGGACTATGGTTTCCACATGGCGATTACCAAGTGGGATGAAGATGTTTCCAGGGACATGGAAATTATGGTGAAAGAGAAAGGTTTGTTGTGTGGTTAAATTTGGTTCGATTAGTCAATGCTGGAAATTTAGCGTGCTTATGAGTATGGTAAAATATGCTTTGCACTTTTCGGGATTTGCAGGGATCAACTCTTTCAAGTTTTTCCTAGCTTACAAGGGGTCCCTAATGATTAGTGATGAACTGTTATTGGACGGATTGAAGCGGTGCAAGTCTCTTGGTGCATTGGCAATGGTTCATGCTGAAAATGGAGATGCTGTATTTGAAGGACAGAATAGGATGATAGAGCTCGGTATCACTGGTCCTGAGGGACATGCTCTTTCCAGACCTCCAGTGGTATGCCTACCACACCCTCTATACCTTCACTGATTCGCACTTCATACTATTTTCGTTCTTATCTTTATTTCTCTTTGGTACAATTGCTGGTCCCCGATTTTAATATTATGATGCTTGGATAGTTGATCCTTTGAAGTGAGTCTATAGTTTAGTAATTTTGATTTGGTGTTTTCCGTTAAATAACATGATCTTGTTTATCATCATTCCTTGGAGAGCAAATTCACTGGTTTACGGAAGTAGCTTTATACAGTAAATTTTTTGCAGTGAGATGCCATAGTCGGATAACTTCTGCTTGTTGTTTTTGCTTGTGTTATCTCCTTGGATTCTAAATTTACTCTTTGTTTTGGCACATGCAGTTGGAAGCAGAGGCAACTGCCCGAGCAATTCGTTTAGCAAGTTTCGTGAACACGCCACTTTATGTTGTTCATGTGATGAGCATTGATGCAATGGAAGAAATAGCTAAAGCCCGTAAATCAGGTTGGTTTAACCTGTCTCAAACCTTTTGTTCCTTATTTTTTTTCTTCTTCAAAGTTGTTGCAAGTGCAAACAACAATTTTCCTTGTTGTTTGTTCAAATTAAGTGTATGTTGGTTTTGAAACATGGTATGAGAGTGAAAAGTGCCTGCGAAATGAATCTTTCCAGGGAAAAGGAAGTCTTTCAATTGGGCGACAGAGATAACATGTATTTAGATTCTTTAGCTGGAAAACTTGTAATGGCTAAAAACCCAATTCAAATATGGGGTGTCCAATTGATGTTCTATTTGTAAAGAAATAGTATTGTGTTCTAGTGAACGTAGTTCTGATGAAAAAGCCCATGTATCATCAATATCCTATGTCCTGTGCCATTTGCATATCCTCTCCTTTTGTGAATGCGATATACTGATTAATAAGGTTATTTATTTGCATTTTGGTCTCGAATTCATAAATACTATGTTCTTTGATGTTATCTTCAAGTCACCTGGTTCTACATTATACAACATATAGAGATCCAATTTAGTTGCATAGCTTCTGATGGCATTTGAGTAAGTTTTACTGTTGTAAATGGAAACTTGATTTTTCTTTCAAAAAGTGCAGGGCAGAAAGTTGTTGGGGAGCCCGTGGTTTCTGGACTAGTCCTGGATGACTCAAAGCTTTGGGATCCAGATTTCAGCATTGCCTCAAAGCAAGAACTAGCACTTTACATATATTGTTGTTGTTTCTTCTTTTGTATTTTTGCTATTTTGTCATGGGAAGTTTGTATGTTTGATGAGCTAATACTGTGGTGGTTTCGTGTATCAGATATGTCATGAGCCCTCCCATTAGGGCACTTGGACATGCAAAGGCCCTGCAAGCTGCACTTTCAACCGGGATTCTTCAGGTATATCCAGCTTATATCTTGGGAAAAGGTGGTTGCTTAGGAAATTGTATGTCTCCATACAATTGTGAAAGCTTATCACATACTCACCAACAAATTTTAGTGACCATCAAACTCTTAACTATTATTGATCTTGCAGCTTGTTGGAACGGATCATTGCGCATTTAACTCTACTCAGAAAGCTTTTGGAATTGATGATTTCCGCAAAATACCAAATGGTGTTAATGGTGAGAGTTGGCCCTTTCCTTTCTATATCAGCAAACTCCATCAAATTTAGTTCTTTATTTCTGCTGAACATGACAATCGAGAACTGGCAATATAGGTATTGAGGAGAGAATGCATTTGGTGTGGGATACAATGGTGGTAAGCTACATGATTGCATCTTTGACTTTGTGACTGAGATGCCTTGATTTATAACTAATATCCTAAAGTGCCACTATTTTGTTTTCAGGAAACTGGGCAAATGTCAGTTACTGACTATGTCAGAGTAACAAGCACTGAATGGTATGATCTCATTTGATCTGTCTAGAATTTTCCATTGAGTTTTGGGGAACTATGTAGAGAATATAAAGTTAGCTATTCCATCCATGTTGCACCATTGTACCAAATATAAAATTGTTTGACCGCTATGGACTTCGCGCAGTGCCAGGATCTTCAACATATATCCAAGAAAAGGAGCAATTCTAGCTGGTTCTGATGCCGACATAATTATTTTCAATCCAAATAGCAGTGTTGGGATAAGCGCTAGGTCTCACCATTCCAGAACAGATACCAATGTCTACGAGGGCAGGAGGGGCAAGGTAATTCAACGGAAGATGCTTTGCCATGATGTTAGAGAAGCACCATGCTTGATCCAGGCAATGAACCATAAAATATTAATATATGAAAATTAACCTGTAGCCAAGGTTCTTCCAACTTCCTATTATAGTGATCGATGCCATATCATGCAGAAAACAACACTATATTGCTTTTGATTCATTATTGGCGCATGTCTAGAATGAGGGTAAAATAGCCCTAAGGATATGGCCCCATTCTCTTTACAGGTTCAATTTCATCAGTGCATGTATAATATGCACACATCCTTGCAAGAGGTGCAACCACTCTAATCAGTTTTACCATTATACTCATTTTGCCTTTGATTTCATTAATCATTATTAATGACACTGTCCCTAGACTCTATAATGAGAAATCCTATGCTATAGGGTCAACGCATGCATTTAAGACACTGCACTCATTGTCTCTATCCACATGTTAGATGAAAGTATTGTCTTGACATGTTCATCCTATGGTGTCCTCAGGGAAAGGTTGAAGTGACAATTGCTGGAGGAAGAGTAGTTTGGATAAATGATGAACTCAAGGTATCCCCTGGTTCTGGGAAGTACGTAGAAATGCCTCCTTTCAACTATCTTTTCAGCGGAGTTGACAAAGCAGATGATTCATATCTAGCTTCACTTAACGCACCCGTAAAGCGTTCCAAATCCGTAAGTTAAATATTTTTATGTAGGTCTTCTATACTTGTAGTTGTGCTCAGAAACTGCATACTAGTATCTGAACTTCCACTATATACGAATAACGTAAATTGGGTGGGTGTATCTAGCATCAATAGATCTTTGTTCTCTGTACAAAGGTTCGATCTCCTTTTGATATGTCTTGCTTCAGATCTTCCTTGTTGAAATTTTCAACAAGGAGAAGACAAATTACTATAGAAGTAAGATTTATATTACACGAGGACCTTACATTGTATATACAAGGAAGAATCTGGTCTGGAAATCTGCCAATCCGGAGAGACCCGCATTAGTTCGGTTGATTCTGATTGCTTGTCCTGGAATCTACCATTTTCATGGCCTTATACAACAATTAATGTAGGTCAATATAGTCCTCCTCTTCTGCACGACAATGAGTATTGCAGGGATTAGGAGAACTGGGTCTTCATATTTTCTTTCATATGGATGATGAATGATGATGCATAACATTTATGTAAATTTTGTGGAGGTTCGGGTACAAAAATGCAAGGGACATAACTTTCAGGTGCTAAATTATAATGGTTTAGAAACCCATCAACTCATATTTTAGTACCTGAACCTATAGATCGTCTCCTATAGATCGTCTCCTATAGATCGACGATATATATGAGATGATTCATATGGATCCCTAAGATATAGAACATGGAGCTCATCGTATCAGGGCTCTAGTACAGATTGGCCAAGGGGGATCCATCCAGGAAACATGCATGATGCTATAGAACACAATAGAAATGTGGTAAGGCTATGGGTATGCAGAAGACGTGAAGAGACTACTACTCACCACGGACTCATCGGTAGGGTGACGATGGTGTTCATGTAGACGAGGTGTAGGGGTGAGGTCAATGGACTCGTCTCCCAAGTCTCCCAAGCTGGAATTGTGCCTGAGATCACCCTTCATCATCTTCCTCTTGGCCCGAGCTTCCGAGAAGATGGTTGTGTACGTAGAACGGCTTGGACTAGCGCCCCCTTTCGATTCCCACTCTCCGAATTGAGGAACGGCCTTCCACCCATTATTGCCCTGTCATGCCATCCAGAGGTCAGTGATTCTCACCCCCACTAAGTAAATCACGAATGATATTGAACATTGCATGCATGCATGAACAACTTGGTTCTGGTTAATTGATAGGATCCCCCCTTGGTCATCAGTACACATATATCAACATTAGCAAGTTCGAGGAATACAGTATGCTAATCGTATTCGTCAGTCAGTTTAGAATGAATGATCGAATCGCAGAAGAATTGCAGGCATTGTTAGGAACTAGGAATGCAGTCGCGAGAGGGGGATCAAACGTTGGAATGGTTTCTTAATGGTGCATTGGGGCGTCTTTAAGTTTTTTACCTGGTCCTGCATGGGAAATTAGAATTACAGATCTAAAAAGAAGCCAAGGGTAGAGGTGTTTATATATTTCTCCTTTCTGAAGGGTTCTTGAGTTTTATGTGTATTTTCCCCCCTTACATATCGCGTACTGAGAATGATACAGCATATTTTTGGTTCTTGCTATTGTTGGTAAATGATGAGAAATTACTGGCGGTTAAAATCAAACAGTTTTCTGCCTCCTTTCCTTTCATTTTTTCTGTTCTTGTTCCATTTTGTACCAGTACTCCAAAACCAACCTTTTTTTTCTTCTTTCCCTCTCTTTTTGGCAGATGGTTCTGTGGACTTGATCATGGCATCATCCTGTGCCTCTCTCTCTCGGCAATATTTTGGATTGCTGCTAAATTTGGTGAAAGGCACAATTTAAGCTTATAAGACATCCATGAATGGGCTTTTCCCATGCATGAACGAGAGATCAAATCAATCGATAGTCCAGGCGATCATAGCAACTCGTCATGGTGTTGTTATCGTCATCAGAAGCAACATCCGCACAGCTTCCTGAACACATGGTGGAAGCTGTTTTGGTGAAACTACCGGTTCGAACTTTGCTCCGTCTCAAGCTCCTGTCCAGGAGCTTCAAGGCTCTCATCGAAAACCCTAGATTCGTAACCGCTCATATAAACTCATCGTCGCATGTTCACCGCCCTATCGCCCTCCTCACTGGAAACTACAGCACAGATGACACAATACTCATTGGCAAGATGCTGACATTGAGCAGGCAACACGATGTTCAAGATTGGATTCATCGCAAGGAAGAACAACTGCCGACATTTGCATCCGATGAAGATGATGATGAAGGCGACATGTTCCATTACGTAGAACTCTTGGGCTCTCACAACGGTTTGATCTGCCTTCGTCTTCATTATGACCACCACAGGAAGAATAAGTTGGTGTTGTGGAACCCTGCAACTAAGCAATACCGAACCCTCCCGCCCCCTCCCTCAGCATCACCATCACTCGACTACTCATCGAAATTTCGTAGGGTGGTTGAGTTAGGGTTTGCATACAATCACGCAACGAACGACTACATGGTGTCTCAAATCGCCAGCCTCGTGGACGATGATTGGCCCCATCATCTGTCTTATCAACTCGAGATTTTCAGCATGAAACGTTGGGGATGGCGAACACACACATATCGACGTGAATTAGCCAGTAACATACCGAAAGGAAGCATGTCAAGTCAAGGCCTGCACAACCCAGTGGCGTTGAGAGGATCGATTTACCAAGTGGTCTCGCTGCGTGTCGCGAGAGCCGAAGCTTGTTGCTGGTTCGTTCTTGCGGTGGACTTCACCGATACGCTCAGTAGTAACGATATCGTGTTTAGAAGAATTGAGCTTCCACCACTCCATGAGGATGGTTGGGTGTCTAGCCTTGTAGTGTATGGCGAAGGAGACGATCAGCTGGGGTTGTTTAGTAACATTGACGGCGAAGAGGACGAGTTACCGTGTTTCAAATGCAACGTATGGGTACTCAGCAACGATTCCGTGTGGACTAAATCGTTCACCATATCGATCGTGTATCCTGCTTCGGTTGTTGAACCTGTGGCAAGTTGGTGTGATGGCAAGATTATAGTTAGAAGAACTACGGAAAGGAAAGAAGAAGAAGAGGAGGAAGAAGATGGCGAAATAGGAAGTCACGCCACTGGTAACACCCTCTTCATATATGATCATCACTCCATTACCAAAGGTGGTGATCCTATGAGTGATGAGTTGGTTGGGATTAGTGACTTCATTTCTGATGTTTGTGCTTACGTGGAGAGTTTAGTTTCTCTTCACCCTAGCTAGTTAGTTAATCTTGTTATCTCTGCACAAATATATTAACCCTATAATATATTATAATGCGAAACTGTTAGTGGTCCCCTCTATAGGAGGTGTTGTATAAAATGATAGATAACACTTTTTTTTTACTCTATTCAACAAAAAAAAACTATGTGTTACATATGAATATCATATGACTGAAGAGCACTTCTACAGTTCTACTATGTTTTAAAGCATTGGTGCTTTAATGTGCAACTTGAAGTTGTACCATAACATTAAAAATTGCACCATAAAGAGATTTGTACTTTTAAGTTACGGTACAACTTGAAGTTATACCGTAACATAAAAATACAAATTCAGATTGTACCATAAAATGGATTTGTACAAAAGAGTATATGTACAATTTAAAATTGTATCATAATGTAACAGTACAACTTCAAGTTGTACAAATTGTATCATCAAGACATCAAGACAAAAAACTATAACACTAATGCTTTAAAGCATAGTGAAGGTTTGCAAGAATTTATTGTGTGGATATGAATCTATCTAATTGAGAATGAGAGAACTTGTATTAGTATCTTAATTTCAATTCAAACATGAGTTTTTTCGCTCACTATTAAGTATTAACCCAAATATGTAGTAATCAGGCCCAGAAAGCCCAACTAATGATCTCATTTGTTGTGGGCCCATATCGTCACTTAACTAACTCTTTACAAATAGATGATATTACCGTAATTCCGTAGAGAGTTAATATTCGTCGCCCTAAATTTTTAAATTTTGTCGCCCTAAACCATACAAATTTACAAAACAACCCTTCATTTAATTTTATGGTTCAACCACCAAAGTTAATGCTCCAACCATCTAACCCAACCCATTTAACTCATTCTTCCAACACAAAACAGAAATTATCAAACCAAAAGTTAAAACCAAACCACACAACACAAAATCCAACTACAATCTTCTACATTGACAAAATTTTAGCCGGATTCCGGCGAGTTTGCCGGAGGTAGAGAAGTAGTCGGTCTCGATCGTCATAGCATGCAGGGCTTCGGACTAAAGGTAAGATTTCGTTTGCAATTTTTTTTTCTTCTGGAAAACAAGTCGAGCATGTTGAAAATCTGCGCGACCGGTGGTCAAGCATGTTGAAACCCTGCATCAGCCATGGAACGGACGGTTTGTCCACCTGCCCGTTCCATCCTCTAGGAATGCTCGCAACATGCTCGTTCTCCTGTATAAGCATGTTTCCAACATGCCCGTCTTTCGGTCTGTCTAGTTTTCAACATGCCCGTCCCTCGGTCTGTCTAGTTTTGAACATGCCCCTCCCTCGGTCTGGTCTAGTTTTGAACATGCTCGAGTAACTTTGTGATGTCATAGACCTTTTTAATGAAAATTCACTTAAATTATGATATTTATGTTCATTAAGTTTCGTTGTTAATTGTGTTTATTAGGAAGGAGGATAAAAATCTTGTGCCACCATCATTTACTAACAAGGAAACTATTATGGATGATTCGGTAAGTAGTTATTTTTTATAATTTAATTATCGTAACATAATTGTTGCACAACTAAATGTTTTTAACTTGTATTTCTTGTAGGGTGGATCCGGAGTTAATGAGGGTGACAATGTTGATTGCACATCATTGTTTCTAAGTGATGTTTATGATACCCGTGATCAAGCTTGTAAAGCGGCAAAGGAGATTGCCATGAGTAATAGTTTTTCCTTGATAGTGGCATCAGTCAAGAAAAATGATGGAGAAGGCAATCCGCGGATCTATATGGATTGCAACCATGGTAGTAGGAGCAACTCATATACGTCTGATCCCGCAAAGACAACACGGAGCAAATCTACAACAGGCAAGTTAGGTTGTCGTTTCCGAGTGGTGGTGCAATCCGTAAAAATAGATGGCAAGTGTAAGTGGAGAATTCATGGGATTAAGTCGAGGGGATTTCACAATCACAGATTGGAGGTTTACTCTGAGGGAAGCAGGCAAAAGAATGCTCTTTCGCAGGAGGAAAAAATGAATATTAAGGAGTTGGAGGCAACACATACTCAGGCGAAAGATATCAGAAGTTTGCTCAATATGAAGTACGATGCTCATCACAACATGACTCAGATTTATAATGAGACAGCAAAAATTAGGCGTGAGAGATTGGGTGGGTTGAAACCTATGCGGTGGACATTGATAGAAGCTCAACGTCTTGGCTACTTTATTGAGTGTGAATTTGATGATCAACGTCGTGTTACTAGACTCTTCCTATGCCATCCTGAGTCGATTCGGATGTTGTTGGCATGGTATTTTGTTGTTTTGATAGACTCGACGTACAAGACTAACAAGTATAAGCAGCCACTGGTTCAGTTGATTGGTGTTAGTCCGGTGAAGAAGAACTTCAACATTGGGTTCGCATTGATTTCAGATGAGACGAAGGAGACATATGCTTGGGTTTTGATGCAATTGAAGATTGTGCTTGGTGATCGAACCCCGGTTGCGTTCGTCACAGACAAGGCGGGAGGATTGGGTGTCTCTTTGCAACAGATCTTTCCATCTTCAGCTCATTTACTATGTGTGTGGCACATGAAAAAGAACATTGAAGCCAAAATGATGCAGTTGGGGATTGGTCGTGATTCTGCCAATGGTCTTTACTGGGGCCCATTGGGTCCGACTAGTTCTCGACAATGTCGATGGGGTGACACCAATGCCATATTTTAGTCCACAATGGACTCATTTTCGGAATATGAGCACAATTCCGCATTGGGATGAGTTATACCAACAAGAGCAGGAATTGTATGCCATCCTTGGAGGACATTATCCACCCACTGACGATGAAGAGAATGATTAAACATTGTTGCCTTAGATTGATTATGTTATTGATGTGTCTAGTATGTGTTTATGTTCAAATTTGTGTGGATTCAGGTGCAATTATCAAGGATTGACATTTTGTGTTAAAATGTATGTAATTTTAGGTGGAATTAATCAATTGTGTTCACAATTATTGTTGCTGAAAAAATAGACTAGGCATGTTGAAAACCTGCCTTAACCACGGACCAAACATTTCACCTACCAATGAACACCGTTGGTTGAGCATGTTGAACACCCACCTGACGGATGGTGCAGGAATATACCCTTCCAGCACAGGCCGTGGACAAAGCATGTTGTGAAACTGTCTTCCTGGAGGTGCGGGCATATATCCTACCCGCCCTTCCGGAGGTCGAGCCATATTTTCTACCCTTCTAACCGCTGGTTGAGCCATATTCCCTACCCACCCGATGGTAAAAAAGATGTGTTTGTTTTGTTTTTGTTAGATAAATAAGTAGTGGTTAAAATTTTTAATTAGTATATAAACACTCAAACATAACACATCCAAATGTACCTTAAGAAATATCCAACATCAACCTTAACAAATATCCAACATCAAAACATAAAATATCCAACATCCAACATCAACCTTAACAAATATCCAACATCAAAACATAAAATATCCACCATCCAACATCCAACATCAACCTCCTGGCCACGTCTCATCCCTCGGTTTCTTCCGTGAAGGCCTGCTCCCATCAGAGGACGAAGCAAAACGCCCATCCTTGCCGCGTAGCGGCCCAACAAGAGTACTTCCATGGGTCGAGCCAGTAGACACATGATCACTCGAACCTCCGGGATGACCGTCGAAAAACAACTCATGAAAAGACAACTCATCATCACCCTCCACATCACACTCATCATCACTGCTATCGTCATCCTCCACCATGTCATCATATGTGTTGATGCCTGGTAACTGCTGAGAAACATGGCTATGAGGGGGAGGATCCACTGCAGCTTGACGACGCGAAAGCTTCTCCTGACGCTCCTCCTCACGAAGTCTATCTGACTCCTCCTGACGTTTTTTCCGCTCAGATACTGTAACGTTGCGTCCGAGAACCCTCGATTTTTCCTTGCCCCTTCTTTCGCTCATTGTTGCCTGCTATCAAGAAAATAAAATTAATTCTTCTAGTATTGCAATTAACAATCCTATATTCATTAACTATTTATAATCATTATTAACAATCAACAACTTTTTCAATTCAAACACTACTTATATTGTCTACTTTATCATGCATCATTCATTCCTTCAAAGTTCAAATTCATATGATACGTTATGATGGCCACAAAATCAAACACTAGAGGAAGAAGAAAAGACATGAAACTACAGCCAATTTACCCCATCGCCCATCACATTATATTCTGGCCATAGACAGACACCCAACTAATTAACATCACCACTGCACTAAATTCTCATCCACGCCAAAACAAAACAAAACCCTAAGAAAAGGCAATTAATTAGCACTAAATTTCAGGGCTCATTTGATTACAGATCAGCCACTAAATTTCAGGGCCCATCAAATTTTAGTAATGATGATCACTATCACTATTTGGAGGGCTAAACAACAAGTCTGATCACACAGCAACCGCAACAAAATCCAAGATTCTTTTCTTCCTTCCCATTATAAATGTCATATATTGATTATAATTAACTATGCAAATTTATATATTATTAATTAAAATGAACATTCTAATCATTAACATTTGCATTTTAATTGAAAAAAAAAAATTCAAAACAGGTCGGGAAACAGGTCGGACCAGGGCCAGGGCGGGTCAGAGACCGGGTCGGACCAGGGTCAGGGCGGGTCAGAGACCGGATCAGACCAGGGTCGGGGCAGGTGGGCTTCCTGGCTCTGCCAGATCCGCGCGGGTGCCCTGCCTGCGTCTACCCAGGCCCCAATCGGACGCCCTACCTGCCTCTAGCCACTGGCGACGGGTTTTCAACCCGCGACGTCGGCGCAACTCAAGAAATATCCAAGAGAGGGAGAGGGAGAGGGAGAGGGAGAGATTTACCTTCGGCGGGTCTGAGCAGAAGTCGAGGGCTAGCGGCGGATCTGGGCTTGGGCGAAGATGCTGGCGGCGACGGGTCTGGGTGGCGGCGACGGGTCTTGGTGGTGGCGGCGACTTCCTCTTGGTGCTAACCCGCCGCGAAGTCGACTCTCCTGGGAAACGAAGAGGAGAGTGACGGGGCAGAGATAAACGAATGAGAAAGGAGGAGCTTCGGCGGCGACTTCCTCTCCTCCTGGATGGCGCCGGAGCTCTGGGTGAGGGGTGAGAGTGGCGGAGCTCTGGGTGAGGGTGGCGGAGCTCTGGGTGGCGGAGCTATGGGTGAGGGACGGCCTGGTGTGGGTGGCGGCAGGCTCTGTTTTGGGGAAAATAGGGTAAGGGATGGGTGGGTCAATTTAGGGTTTAGGTTAAATGAGGGGTAAAATTGTCCATGTACGTAAGTTTAGGGCTACAAATTCAAAAACTTAGGGCTACAAATAGGAATTCAGATTCCGTAAACCCCAGCCGATTGATAAATAGCAAATGTAAAAGCCTAACACCCGAAACAGTGGTTTCTTCGTTCATTCTCCGGCCATGGTCGTCGCTTCGATCGTCTCGCGCTCCGTCCTGCGCCGCCGGGCCGCCGTCGACCCTCTCCTCTCTCGCTCCTTCTCTTCCGCTGCCGCTTCCTCTCACCGACCTCACCCCATATTCCGCGCTCTCCGACCTCTTGCCGCCGTCACCCCGTATCTCTCCCCCGCCTCCGCCTCCGCCTCGGTTCGCTGTCTCGCTACACGGACGACTTCGTCCTCGCTCAACGATCCTAGCCCCAACTGGTCGAACAGGCCCCCGAAGGAGACGATTTTGTTGGATGGCTGCGATTTTGAGCATTGGCTCGTGGTGTTGGAGAAGCCGGAGGGAGACCCTACTAGGGATGAAATCATCGACAGCTACATCAAAACCCTAGCTCAGGTCGTTGGCAGGTATAGATCACTGATTGATACTTTTGAGGGTTGTTGGGCAATTACTATTTGATTATTACTTCTCTGTGTTATCCTATTCGATTTGGGTGCTTGAGTTTAGTGTGGTGATGAGAAATCTTTGCTGCAGTGAGGAAGAAGCTAGGATGAAAATCTACTCGGTTTCAACTAGGCACTATTTTGCATTCGGGGCTCTTGTCTCCGAAGAGCTGTCGTACAAGTTGAAAGGTGTGCAAAATTTGGTTTGATTTGTTAGATTGATTTGTTCTCAGTAAGAAGCAGGGTAGAAGAGCTTTATGACAAAAAAAATTCTCCTTCTGTTTGGTGGTCTATTGTATGCAGAGCTGCCACGAGTCCGCTGGGTTCTCCCAGACTCGTATTTGGATGTGAGGAACAAAGACTATGGAGGTAAATACATGTTTCTTTATTTGATCAGTATATGTTGATGGAACATTGTATTATGTCATTTGCTTTAGTGGGGAGGAGGGGGGCTTTAACAGATGCTAGTTGAATCAGTCTGTGTTATTGCTGCTACTTTACAGTATACTTGGTTTTGGACCTTTAGAGACGTAATTCCTTTTTTGGTCGGTTGAGCTGCTGATTAGTAGATTCTCAGCTGCTTAACATATTAGATCACATCTTTTTTTGAAATATTGGAAATGGATAAGGGGAGAAACAGCATGGTCTCACCAGAATCAGAATGCTATGTCACATGTATTAGTTGTTTGTTAGGTTTTATGTTGTGATTGCTCTTTATGGGACGCCGGCTCTAGTTCTAGACTTCCCGAATGCTAAGTGCGTTGTCATGTTTGGTTGGTAAGCCACCGTAGTTTTATGTCATAATACAATGTTCATGCTCTTCTCTTCTGGTTTTTGTTTCAGGGGAGCCATTCATCAATGGACAAGCTGTCCCCTATGACCCCAAGTATCATGAGGAATGGGTGAGAAATAATGCAAGGGCCAATGAGAGGAATCGCCGTAACGGCGGATCTCGCAACTCTGATAGGTCAAGAAACTTTGAGAGGAGAAGAGAGAACTTTGCACCAAACCGGGATTTCCAGAACAACCAGGGGCCTCCTCCTCCTCCTCCAATGGGTGGTCAGGGCATGCAGAATATGGATGGCCGAGGTGCACCACAGCCTCCGCCACAGTATCCTCAACGTAACATGCCGGGGCCAGGTGGTCCTCCACCACCAAACAATCAAATGGGCCATCTTCCACATAACATGGGACGGCCAGGTGGTCCTCCACCGCCAAACAATCAAATGGGAGGATGGCCTCAGAACAATGTGGGAGGGCACGGTGGAAGCCCTCCAAGGCCACCACCTCATCACAACCCCATGGGTGGAGCTCCGCAGAATACTTATGGTGGAATGCCACAGACGAATGCTGGAAGGATGCCTCCGCCGGCCAATCCTGGATGGTCGAATGGGGGGCAGGGGAACTTTCAGGGTGGACCACCGCCCAATAATGCAGGTGTTCCTTACCAGGGCGAGCAACCAAACTTCCCCCATAATGGCTACCCCCCAAACAGAGACGGGAATGGGCCCCGATACTGAACTTCAGGTTCAGTTTTGGCTGAAGACATTTTGTGCAGAAAGAGGCTGTGTCCTCAGCGCCACGGTAACTGAACCTGTTTCTCATCCATCCCCTTTTCTCGTACTTGGTAGGTTTTCAGGTGTCCATGATAGGTGGATTAGGGTCGTTTAATAACGTTTGCCAGTCAAGAGGGTGGGTTGTCGTATGTCAATGCAAGCTTATCGGTGCTTGGGAGGGAGGACGTTTCTAATGTTCTTCGTGTTGATAATGGTTTTTCTCAGTAAAGAAAGGGTATTCTTCGTATCGGTACTGCTTGCATCTTTTGTTCGATTGAAATACGACTTGCATCTTTTGTTCGATTGAAATACGACGTGCATTGTTGAGGATTTGTTTTTCATTTATGATCATCACTCAACTACCAAGGGTGGTGAATCGATTAGAGATGTCTTGTTAGTTGGTATTACTGGCTTCGTTTCTGGAATTGTTTGTGCTTAATTATCTGGAGATTATAGTTTCTCTCCAACGTTAATTGGAGACGAAGGGAGAGCTAGGAACAGTCTAAAAGAGGCTCCAACCGAACCGATGCAGCAGCAACTTGCTGCGTTCTTGGTTTCTCATCGTGAATAGGTCGGAGGAAGAGGAATCAGATACAGTTTAGGGAATGTCAAAAGGAAACCCATATATATGAATAATCATTTACGTTGTTGGTTTAAGGGAAGTGGTTTTTTCCGATTTTCGGCTTGGCGTCTTCCACACAGATATAACAAAATGTTGTTGGTGTAGGCACCGTTAGGGTAGGGATGGCAAAAACATTAACAACATTGGATATCCACCCGAATCCGATCTAATCGGGTAGTGGAAATTCGAATCTTAATGATTTTTAGTGGGTAAGAGTAAAATTGGAACTCGAATATTGTGGGTAATGGATGGACATGGTTTTCTCACTATCTGATTCGAGCATGTCCGATTATACACAATCATATATATTTTTATAGAAATGATCATTATTTTTTCAACAATAGCATACAAATATAATATTTTCATAAAATTCTATTGTTTGAAATTGAAAAATTATTGTCGTACTTTTTCACTTATGTAATGTGAACATACGTGTGAATCTAAACATGTTGGTTGGAGTTATAAAGAGAAATTAGTACCCATGCATAATCGTGGGTATCCAAAACTCGAGTAAGTATGAGCATGGTTTTGATTTTCTACTCGATTCTTACGTGGGTATGAGTATGGATGAAAACCCGAACTACTTTTGGTAGGGTAACGGATATGCACTATCCGCCTCCGACCCGATCCGTTGCCATCCTTATGCACCGTGTTTAGAAATCGGTTGATTTGTTCAATGACGGATGATCATTTAGTGCTCCGATTGACCTTCATGTGTCATATTGAGGTACGATTACGTTGATGTAGAGATCAATCCTTGAATTAGGTTGACTCGTAAAATAATCCGATCGATAATTCTAAACAAAATGAAACATGTAAAAATTGATATGTCCACTATCTTGATTGGTCGACCGACTCTAAATAGCAGTCGGCCATATTTGTCCATCTAATTCTAAATTGTTATAAATGGGAGTTTTAACAACGTACACTTATTTGTATCTGATAATGTTAAATGTATAGATCAATGTAATTTGAAAGGGATGGCTAACACCTCAAACAAAAATAATAAAAAATGACTCAAGGTCAACGAGAATTAGAGGCAATGGGTGTCATTTGGGGAAGAGGAATAGAGTGAACATCCAAAATAAAGGTGTATATATATATAGTAAAGACTAAAGAGATACCGCAATTTGTTCCATTCGAAACGAAAATGTACTGCCGATGTTGACAAACATATTGTTATTGTCCATCAATAAAGGACGGATTTTATATTAATTTAAATTGTAAGCAAACCTATTTAATTGAGAAGTAATCACTACCAAAATCTATTTGGTACATCACTCGTGTTAATAACTAATTAGCCTCCATGATGTAAAAATCAATTTATGAGTTTTAAATTTATACAATCCATCGGATTTGAACACAAAACCTCTCGATCAAATCATACTATGATCGGTAACCAATTATTCGCGATAATTTGACCTATTGACAAACTCTCATGTATATAACTTACACCGCCTCTTTACGAGAAGAGATTAAATAAAATATTTTAAAACATTTTTTACATTAAGATACATGTTTAATTTGTATCATGAAAAGTTAATTTTTTTAAAAAATTACATAGCAAAATTCATTACAAAAATGGGGGTCTTGAAGGGAAACCCATAGTTCAAAAGGAAATTGACCTAATTTCCATTACAAAATATTATCTGAAACAGCACATATATAGTTTATGAGAGAAAATCACTGAGAGAAAGAGATACCTAAAGTATTGGGACTCTTGTCTTTTTGACACTACATCATGATGGTAATGAAATAAATAGCAGCAGCAATGCTGAACAACACATTGTAAGAGAAGAGAAGAGAAGAGAAGAAGCAGCTTGCTTATTTACAACAGCCATGGCGGCACCTCGTTTACTTCCTAAGCTAATTGCTCTGCTTCCCCTGCATATAATCATCTTACTCGTCATTCCACGTACTTCCTTCCCTTATCTTGTTCACTGATAATTTCTACTTGATTGATTCTTCTTTCCCTTTAGAACACGTTAAGCATTCATTAATTAATTTGCCCGATTCCAATCCATCCATCCCTATGCAGATCTTTCAACCGAATCGAGAAGAACTGTCATACCCCGGAATCAAGGAACGACGTCGCTCCAGCTCCTCCTCCTCCGAGCCTCGACAGGTAGTCTTTTCGTCTAGTTCGGATCTATAGTACTCCGTATTCTTGATATGGTATGGGAACCTTTAATCTAAAAACATAGTACCGGTCTGAGAGGACTTCATTAGATACATATTGTTTAGTACGATCCTTCAGATTTAGAACTGCATACTATACTAGCTAATTTCGTCGCGATGCTACGTCATTTATAGTATAAAATAATTAATAATGTTCTTTGGATTCCTCATCGATCAAGGAGCAGGAACCACGGCCAACATTATCAGGGCCGACGACCGGAGATATGGTCGACCGGCATCATGAGGAGGAGAGCTCCGACGACGATGGTGATCAATGGATCTTCTCGAGTAGAAGAGAACTGCGACGACGTTTGCAACGACAACTCGTGCTCGCATTTCCACCGGGACCTGTGCGGTTCGCGGCATAACTGCGCTGTGGGTTGCCACTGCGAGGGGAATAATGGAAATGGATGCGCCTGCTTTTGCCCCTGAAGATTTTTGCTTCTTATAAAGATCTGTTTTAATGTAAATGCTTTTATAATAAATTAATAATTATTCGGACTTTGCACTGTCTGTGTAGATTTATTTTTGCTCTATGTGAAGATTTGTTTTAAGGTAAATGTTATTATAATAATTATGAATGGAAAAAAAAACAGAGGGTATGATCCAAAGTTGTTTAGCACCCGAACGAGATAATGACGGCGCGAATTGGATTTCGAGATGGCGAAGATGATATATTGTTGTGGCGTGGATGTTTGGGAAGAGGGTTCCTTCTGAATAGGTATTTTCGCAATAGGTTTTTACGTTAAACAAATAGTAAACCAAGTATCAACCCTCGAAAGGTTTAGAATCTTAATTTCACAGTGACTTCGCGGCAAACATGAAGAGGAAGAAAAACAGGAAATCTAGGCAAAATACAATCAATTTCTATTGTTTTTAATTCATTGAATTTTCTAATAAGCTATGTCTAATTTTTTACATCAAAATTTTAAAGGTACGATCGCATTCTTAGTCGTAATTTAAACAATAATTCTATCCATATCGTATTGACTAGATATTTACGTTGAAATAGATCAAACAAAAAATAATTGAATTTTTTTTACTCTATGTAATTGCTTAAAATTGAAGAAAACTGAATGAATCGCAACCATATCAAATGTTCTTTTGACTTTCATCTTTAATTTTCAAATATATTTAGGTTTCGTTCTATCATGATTCATTGGGATCATGGACCATAACAAACCTGCCAATAAGAGATAGGTTTTTATGAGAAAATTATTAAACGTAAAATCTAGTACAACAGAACAACTTAAATGCTTCTTCAACCTAACTATGTTATTATTCACATCTATACTATTTACATGAATGAATAGTTCCATTCATGATTCCAAAATAGTTGTATGATGATAAACCATATTAATCGTGAGTCATTAACATTTTCCACCGGACAACCGCTCCGCTTTTGAAAACATAGGATATAGTTAATAAAACATTTAAAAATATGAACATATTATTAAATGTTAACTACTTAACTTTGAATTCTAATAACTAAAGTTCAAATGAATGAATAACCTACAAAGGTCATTTCAAGTCAAAATATTCTTTTGCTAATATTTGTCATTTTTGTCGCATTTAAAAATATAAATTTGATATATCTATACTAATATTTTTGGATTTGCTTTACACAATTGGCCAAATAATCTATTTTCATACCACATTATTTTCTCTTTTCCTTGAAATTTTGTATCTTTAAACTATTTAAATTTAATACATCTATAGTCATATTCTGTACATTTTTTTCTTTTTAACTCAATAGATGACAATCTACAATATATAAATCAAAATAGTGATATGTTGATATATTAATTAATTCTCAAAGCCTCATTTGCAAGCTAATTATTTCACATATAACGAAATAAAGATCTTTGTTGAATATTGTTGTTTTGATTCAGTGATGTTTAATATTTCAAGGCATGAATATAGATTCTACATAGCTTTTCATTTCATTCCTTGTCTAACTTAAATTTCTTATAGTTAAGTATAAAATGAAACACAAATTCAATAAAAAACAAAGTAATTAATGCGCTCCCAAAAACATAAACTATCAAGGTACTCTTTCAAACCACCAGTGCACAATACTAAAAATCGAGCCACCTACGTTTAAAATTTTTTTCAAATGACCACAAACCGGCCGACGGACCAGATACAACACTAGTGTAATAATAATCATCGCAGTACGTGTGTGAGACAGAGTGTTTAATGGTCGATCAATCAAGAGAAGCTAGTTGTTTTAATTTTAATAAATTAATATAATAATAAGTGGTCCGCCGGTTCTATGTTCTGCTCGGTAAGTTTCGAACTGGCTATTTAGTGTCATCACCAGATGACAGGGGTAGACCCGCCGCGGGCAGGTTCGTGACTTACATCCTGAATTTGGGAAAACGATTATCAGTCATGCTAATTTGAGTATAGGACAAAAAGCAGGACGAAAAAAAAAAGATGGTAGTTTATAGGGTGATTATTTGGTCCAGACTTTTTGGTTTTACGCAAATCCAGGCCGTATAACTCGGACCGAGACCGAAACGGGACCGGGTAGTAAATAATCCAATCTCATTTTCGGGCTTAGATTAGAGGTAAAAAATCGTTCGGGATCGGACTGAAAACCGGATAAAGAACAGATAAGAGAGCCCAACACCCAAAATTTTACCAACTCCTAACCCTTTAAGGCCTCAGGCCACTCAAATTCCCACAAGCTCGATATAAAATCAAAATCGAATTAGGATCGGACTGTATCCAATCCAATATTTGGTCCTTATATTTCCGAAAATACTGGACGGTATAGCCACCCCTAGTAGTTTATGTGATTTGAACTTGCGAAACTAATATATTATTAATAATAATAAACATATTCTCTATTAGACTATATGTTCAAAACCTGCCAATGAACCTCATTACGGCTACATGCATGCTACCCACCCCTTACCCATCACATGAAGAGAAAAAGAACCGATCAAGATTCGAGCGACCCTCCTGCTCCTTCCTCCTCTGAGAAGTGACGATCACTGAATCCAGCTTCGGAATCAGTGGAAAGAGGCATAGATTCGAAACTTAGTGTTGAGTTAACAAGCTTGATTCAGCAAATTGAATGTCATAGGATATTTTGTTTTAAATATATGTTATTATGTGGAACTAACAATCTATGCAGAAAATATCACAAACAATGAGGAAAAAGGAAACAATTCAAAGTGATTGCTTGCCCTCAAAGAAGTTACCATAACAAGCAAAAAGGTATCAAATCAAGGAGATACTTGCCACATAAAGGACTACAAATGAAAGGAAATGAAGGCTCACATCAACTATAAATAGTAGAGTCATTTGTAGGCCAAGAGCAAAGCTCTCTTCTCCCTTGTAATAGCGAAATTGTGTGATCATATTTCGTGGTGTGAATAGCTTGATATCTCGGGGGTTGAGATATTCAAGCTAGGTCAGGTTTTAGGGTAGGAAGGGTATTTGTAATTGGGACTAGTGCAAGAGCAAGAGGGGATTCTTGCTTGGGAGTTGCACTAGGTGAATTACTCTCCAATCAAGTCAAACTAAGAGTGTTGACTTGATTGATTGAGTAGGTAGTTTAGCTTGGATTTAGCTAAGGGTTGAATAGGTGTGGATTTGCACCTATTTGGTTCTTGACACGAAGTGTCAAGGTTATTTCAATTTCATAGGTTAGAGAGTCTTTTATTTCAATAAAAGTTAGAGTCTCTCGTGAGATAGTGGTAACTATCTCCGGGACGTGGATGTAAAGCCATATTGGCCGAACCACGTTAAAATCGCGTGTCCCGACTCATCTCTCTCTCTCTCTCTCTATACCTCCTCTAAACTTTGTTCTATTCATCAGTGCCAACAAGTTAATCACTTCAGGAGAGATTCTTGGCAAGTCCTTTTGGATTGCTCAATCAAGCTAGTGCTAATCTCTCACTATTGAAATCTGAATTAATTTGTGCATTGACCACGTCAAAAGTATCCTTTATTGACTTAGCTTGGTCTAACACTTAGTTGGTTTATTATGTAATTGGCTTGAATATAGTATTTCAAAAGATGTTGTTTCTCAAAATTGTACTGATTTTATTGCTTACAACTGCAAGTGTTGAAAAAGACAGTATTTTTACTCGTCGCCACATTTGTTTGTTTGTTCAATTCACGTATACACAAACACTGTTAATCAACACATTCATCCTATACCCAGTAACTAGCATACATCTATTTATTTCTATGATTATTCATGTACTTAACCACAGCTACGTATATATATATATTCATGTATTCTTCACACATTCATCCCACTATGTAGCGTATAAATATATGATCCCAATCTATCAATTGAATCAGGCTTATCTCCAACGGTAATTGGAGACAAAGGGAGAACTAGGTTGGAACAGACAAGGTTTTTTTTTTTTTGGCTTGGCTTGGCGTCTTCCTTGAAAGCAGTCGGTATGGCGGTCGACCCAGATATAACAAAAAGTTGTTGGCCGGTGTAGGCATCTTGTTTTGAAATTGGTTGATTTGTTCAATGACGGTTGATCATTTAGTGTTCCGGTCGACCTTCACGTGTCATTATATTTAGCTACGATTTTGTTGATGTGCAGATCAATCCTTGAATTATGCTGACTCGTAAAAAAACTCGGTCGACTGTTCTAAACAACACGAAACATGTAAAATTGGTATGTTCACTATCCTTATTGGTCGACCGACTCTAAATAGCAGTCGGCCATATTTGTCCATCAAATTCTAAATCGTTATAAATGGGAGTTTTAACAACGTACACTTATTTGTATATGATGATAATGTGAAAGGTAGGGATAAAAGTAATTTGAAAGGTATGGCTAACACCTCATAAAAAAAAAGGGAATTTGAGGCAATGGGTGTCTTTTGGGGAAGAAGAATAGAGTGAACATCCAAAATAAAGGTATGTACTACGTAGTAAAGAGTAAAGAGAGACCGCAATTTGTTTCATTCGAAAAGAAAATATACCGCCGGTGTTACGGAAAAGGACGAATATCTTTCAATAATTGGAGGATGAATTTTATATTAATTTGAATTGTACGAAATGTGGCGTCTTCGGTGCACTCACAAAAATGAGTGTGTTCAGTGCACTCGCTTCATAATAGGGATGACAATGGGTCGGATTGGGTCAGGCGCGGATAGTGCATATCCGTTACCCTACCCACAGTAGTTCGGGTTTTACCCATACTCATACTCACATGTGAAATGGATGGAAAATCAAAATCATGCCCATACCCGTTCGGGTTTCGGGTATCCACGGTTATCCATGGGTAATAATTTGTCTTCACAACTCCAACCAATATGTTAACATTCACACGTATTCTCACATTACGTAAGAGGAAAAGTACGATAATAATTCACTAGAATGAAGAAATTAATTAAAACTATACAATTTCATGAAATTGTATTTATATGCTTAACATAAAATATGTTAGAGAAAAATAATGATTATTTCTAGACAAAATACATATGCATGTGTATAATCGGGCGGGTTCGGGTTGGATAGTGAGAAACCCATGCCCACCTATTACCCGCAATATTCAGGTTCGGATTTTACCCGTACCCACTAAATGTCCTTCGGGTTCGGATTTTACACTACCCGATTAGGACGGATTCGGGCGGATATCCACGGTTACGGATATTTTTGCCATCCCTACTTCATAACCATCAATTTAAACATGCGATTTATGTCAAAATGATGTCAATCATCACTTATGATATGAAGAACAATAACGCACATAAATTTGCACAAAGACCATTGAAGATTTACTTTAATGTGGAGGATTTAGAGTTTAGAGATTTAGGGTTATGGTTAGGGTTTACAATTTGGGGTTTAGGGATAGAAATCAAAATTGGAGGTCTAGGGCTTAGGGTAATGCATTAATTAGTTGTTATCATATGTTATATCATCATATTACACTAATTCTACAAATTAAAATTAAAAATCCGACACCTTAAAACTAGTTTTTGAGTTGGGTGCATTGAACATACTCATTTTTATGAGTGCACCGAAATAGTCACCTTGTACAAAATCTATCTAATTGAGAAGGTATCACTATCAAAATTCAAAATCTACCCAATACCTCACTCGTGCCGATAACTAGTTAGGCCCAATAATATAAAATCAACCTATGACTTGTGAATTTGTACAATCCATCAATATATACCACATGTCCAAATTAATGAGATATCGTAAGGACCTGAACACAATACATCTTGATCATACTATGCTATGGTCGATAATCAATTATTCGCAAAAATTCGAGTTGTTGACTAATACTCGGGTATGAATCTTATACCATTTCTTTAAAAAAGAAATGATTGATCAAATATTTAAACACATCTCCAATGAATAATGAGTCTAATTAGATTTCCTAAGAGAATTTGTCACATGAGTCCATCGATGCTTCGAGGTACAAGTTGAACTTATACGATAACGTTAAAAGTACAAGTTTAGTTTACATCATAAAATTGAAAATTCAATTTATATCATATACAAATGAATTTGTACAAATTAAAAGGTATATGTACAAACTGAATCTTTACTAAAGGTACAAGTCCAATTTGTACCACAAAGGAAATTGTATAAAAAAATATATATGCACAAAATGAATTTGTACAATAACGATAAGGTACACGTTCAGTTTATACTATAAAGATTTTTTTAACCAAATCACCGATACTATAAACTATTAAATTTCTCATGGTAATTGGGATAAAAAATCAAGGATTGAAGTGCCGTATCGGAAGTTGTACTGAAAATGTCAGCGATGACGCTCAGAAGCATGTATTTATGGTCGAACTACCGGTACGATAGAGTTTTTCAAATTTTTTTTAAAAAACATAGTTCAAAAGGGGAAAATGACATAAATTTGATTAAAAAAATCACCTGTAAAAACAGCACATAGTTTATGAGAGGAAATTACTGAAAGAGAGAAAGAGAGATATCTAAAGTCTTGGGACTCTGTCTTGACACTACATCATCATGTATATATGAATGAATAGAAGCAGCTTAATTATTACAGCTGCCATGGCGGCGATACCTCGTATACTTGATAAGCTAATTGCTCTGCTTCCCGTGATAATCATCTTACTCGTCATTCCACGTACTTCCTTCCTTCCTTATTCTTATCTTGTTCACTGATCATTAATTTCTACTTGATTGATTCTCCTTTCCCTTAATTAGAACACCTAAAGCATTCATTAATTTGGCCTATCCCAATCCATCCATGCAGGTCTTTCTCCTCTAACCGAATCGAGATTAATAACTGTTCACAGCCCGGAATCAAGGCACGATGTTGCTCCAACTCCGACGACGACGACCGTCGTCGACAGGTACGTAGTCCTTCTAGTTTAGATCTATAGTCCGTATTCTTGACATGATGTGAGAACCTTTAATCTAAAAGTAACCATGTTGAAGTACGTATGCCGAGGGTGGAGGGACAAGAGTCCGCGAGGAATCCATTAGACACATATTGTTTAGTATGATCCTTCAAATTTAGAACTTCGTACTTTCATCGATGCGCTACGTCATTTATAGTATGTTCTTTGATTCCTGATCAAGGAGCAGGAACCACAGCCAACATTATCTGGGCCGGCGACCGGAGATAGGGTCGACCAGCATCATCATGAGGAGGAGAGCTCCGACGACGATGGTGATCAATGGATCTTCTCCTCGGGTGGAAGAGAACTGCGACGACGTTTGCAACGACAACTCGTGCTCGCATTTCTACCCTGGCCTGTGCGGTTCGCTGCATGACTGCGCTGTGGGTTGCCACTGCAATGGCAATGGAAATGGATGCTCCTGCTTTTGCCCTTGATTTTGCTTCTTGTGTAATAAATTAAGGATATATAGTAATGATTGGTCGGTCCGGTTCGGTTGTTCTGTTCGGTCAGTTCCAAACCGGCAATTTGGGACACCCCTGAATTTGGGAAAACGGTTATCAATCATAGCGATAGTAATTTAAGTATGGGACAAAAAGACTAAAGAAAAGAAAAAAAGATAGTAGTTTATGTCATTCGAACTTGTGACACCAGTACACAACTTTTATTAATAATAATAAACATGTTCTCTATTAATGGACTACCATTATATTTGCTATATATTATTTAAAAGGCAAGATACACATTAATAGTCACAACTTTCATGTTCTTAACTAGATGTGTTTTTTAGAAGTTAGAATACAGATCATGCACCATATCATAATGCTATATTGTTCAGATCACAATAGTACGATGTGATCTGGACCAGAAAGACCACATTCAACAAACCTTACTCCCCCTCCCACCAATCCTACTAGGTGTCCGTAAAAAAAAGTTCAATGACCAATAAAAAGACCATTCCAATTGATGGCCTCATTTCGTAAAGCTGGAGATCAAGTGCTTCTGTTGGGAGCTCCGAATATGTCGGTGGGTTCGATGTTGAAAGCATGAGCATCTTTTGATTTATTATGAACCTAAATAATTGATTCAATAAGTTCTTGCTAATAACCACGATCGCTAAATAGAAACATTAAACTAAAAGTTCATACAAAATGAACACCTAAGATCGAAGAAGAGACCATATGCATATAATGGAGAACCATAAGACTTAATTACTTGGGATGCCTGTGCCTGTACGTGGGCACCGGGCCGTGCCGCCCACGGGCTAGTTCGACACGGCACGGTTAGAGCACGGCACGAGCACGGGCACGAAATAAATGGGCCAGCCCGGCACGAGCACGAATAATTTATGGGCCGTGCCGGGCCTAAACTTCATGGGCACGGGCACGAGCACGGTATATAAATGGGCCGTGTCGGGCTTAATATTTTCGAGACTTTATTGAGTATAAGAATGGACATGGCACGAAAATAATATTTATTTGATAGAAAATATATATAAAAAGAATTATAGGTTCAAATATTACAAAACACAAGTAGAAAAATAATTATTTGTTGTTGTTAGAAGTGTCATAAAGATATATACGTAATTACTAACATAAGTAAAAATGAACAAAGAATTAAACAAAGCCAAATCACACTCGCTATACTTCCAATTTTCTTTTCCCCCTTATTTGTTACTTTTCTCAAACATTATCGGTTAATACTATCTTCCTTCGTCTAATTTTCACCTTCTTTTTCATTCTCTCTTTTATTTTCGTCATTTTCATTAAACACGAATACGAACATGGCACGAGAACGAATAGGCACGGCACGATTCGAACCGTGTCCGGGCCTGGGCCGGGCCTAGCAAAGTTAACAAATGGGCTTGCATGGCACGACACGAAAATTGACAGGCCGTGCCAAGCACGGCACGAAATAAATGGGCCCGAAGCGTGCCCGTGCCGTGCCGGCCCAAGCACGGGCCAGCGCCCATGTACACGGCTGTGCCCATAAGACTTGAGATGGACACTAAGAAATAGTGATCCGTACGAACCTGTGTTTTAATATCCTACTACTAATTAAAATTAAAAGTATAATAGCACAAAACAACAATTAATAGAATGATTGATTTTACCACCAATGGAAACCAAACAAAAAATGTCGTTATAACCTCTAATGTGTAGCCGAAAATGACGGGCCACCGCAGTGTCCTCAGTAAGCAAACTGAGAAGAAAAGTAGGAGGATCTCGACGGCCTGGTAGTTTAACTTTGTCATTCTTGCAACACAGTCCAAAAGAAGGAGTCATATCATTTCACGTGGCTAACGTACTCTCCAAGCGCCACATAACAGCTCCACAATGCCGCCAGGTACATAGGGGCGGCCCAATGTTGAAAAATTCCACTTCAGGGATACCTAATAAAATAGCAACATAGATAATTATAAAAAAGTAGCAAACTCTACAAAAAAATATAATAGTAACACCAAGGGGAATAAATAAAATTAATAATCTCCTAAACAAATATATATCGAAAACAACATTAAGCAAGAAAATGTAAGAAATAATCTATATAGTCCATAAATCGGATATACATACTCCAATATACTAAATTCTGGAAATCAGGATGACCAAATCTCTTTCTATGTAGATAAATACGTCTCATTAATCTCGAACGTTTACTCAAGAGCCGAGCAAAAGTTACTTCCACACCTATTTAAAATAATAAACAAATCAACAACAAAGTATACAGACCAACGGATACAATTCACCAACATGAGGATGATATATAACACATTCCCAATTAAATAAACCTCTGTTATCAATACGCATTCGCCTCACATGACCCCTTCGTTTAAGAATAGCACATCTTCTTTGACGTGCAACAAAAGCCAAGCTTTGACTAAGCTGGTTTAGCTCAGACTGTAACATTGCTTGTTCTGCACAGAATATATTGTACATCAATCATACTATCAAGTTCAACGACCAGGACATTTATCATTACCACCACAAACCTTTAACAAATTTCTCTTCCTCCACGACAGACATAACGTAGCGGTGCTGGTGGTCTTCATTCTGTACAAAAACAACTCTCCTTTTCCCTATTGATCCACGATACGAAATAAAAGACAATATAACTCCACTGTACATCTACAATTGAAACAATAATATTATTTAAACTCACATGGTACAGCGGAGCATTTCTTTTGTGACCGTGAATACGAAATATCGCTCCGAGCTTCAACGTACGTCTAACCCAACTTTACAACAGAACAATGTTTCAAACACCCAATGCACAACATAAATGGTACAAATGTAATATGCAAAACACAGACAGTATACAAAATACCTCCATGACCAGATAATTGAGCTGTGCAGAATGAACTTTGAGTACTCGACTGGCCATGCTCAATTTGATTAGGGCTAATACCACTACAACACCCGAACTATCGCAAAAATGCCACTTGTGTCCTATTGTATCAAATATTCCATCTGTGTCCTGAACTATGGTTCCGTTAGTGTTGACTTTTGTTGACCGTTTGTTTTTAACAGAAAGTCCAGTCAGTGCTGATGTGGCATCTGAAGTGGAATTTTTAATATTTATTTTTATTTATTTTTCTATCTAAATATTAATAAATAAGAAAAAGGAAATAATTAAAATATAAAATAAAATAAAAATTTAACCCACCCCTCGTCCCACCAACCTCTTCCCCAAGATCCAGATCTACAATTCACCGCCTCCACTAACTCCCTCTCGCTGCTTCAATGACTGAAAGTACGGGTTTCCTCCAAGCGAGACGCCTCTCTTCTCTGCTCACGACACTGGTAACCAGACACCGTCCTCCTCACTTGCTGCAGCAGGGCGAAGAGCTCCTCTGGAACATCCGGCGGGCGCTGGTGTTTGGAGATTTCTTCCAGCTTCGCCTAGGAAGAAGAGACCATAAGACTGTGCCCATAAGACTTGAGATGGACACTAAGAAATAGTGATCCGTACAAACCGGTATTTTAATATCCTACTACTAATAATAATAAAGATAGCAACCACAACTCTTGCAGCTACTTGCTTAAAAACGTTGGAACATATAAGATACGTGTTCGAACATACCTATCTTCTCTCATTAATTTATGTCATTTCTCACCATGTTCAGGAATCCACACTTTCACACTTGACCTGTCATCCTTACTCTCTGAAGTGTGCGTAGTTGCATTCACCTCCGTTCTGAAGCTGGATTCGAAAACAACATCTCGAGTTTCACAGCGAGCCATATCGATCGCAGTGTGAGTGATGTTGCGAGTTTAACAACGTCGCGGTGTTCAACAACATCGCAAGATCAACCACATTATAGTAATTATAAGTAACGAAGTAGTTCTAATTAGCGGCGGATCCAGGATTGGGTAGAGCACTGGGCCACATTGGAAAAAAGTAGAGAAGGCTGGGCCGTAACACGACGAACACTGAAACGAACACCGAAACAAACACCAAAAATCGAAAATTTACACGTGCTATACTAGCTCCGGATCGAGGGAGGGCTGGGCCGTGGCCCGGGGGCGCCCCCCCTAGATCCGCCGCTGGTTCTAATACTACTTCATATCGAGACTATTAATGGAGAGTGGAGAAACGTTAGAGCCTAAAGCAAGGTTATCAAACTGGTTTAAGTCATTGAGCCGGTCAAGCAAAGGGTGTGAGGTTTAATGGTCTTATCGGGATCCGGCCGGTTTGAGCCGTTTTAGGCGTTTTCTAAATACATGTACAAATAAGGTAATAATTAAAGATCTAATGATTGAAATAAAATATATCTAACATATATCTATTAAAAACTTATTTTTTATAAAATAAATCTACCTAACCTCCATGATCCACCCACCATCTCTCTTCCTTCGTTTCTCTTCCTCTCTTCCCCCTCTCTTCTTCTCACTCTTTAGGGGTCAGACCGGAGGGCTTTCCGGAGGCCGTTTGAAACTCGACTCGGGTCAGACCGATTCCAACCAGGGGTTCATTAAGGGTTTAACAACCTTGGCCTAAAGCGAGACATATTCACGGAGGAGTTATCGTGAAGACTACAAAAGTGCTTTACATAAAATCACCTAAGCGAATGATGGATGACAGTAGTAGGTAACAAAGATAGAGATACGCTTCTCTCCCCCTTTTTCAAATTTCTCTGCCTTCTCTCTAGCCTCTAGGGTTCTCCTCATTCAAGTTTTGCCCGGGGCTATCATCAGCGCCGATTCCGGCGACCGAGGGCAGCCTTTTCCTTTTGTGCCTTTTCGTTTGTTTCTAGTTAGGTTCCTTTTCCCTTTTCTGCATTTTGGCTTTCGATCTCTTTCCCCTTGGCTCTGCCATTTTCCTTCCCCTTTTGGGGATATTTTTTTTTTCCTTTCGGCTCCTCTTCCATCCCAGTGGTGATGATTTTCTTGTCTCTCAGTGAGATGCTTTTGCTCCCCATCTGTCTGTTTTCCATATCTATATGGATGTTCCCATGGTAGGTGTTGGAGGGGCCCGATATGTCGGTTCGCTTGCTCCTCTCTGGTCTACCATCTACCTAACAAGATCCATCCATAAATGGGGATGAATCGGAGATGCATGGACCGTTGTTGTCTTGGATGTTTTTTCGGAGAGCTTGTGAGCAGGGAAATTATCTTCGAAGTTGGTTTTCTGCCGATTTGCTCTAATCGGTGGCGATTCTGTCGTTATTCTTCTGTCTGTGGTCGGGATTGTTTCTCGGATTTGCTTGTTTTTGCAGGTGGATCTCGGATCCAGTTCTGGGTATGGTTCTCCTCGGCGGCTCTGCGGTTTTCTTCTTCTGGCCGGTGCACCGTCTTTCTAAGGAGTCGTCGGTGTTCGGAGTAGTGACTCGGCTTCCTCCATCGTTTCTCCGGCCAAGGACCATGTGTGGCAAAGGTTGAAGGCGGCGAGGGATCGGTGAAGGGGAATGCTATTGGCAGCCTTCTTGTGATGATTGGGCGGCTGGGTTAGGGTTGCTAGGGTGGGCTTGTCAATTTGTTTGGATCGGATTTCGGTTATTTGGCTTCGGACCTTTGTTGGCCCACTGTTTCCTTTCAGTGTTATTGTAACTCTGTACACCGTGTTTCGTACTAATAAAACGACCAACCAAAAGTTTAAAGAAAAAAAAAACCGAAGCAAAACGAGAGAGAGAGAGAGAGAGAAAGGAGAACCGAAATCCGCACAGAAACAACCCTGTGCAGCTGTCCTCCCCCCCCCCCCCCCCTCTCTCTGTTGCTGGAATCGATGAAAATCATCCATCCAAGAACAAACAAACCAGAAAAAGCGAACAGTAACCCTAGCGCAACAAGGGACTCCTTAAAGGTCCGCCTTTTCTAACAAAGCTTCAAATTCCTTTTTGAGAGCCTCAAGCTTCCTACCGAAACTGGTCTCGTATTCATCAGTGATTTTTTCCAAGCTTTTCAGTTTGGAGAGGATAGCCTGGATTATCTCCTCGAAGGCAGCCTCCAGGGCTTCGATTTCTGATTCATCGGCCCCTGCGTTCTTCTTCTCCTCGAGTCTGATGTCAACGGCAAACAGCTCATCCATCAACTCTTCCCTCTCAGCATCGATCTTCCGGATAGAGCGGATCATTTCACCTACCCAAGAACCTGCTTCACAAAAAAAGACCACTAATAAGCCCAAAAAAAAAAACGAAAACCCTAGATCGAGCGAGGCCTTCTTTCATGGATTACAAATTATGACTCAAGCCAAAGGAAAAGAGAGAGGGTGAACATTTATCATCCCCGTCGCCGTCTGAAGAAGAAGAAGAAGAAGACATCGGGAAAGGAGAACTAGCGATCACTGCTTCGATTCGGCGCCCTTTCTCCTAGATCTGAATGCCCTCTCGCCGAATTTACGAGAAGTGTAGAAGGGTGTAGGAAAATAGAATAACTTGAGGGTTATTAAAATATACCGTTAAAAAATCTTTGCACTTAAGTAGAAAAGGGTAACAAACTTTTAATTTGTAACGATATGGTAACAAACGTTTGTACTTGTAACAAAACGGTCACAAACAAACAGAATGACTAAATTCAAACTTTTGTTACCGCGTGTCGTTACAAATTAAACTTTTGGCGATCGACCGATTTGTACACCGTTCAAAGGTTGGAACGAGCAGTCACTCACAATTCGTTCCAGTCGGGGTATGGTGGATTTGTTAATTTATGCAGAATGATATGATCGTAACAAAGGATGACAATACTAATAAGATGAAAAAAACAAAGGATGACAGTGAGGGAATTTTAGCGCCTCACAAATGGGTTACATGATGCTTTTTAGTTGAAAAAACTTGGATTGCTTTCTTACGTTCTTGGTATTGGAATTGAAAGGTAAATATATGAGATTCTTATTCGGCAAAACAAGTATATCGATCAACACACGACCCGACAACACATGTCATTCAAGTGGTTAGTGTCATATACTTGATGAACACAAGATCCTACCTCAAAACGGTCACAAACTTTAATTTGTAAGTTGTAACGACTCGGTAACAAAACCTTTGCACTTAATACAAAACGGTCACTAATTAAACAGAAGTGACCATTTCATACAATTTCAAAATTTTGTTACCATATCATTACAAATTAAAGGTTTGTGAATGTTTTGTACTAAGTGCAAATGTTTGTGACCATTTATGTTAATTACCCACTAATAAAGCCGAAAGTTTACGATTATACCCCGACGAGTACTTGCTCTGCAAGTATTGGCTATCCCCATATTTTGTGGTCTACTCCTAGGTGGTTCATTTTCACGTCGTTGCTATCATTTTTTTGTGGGTGATTTGTGCTCGGCAAGTACCGGCTATCGTCATATTTCTATATTTTTTTAGTAGGGTTTGGTTTATTCGATTAGTTAGTTCATTTGAGTTAATTACATCCTTCCGCCATTTGTTCGCTTTAATGAAGAACTAAAAAACTCATTGTTTGGAATGATGGAATATTCGATAAAAAAAAAATCCTAAATCTCTTTAAAATAAATTAATTTATGAATTTCTCGCGATTGAATTAATATCTCTTGTGTTTGTTTATCTTGTTTCTGGCACGAATGAGAGACCCTGCCTTTCAGAAAATTGTTGTAGACACTAGACAGAGTCGTCTAGTAACAACACTAGGGGGTCGTTTGGTTTTGATGATAGTTAAATAGATGCATTGTTATCAATACATGCATAATAAATAATAATATACATGTATATAAGAAAATTGATGCATTGTAGTTTATATCGTTTGATTTCTGTGATAGTTATTCTAGTATTTAAATAAGATATATTGCTTTCTGGGTGAAATGTCACTTTTATCCTTTGTTTTTAATATAAAAAAGCAAAACACATCAAAAGGTAGGGACATAATTGGAAGTAGAAAACACTCCAACAATCTCAGACAAACAATCTCAACAATCTCACAAAATACTTGAGATAGTACTATCACTCATTTTGAGTGATTGTTTCCATCACATCAAGCAAACAATACATGCATAGTTTGTGCAGAAAATTAAAAAAAAAAACAAAGCATTGTTGATAATGCATGCATTGTAACTATCCCAATCAAACAATCACCAAAACCAAACGACCCCTAGGACTCCTTGATCACCAAACACGAGAATCGCTAAGATAAATCGACAAGAAAGCATGATTAATTTGTGTGGTTCATCTTGGTTGTAATTTGAGAACTCAATTGATCACTTTCAATACTTAACAAGACGTGAAAAATGAAGATTGAGAATTGAAAGTTGATAGAGTTCAATGGTATGAAAATGCACAAATTCAGTTTTGATCATTACAGCGGGATGTGACTTTGTTTTGAAATTGGTTAGTTAGATTGAATTTACATGGGATAATTTGTATATGGAGGGAGAAATAAATCCAAAAAACATTTATTTATTTATTTTTTATGAATAAATCCAAAAAAAAAACATTTTCCAAACCACGGTCTAAATCAATCATTTTTTCATTCACTAGAATGTTAATACTTGAGTATATATGTTGGTCCAGTTAGGGTTTACCGAACTAATCTTCTGGTTCAACGTGATCATATTCTTATGTTGGTCCAATTCGGCTTTACCGAACCAGTTGCCCATACATATTTTGTATGCAACTCCAGTACCAAGAAAATGAATGACAACTTGTGTGTAATGCATATGTTGGCCATCATTGGATGTGTAGAAGTCTTCTTCATGGTAACCTTTGCGCATTGGCGGTCCATACCGAATTCACGAATTACAATGAGAAGAGCTAAAAATACAAAATGTATGATAGTTTTTCAGGATTGAACCTAAATCATTGTGAAAGGAAAAAAACGAATAGTCCACATACGACATTTCTCAATGTTTGTTTGTTCAACTCATGTATACACAAATACTATTAATCAACACATTCATCCTACATAGTAACTATATATCATACATTAAATTAAATTTGTGATTATTCATGCACTTAACTACAACTACATATTCATGTATTCTTCACACATTCATCCCACCTTGTGCTTATAAATATGACCCCAATCTATCAACTAAACCAAGTAACAAATTATTCACATATACTTCACACACTATCCATTCCTCACTGTAAAAAAAAAAAAAAAAAACTAGCTTAAAAATAGAACCTATCATAGTAATTTTATTATTGTATTGTAAAGCTATAAAAATTTACCATCTCCATGAAAACTATAATGTATATATGGTAAATTCAACAAAGAACCATAATTAAATTTACAGTTCTTCCGAAATAATAAAATTATCTGGCACAAGGGGGGAATGTACTATGACAACTTGTAATGAATTGTTTGCCAAAATTTTATTTAAATATCAAAAAAATATAATTTTTTTAAACATGGGAACCTGGATTTAATTTTTGGAAACTACATGAACAATATTTTCCAAGCAAAAGTAATTCAAATACAGCAAGATAATACATATGATTTTTCATAATTAATTTACCTTGTTTTTTTTAGGGCCAAGATAATTTACCTTGTTTTGGAATAGACATATGGGATTTTAATAAATCATATATGAACCTCCAAAATAATATTACCAAAATCAACATATTCTAAAGCCATACTGAATCCATTATAAATATTACTGCTCTTTTCCCCTGGGCTTTGTATCATAAGCTTGAATTAATACTGAATAGTAACAGTATACTAATAATTAATTCTCCTCGCATTTTACAATGGCTTCTTGTACTAATTACGCCTTTCCTTTGTTCATTGTCCAACTAGTTGTTATTGTTCTGTCCCTTTCTTCTTCTACTTCGTTGTTCTGCGTCGGTTTGAATGCCGTCCATAACGTATCGGCCGCCGGCGCCGATTGGTCAGACGCCGGCGCCACCTGGTATGGGCCCCCTACCGGTGCCGGTACCGATGGTGCGTAATTTCGGCCATGTAGTTTGAGATTTAATTATTTATTGAAAAAAAAAATGTTTGTTCGGTGGCATCTAAAGCGTCACAACACCCAATTCATGCTTTTTTTTTTGTGTGTTTTTTTTACGAGTAAATTTGTGTTTATTCACACTATATTGGCATTTATTCACGCTGACAGTAATGATTAATGACGCAATCACGTCTATTGTTATTTTTATTCACGTGGATACGCCATGCATGCAGGTGGAGCTTGTGGGTTCGGCAGTTCGGTGAGATCCCCGCCGTTGAACTCGATGGTAGCCGCCGGGGGGAATTCCCTCTTCCAAGGCGGCGAAGGATGCGGCGCTTGTTATGAGGTGAAATGCACATCCAACCCAGCCTGCTCAGGGTCTCCGGTCACCGTCGTTATCGCCGACCAGTGCCCAGGCGGACCCTGCGACGCGGAATCCGCCCATTTCGACCTCAGCGGCACCGCCTTCGGCGCCATGGCCAAACAAGGCGCCGCCGACCAACTCCGCGCCGCCGGCCAATTGCAAATCCAGCATCGCAGGTTCGTAATTGAAGATCTAATTAATTAAAACCATTCCTTACAAATTTCGTCAAAACCTTCGTTCTTATGAGTTGAATTCTAATTATCTATTATCGATTGGAAGTCACGATAACTTTACTGATAAATAAATAAATTAATTATATGTAATGTTGTTAAAATCGAAACAAAATATGACTCGGTAGAATGAACGACTCATATTTCACCGGTTTAATCGATATTAATCCGGTAAAAATTCGTTAGCAAATCGATATCTTATAAATAAGAATATTATAAATAAAACACATATATATCATAATAGATAATACACTAAACTATAGATCCAAAACAAAAATAAATTCCCCTTAATGTGAACCGGTTGGTCGTCGCGGTTCGTCCTTCGAGTGGTCAACCACTGACCGATCTGGTGACCGAATGCTGTAGGGTTTTACCGGTCAGATCAACCGGCTCGATCCGGTTTTTCAAAACACCAATTATTTGTAATTTTCGTTACCTGCTCAGCTCCTCTGGAATTTTGTACCTTTATTAAGTATAGCGAAACCGCGATCTTTTTCTGTTCGTAGATTAACTAACACATATCGTATTAATGGTAATGCAGGGTGCCGTGCTTTTACCAGGGGACGACGATAAGCTTCGCGGTGGACGCCGGGTCGAACCAGTTCTACCTGGCGGCGGTGATCGAGTTCGAGAACGGCGACGGCGAGCTCGGGTACGTGGAGATGAAGCAGGCGGCGAATTCGGACCCGTGGGTTCCCATGCAGCGGTCGTGGGGGGCGCAGTGGAAGCTCAACTCCGGGTCGGCGCTGAGGGCGCCGCTGTCGTTCCGGCTGACGTCGGCGACGTCGAAGAGGAGCGTGGTGGCGGAGAATGTGATTCCCTACGGATGGACTCCCGGCCAGACTTACTGGTCCAATGTTAACTTCTGATGTACGTGTTTGGTTTCTTTTGGGTAGTGTTTTCGGTAGCTAGAGTACTGAGACAATTCGATGTTGTATTCATGTAGTACACATAGATGATAAGTGCTAATATGTTTCGACAATAATAAAGAAAGCAATGATTTAGTTTTCTTTTTCAATTTTTTTTTTGACCGGAGAGTACTAAAGGGTTGAAATTCTTTTCGGGTCGTTTGGATTAGAAATTTTTACCCGATAAGGGGTATTATGAAATCTGGCACAACTGATCCTCCAATCGTTGCTAGTCAGAAGGACCTGATACAGTATTTGTAGACGATGGAGTTAACAGTGACCTGCTATCATACATGTATATATGTATGTATGTGACATGAATTAGTAGGGGTGGGAATCACAGCAAAAATATACAGAGAAAAGTTACTAAAGGTGCGCACTATTAATGAATCGATTATTTTTCACTCTCTCGATTATATTATTTTATAAACTAAAAAAATTCTCACTTTAAACTGCTTAGATGGGTATTTGATTATTTGACTACTTTTAGTTTTTTGCCTACCAATTTTCACATACTATTATATTATAAATTATTATTAGTAAATAAATATAATTAGTGTGGTTATTGTGGATTTTGTGAGTTAACCGCGATGGATAATGGGTAACCACTACCCACAAAATTTTTTATTTTACTACGAACAAGGGCTTGGTCTAGTGGTAATACCACTAGTCTAGAACCTCGAGGTCTCAGGTTCGAATCCCTTAAGTAGTACCTTAATCACAAAAAGAGAAACCTATATCACCCTTATAAAAAAAAAAAATATTTTACTACCCACACCCACACTCAACCCACTAGACCACTACCCACAACTTGTGGATATGACTACCTACTATAAATGCGAGTTGGGGCGGTTTGCGGATTATCCACAAACCGCAACCCAAACTTCCACCCCTATGAATTAGTGCCGGTCGAGCTCCACCGATGGTTATCCACCACCAAACTCAAGAATTCAGATTACCAGATAATCATTAACGGTCGCCCCCGGCAACCTAGCTATCTAGCTAGAAGTGGTAGACACGTTAAGCACTAAGCAGGTGGACTGACCCATCACCTTGATTAATCATTTCCGTACATAAAAAATGAATGAATTGCCTAATTAGGAACATAAAACGATGTATGTATGTGACCTAATTAAGTTGCTGATTTTATTATCAATTAAATTGGAATTTTGGTCTTTTGTTGGTGAGAAAACTGACCATAAAATGATTTTCCGTGACTCGTTGTATCACTGTATCTATGTACAAGGAACAAGCTACGGCTGGCTATAGGTTTCAGTCAAGTACATGAATATGTATATGCGTTGACTATGTCTAGTAATTAACCAAACTGACAAACAAAACAAATCTTGGGTGCCAAGTTAATCCAAACATTCCATCCCACTACCCACCTTTTCTGATAGTTGCTTATTGATGATTGTTGACCGGCTAATATTCCACTTTTTTTATTCCATATTTCGACAAGGAGCGCTTATGATTGATAATTAATTAATGTATGTAAGGATATATGGGCTAACATCAGGTGACTAGGGGGTCCCTTAGTCACATGGGTGCGAATACTATAACAACAGCCTATTTGTTGTTACTGTAACAACAAGGGCAACAGAGTAAAATTAAAATTAAATAATAAAATAAAAATCAAATCATTTATCACACGCGTCTTCCTCCGTCCCCCGCTCTTCCGCCGCTGTGTTTCGCCTCCAATGGAAAACCATCCCCCATTCTCCACCTCGAACACCTCCACTCCGTCTCTCCCCATCCTCCGTCGGATAATCCATCACTATAACCGCAGCGGCGACGGCGAAAAAACAGGTTCCTCTTCTCTCACTTCCTGCTTCGCCGTCGACTAAACGCGAGAAGAGCGCTCCAACTCCAACCTCCTCGACGACTTGACCTACAGCGCCCATCTCCCTGCCGGAACAACAAAATTCAGATCTCGTTTGTCCTCCTCCGCCTTGCTTTCCCTCACCATCTGTGCAGCTTCCTCCTCCCGCAATTTCAACTCTTCCCTGTTTATAGGTTGTTTACAGACTCACAGTTGTTCAACAAATTCGTGAAATTCGATCCCTGGAGAAAGAGTTTGTCTACCTTATTCTGCACAACCACCGGCGGCGGCGGGTCGTCGCCGAAATCGGGAACAGAGGAAGGTGTGTTTGTATTACATCGTCGAGATCGCGACCTGGGCCTGCTCCCTGTATCCATCTCCACAATCTTCGGCGTTTCATTGGCGACAGCGAGATTGCTGGCGGCGTCGATTATTATTCCGCTGTCGAAAGGAGCAGAGAGCCTCCGACTATGGTGAACTGAAGCTGAACTTCTCGTCTCGTCTAATCTTCTCATCTCGTCGAATCTCTCTTGGAAAAAGAACCCATTCAATTAAATTTTAAAATCTCGAATTTGAATCTACAAGAAATTGGCTTTGACATTTTAGCTTACCATTGATTTTCGAGCTCGAATTTCTAATCGATTTCGAGCAGCAGCTCTCTGAGACCTAACGGCGGCTTGCGCCCTGATTAATTTGTTTCTTCGTTGTTAATTGGTAGTTGATGAGATGGCAATCATCTCTCTGCAATGTCTCTTGGTGATGTGTCCAAAAACTCATTACCTATTATTCATCCTTAATGCACTAGTAGGTTGTTTCTTAGTATTCCCGTCCATTCATCTAGTAGGAACGTCGGATAGAATAACAAACCTCACAAAGCATACCACAATTATCTCGAAAGCATACTAGAAACCTCCTAATGCATACTATAAATTGTCTAAAACATACAAGAAACACGGTAAAACAAACCAGAAATATTTCTAAAGCACACCAGAAACCTCGCAAACCAAACCACAAAAGTTTCGAAAGCACACCAGAAACTTCGTAATGCAAACCAGAAACCTCCTAATGCATACCACAAATCTCCTAAAACAAACCACAAACCTCACAAAGCAAACCACAACATTTGCGAAAGCACACCACAAACACGTTAACGCAAACCAAAAAAGCAAACCATAAACGTCCTAATGCAAACCACAAATATATTAAAACAAACCAGAAACCTCACAATGCAAACCACAAAGTTTTTGAAAACAAACCAGAAACTTCTCAACACAAACACAATAAAACAAACCATAAAAGGCATAAAAAATATGAGAAACCAAACCATAAATCTCACAATGCAGACCATAACATCCGGTGGTCGTTGACCGTTGACCGGTCAACGAAGACCGTTGACCGAACTCCGGTGACCGTCAGTGAGCAGATTCCGACGCCGATAGGCATATTCCGACCCCGGTGACTAGATTCCGACGCCGGTAAGCATATTCCGACGCCGGTAAGCATATTCCGACTTCGGTAAGCATATTTCGGCCACAAAATAGCATATTCCGGCGACAAAAAGCATATTCCGGTGACCGACGACCATTTTCCGGCGACCGGTGGCAGAATTCCGACGACCAAATTTTTGGGCAGAAAATAAAAAAATATTATTTTATTTTTTTATTTAAATAGATTTTTCATAATGACAATTATACCCCTGCTTTGATTTTACACTAGGTCAACTCATTTAATAAAAAGTCATCACAATCCTAGCTTCCTATTGGTTGGGGACTAGTGTTGTTACAATAACAACACAATGGGTGTTGTTACAATAACCGGTCCCTAGTCACATGACTAAGTCAATCTCCACCCTTGCACCTCATTAAAATCCAATGGCCCATATTAATCCAATTTAAAAAAGGACAATATAGTAATTGCATGATTATTTAATTTATTAATTTATATAATAAACAAAAATAAATAAGTTTTGGCCGCTGCTGCCTTCGGACTTCCGCGATTCCCTAGCCGGAAAATTTTCCCGTCGGTTTTGGTTTCGTTTCCGGCGTCCCCTCTAGCCGGCGGCTACTGTAATTGCTGTCCATTTATATTATTGATGTTCCTGTATGAGAGAGAGAGAGAGAGAGAGAGAGAGGGAGAGAGAGAGAGAGGGAGGGAGAGGGAGAGAGAGAGAGTTTCTGGTCGGAAATTTTTTCCCGGCGACCGTCGTGGACGGAGAAGAATTTTCCGGCGACAGAGCCAATTTTGTGATGTTTGTTGACATATTTTGTAATGTTTGTACGCTTTGTTATTTTGTAATGTTCGTAAACTTTGTTATTTTTGTGCACCATGTTTATCATTTTTGTCAACCATGTTTGTAATGTTTTTTATGTCTAAAAAACAACATGGTTGACTTTTGGATGAAACTTCTCTATATAGGGATGGAGCCTCCAAAGTCAACCCGGGTGTTTTTTCCCGTTCGTTGGATTGTCGGTCTAGTTTGTCATTTTTGTCCACCATGTTCGTACTGTTTGTATGTCTAAAAACACCCGGGTTGACTTTGGGAAGGAGCCCCTCTATATAGGGATGGAGCCTACAAAGTCAACCCGGGTGTTTTTTCCCGTTCGTATGGAATATTGTCGGTCTAGTTTGTCATTTTTGTCCACCATGTTCGTACTGTTTGTATGTCTAAAAAACACCCGGGTTGACTTTGGGAAGGAGCTCCTCTATATAGGGATGGAGCCTCAAAAGTCAACCCGGTTGTTTTTTCTTTTTGTATGGTTTGTATTGTTTGTCGGTCTAGTTTGTTTGTTTGTACAGTTCATACGTTTGTAATGTTTGTAAATCTGTTTGTATGTTTTGTCGCTCTAGTTTGTACGGTTCGTATGTTTGTATGGTTTGTACTGATTGTAAATCAGGTTTGTATACTTCGTAATTTTTCATAATACCCAAACTACCCTTGCCATTAATTAAATAGCCCTTCCCACTTTTTAACCATTGGATTGAAGTGTCCAGATCTAATGGCTAGGAGGGGCTTAGTCAAGTGACTAAGCACCCCCCCTTAGTCACCAGATCCGCACTCAGGATATATATGATTTTTCAGTAGCCGCGACAAGTTCGATAGCTCGTCTTTTTCATAAATTTAAATTTTAACATCTCTATTGATCAGAGTTCGATAGCCAATAAATACAAAAATATTAGGAGCGTGTAACAGTTTGATCAGCACTGATCAATCAATTAATCAAATGTAATGTTGTTTGGTTTTAGGTTCAATAATATGTATAGGACAAGTCTGTACAAGGGTGGTGAAAGCCTCTCTCTATATATATATATATTATTGTTAAAGGGATGAAGTTATAATAGTATTTGTAGCGCGGGTATTATATTGACTATTAAACATTTTCCAACAATTTGAACTATTGGGATAAATGAGTTATTGATACATGGTATAAGAGTCTTTTGTATTGTTCAAATCCCAGTCACCTACATAGACAAACACATCACATGGTATCTCATGTCTGTCCAAACTTCAAACTAATACGAAAAGTCTTGATAGGCTTGATGCTGGACAACCTGTTTGCAAGCGGTTTTATAAGCAACACCTTTTATACATGTCATACGAGAAATTAGCAACATTATATTAATGAACACTCCATATACCAATTTCCCCGTTCCTCATCTTTCTTGCAGCACTGAACTGTCGAGATTTTCTCTTTAGATAGATATTATTGCTTCGTTTTTTATACATCTAGCTACCGTAACGTTGAAGTATATATCTCGATTACACCATATGACCGAGTCGACTCCCTAATACGTCCACGTTTACGTAAACAATATTATTATAATATCAAAACAACTAGCTACGATCGACAATCAACTAAGCTACGCTCTGCGTAACCATATATAAAGCCCGCGATTCTTATCAGTTCTGGCCGTGTTAAGAGATAACCAGCAGGACGGTGGCGCATGCAGGGGAAAGTCATCATTATCATCATGAATCCAACAACAAGCCACGGCGGCCGCCGGATGCTAACAACAGCAGCTCTGTTCATCGCCGTCGCTCTGATCTCCCTTGACGCCGCTTCTGCTCAGCCGGACACTCATTACTACGAGTTCATTGTAAGCAAAAAAAAAAAAAAAAAAAACTATTACCTAGCTCTCTAACAAGGCACCGTCGTTGAGTGGCTGCAAATGTTGCGTTAGGTGGGATTAAGAAAGACACAAGAAACTTGCTAATGCATGCGCGCACACGTAGCTATTTGTTTTTTTATGTATACCTAATTTCCACCAATAATGAAACTCGATCGCCTTGTTGCAGCTGAAGGAGTCCAACTTCACGAAGCTGTGCAGCACCAAGGCGATGATCAGCGTCAACGGATCGTTTCCCGGTCCGACCATCACGGTCCGGAGAGGGGACACCGCCTACGTCAACGTCCACAACCACGGCGAGCATGGCGTCACCATTCACTGGTATAAACTGAACGTCCGACCGGCCGGCAGCCAAATTGATTAGTTCGTTTTAGGGTTAACGATGGTATATAATAATGGTGACGTGTGGCAGGCATGGGGTGAAGCAGCCGAGGAACCCGTGGTCGGACGGGCCGGAAAACATCACCCAGTGCCCGATTCAGCCCGGGAACAACTTCACGTACGAGGTTGTCTTCTCCGACGAAGAAGGGACGCTGTGGTGGCACGCCCACAGCGAGTGGACCCGAGCCACCGTCCACGGCGCCATCGTCGTCCTGCCGGCTCAGGGAAAGACTTACCCTTTCCCGGCTCCTTATGCTGACCAAACCATTGTCCTCGGTACGTATTATATATATAAATCTAGCTATTTTAGTCATCAACCATTCCTTATGGCATGATGTTGGTGTAGTCAAATATTTTAGTCATTTTAAAAACAATTCTCTATTGTTATGTTAGTCTAGTTTAATTGTGTCAATAATTTCATATACAAATTGTACCAACAGCCTTTTTTCCTTCCTTTTATGCGAGTAGATATAGATGTTGATTAATAGGATTATGTATAATAAATAAAATAAAATTCAAGAACTAGTCTAGCATAGAACTAGAAGTTATTTGTACTTTTTTGGGCAAAGTCTATTTTTTGTCCAAACCTTTTTCAGATTCTTTTATATTATCCAAGGTATCGAAATACTCCAAATTAGCCAAATGTTAACTTCCAGTTAGCAATTTTGTTAGTAATATTGACTTGGAAACATGATACTGACTTGGAAGAGACTCATGAAGGTCAACATTCCAAAATTTTAATATTTTAACTAAGAAAAGAGTTATAAAATTATTAACGATAACATAAAAATGGCTAATATTTTGATGCGTTATGAAAGATTTGGATAATTAATAGTATTTCAATAGATTTGAATAATATAAAAGAATCTAGAAATGATTTGGATAAAAAATAGACATTGCCCTATTTTTTCCCTATCCAATGAGAAACATTGTAAAAAAATAAAAACTTCACCCACATGCAGCCTCATGGTTCAAGGGCGACGTAAAAACCATAATCGACGACGCGGTCTCCACGGGGGGCGACCCACGCGCCTCCGACGCCTTCACCATCAACGGCGAGCCGGGCGACCTCTACCCCTGCTCCAAGCCCACCACCACCCGCATCACCGTCAACTCCGGTCAAACCTACCTCCTCCGCCTCATCAACGCCGTGATGAACGAGGAGCACTTCTTCGGCATCGCCAACCACACCCTCACCGTCGTCGGCCGCGACGGCTCCTACACAAAACCTTACCCCACCCCTTTCGTCGTCATCTCCCCCGGTCAAACCATGGACGTCCTCGTCACCGCCAACATGACGGTCAGCCACTACTACGTCGTCTCCACGCCGTTTGAAGACGGCGACGTGCCGTTCGACAAGACCACGGCTACGGCCATCATGCAGTACTCCGGGGTGTACCCTCCGCCGTCGACGGTGCCGTTCCCGGTGCTGCCGGCGTACGACGACAGCGACGCGGCGGAGGGGTTTGTTGCCGGGCTGAGGAGTTTGGCGAGCGAAGAGCATCCCGTGAATGTGCCCAAGGACGTGAAGAGGAGGTTTGTGATCGCGATTGCGTTGAACGCGCTGCCGTGTGCTAATGCGTCGTGCGATGGGCCCGATGGCAATCGGTTGGCGGCCAGCTTGAACAATGTGAGCTTTGTTAGCAGGAGCGTTGACATTCTCGATGCATACTACAGGTAATTTTTACCGTTGGTTACCGGTATTTGGGATATACCGAATATCATACGATATACCGAATATCATACAGAATTTGTTGAATATGTGATATTGTGTTGTCTGGTATTAGAGATTACAAGATTGAGATTACGGTTATATTCCGAAATAGCGAGAAATATCGAAATGTAAGCTAGTGTATGTATTTTATCCCTCTCGGCTAGACTCTCTCACTCACTGCTACCAGACCGCTCAACAACAAAAATGACCACCTAATTATACACAACTCATTCCCTTACTATTTGATAACCCACACCAATATGATTTTGTTATGTGTAGGCTGTTTAGAGGTGCCATGTTTCAGTTTGTTGCTTTAGTATGATAATGTGTTTTTTAGACACCATATATATTCTCTTAGTTAGTCGTTATTATATTTGATTTTTTTTTTTCATTTGTTTTACATGAGTGTTGACAACATTATTTTCTTTTATATATTTTGAGGATGATTTGTGGAGCGGCTGACTGGACGAGAAGTATTTGCTTTTATTTATTTGATTGATAATTTTGATGATATTTAGTTTGAAATTAGTAATTTTGAGATTGAAATTTCAATGAATTATGCTTTAAAACAACATTGCAATGAATTTTGTGGAAGCAGCAACCAGAACGGGATATTCAACCAAGACTTCCCAACCGAGCCGCTGACCTACTTCAACTTCACCGGGAACAACGCGGACGTCTCCGGCGCCACCGCGAGGGGCACGAGGGCCATGATGGTGGAGTACGGCGACACCGTGGAGATCGTGCTGCAAGGGACCAGCCTCAGCGCCGCTCAGAACCACCCGATCCATTACCACGGCTACAACTTCTTCCTCGTCGGCGCCGGCAAGGGCAACTTCGACGTCAAGACTCACCCCGGATCCTACAACTTGGTCGACCCGCTGGAGGTCAACACCATCGGCGTCCCCAAGAACGGCTGGGCCGCCTTCAGGTTCCTGGCCAATAATCCTGGTAATTAATTAAACTATATTTATGGGGAAGAAAAAAAGTATAGCTACTTTCTATTTGTTTTGTGATTAAGAATTTGATTAGTGAAAAATTGGGGCTGTGTAGGGGTTTGGTTTATGCACTGCCACCTGGAGCGACATGCGACGTGGGGGATGGAAACCGTCGTCATCGTCAAGAATGGGAACTCCACCGACGCCAGAATCCGTCCCCGGCCGGATCACATGCCGCTCTGCAGCGCGTCATGAAGGAAAAGAGGGCAGGAAAAGTTCATATACTTACTAAAGTTGAAATCTGATATAGGGTGCTTATGAGCATACACATATTTGAAAGAGAGGAGGGGAATTAGTACTGGACTAATATTTGGGTTATGCTTCGATGCATTAGCATGTCGTTTTGCACCTCTATTACGTTTAAAGTATCACAATAAGAGATATTAATTTGATTTTGAGCTTATGTACTTGTGTTTACGATTTGTTATACTTATATTATATATGGCCAGCCTGCTTATGGGTTGTTATTTACGTATACACCAACACTTGAATGAAATGTAATTCCAAAATACGTTCTTAGTATGTTTCGTATCGTTATTTTATCATGTTGTGGGATTTGAAACAAAATTGTGCCCTTATATTAGCTATAGAGATAGGGGTTATAGTTGACTTAATAATCCACATTTGATATCATGAGAAAGAGTTAAAGTTAGGAATGACAATGGGGCAGGTCCGGGGCGGGTATCTCGATACCCATACCCGCCCCGTGGCAGGCCGGGTAGGGTAATTTATCATGGGGCGCGGGTCGGGGCAGGGTCGACCCATTGGGTATGTAATTTATGCGAAAAACATTAGAATTATTCGTTATTTTAATTAAAAGACCAAGAAAGATATCATAATTTGATAAAAACTGTAGTTAAATTATTGGAGAAATTGAGTTTTTCACTTATTTACAACTTTATTATACATAAAATATGATGTAATAAGAGGAAAATCCTAAGTCATTTGACTAAGATTACATGTAATTTAGGTAAGAACGGGTCGAGAATGGGGCGGGTCAGGGCAGGTCGGGTCGATGAGAGGTACCCATTCCCGCCCTGCCCCGCCTACGGGATGGGTCGGACCCGCCTCAAAACAGGTCGGGTAAATCGGGTCAGGTCGAAATTGCCATTCCTAGTTAAAGTTGATTTGATAATCCATTATTTAATATCGAGGATAAATAAACGAGAGGAAGCAAAAGAAGGGAAGGAAAAAATATTTATAAACTCTTCCAGTATAAGCAAGAACTATGATATGCTAACATTTGTGGTGATTACAATGCTAGGTTAAATGTCACATCGTGGCTGCACTACTCAAGATCGGGGTGAATTTAACAAAACAAAAATCAGTATGTTATCTTAACATACTAGCTTTTTACCCGGCCCGTTGGTCGGAGAGTTTCATTTTATCGTTGACATTAATTCAATTTATCTATATGTTTAAACTATTTTAGACCTTCTAAATTTATTATATTTTGTATTAATAAGTGAGCATGTGGTGTGTCTATATATTGAAATTTCTCAATACTTAGTACATTTACTTATAATGTTTGAATTCTCTAATCATAAACCATGTCACAAAGGTATACCACGTCTCATGTTAGCTGTAAGGAAGTGGTTAAGCACCATACACGGGCCTGTATAAGATCTAGCATAACCAGTGACGGACCTAGAAATTATCCATAGGGGTGTCCTCTTTTAAAAATAAATTTAATAAAAATAATTAATAATTAATAAAAATAAATTCATAAATTTGAAAATACCTTACTCGTACAGGTTAAAAAAGTCCATGATATGTTTTCATATTTGGAAATAATTGTAGAATACACTTGGTGTCTAGAGTGTTAAAAAAAATTTATCTCTATATACCCTACTAGACAATCATTCACGAACTTATCGCATATTCGATTTGTAAACTTGTTCTCGATGTAACCCAAAGCTGAAAGACTCTTTCAACACTTGTCGTATTAAGGGTAGCTTAAAATTAGTTTAATTGTTAGGTTTTTAAACTAATTAGAGATAGAAAATGACATTTTACTATTACATTTTTCAAAATCGAACAACAAATGAGTTGTAGGTCAACAAAAATTAAGTTTATTAATAAGAATAGTGTTCTAGATTTGAATTATCCAATCTACCACTTATATTCCTATACACAAATGACAGTAGGATAATCATGTTTTCAAATTTCAGGGGTGTCCCTCACTATCAATTTTTTTTTTTTTGTCCATACGTAAATTACCACCGGGGTTGGATAATCGTATTCCCAAAATTTAGGGGTGTCCGGGGACACCCCTAAAACCCCATGGGTCCGCCCCTGAGCATAACCTTCTCCCAACAACTCGAGTTATTGGGACCAACTGGTTTATGACATGGTATCAGAGCTGGTTGTCCGTGAGGTCACGTGTTCAAGTCCTCACGGCCCCCAATATTAACCGTTGTCTTTCAAGCACATGGTATGGTGGGCCTGTGCAAACTTCAAGCCCATGAGTCGGCTTTCGTTTGAGGGGGCGTGTTAGGAAGTGGTTAAGCACCATACACGGGCCTGTATAAGATCCAGCATAACCTTCTCCCAACAACTCGAGTTATTGGGACCAACTGGTTTATCACATTAGCTATAGAGATAGGGGTTATAGTTGATTTAATAATCCACATTTGATATCATGAGAAAGAGTTAAAAGTTGATTTGATAATCCATTATTTAATATTGAGGATAAATAAACGAGAGGAAGCAAAAGAAGGAAGGAAAAAATATCTATAAACTCTTCCAGTATAAGCAAGAACTATGATCTGCTAGTACGCGGTACGCGCCCTTCATGGGCATGGCAGGGTGTTCTTTTGGGCAGGGACCTTTTGGTCCAAGGACTCCGTTGGTTAATTTGTTGTGGGATGTCGGTTCACATTACGAATGATGTTTGGCTACCCACCACTCCTCCTTCTAGGCCGATTTTGCTTCCTGGGGTTGTCTTACCTAACTCTTTTGTTTCTTGCCTTATTAATCATGGTCAAGGTACCTGGAAGGAGAACGTGCTTTCACACCTCTTTGATTCCGCCACTGTCCAGTTAATCTTGTCTATTCCTCTGCCAATTTTTCCTGTGGCTGACCGTTTGATTTGGCATTTTGAAGTCTCAGGCGAATATTCTGTGAAATCTGGGTATCGTTTAGCTGCGGCTGAGTACGTTGCAGATTTTTCCACAATTCCATGGTCTTTTGATTCTCGCTCTTGGAAGTTTCTATGGTCTCTTCCTGTTCCCCCAAAGCTTAAATTTTTTCTTTGGCGCGTGGTTAAAGGTTTCCTCCCGGTTCGAGATGTGCTTCGTGATAAGGAACTGATTGCTGATGAAGATACTGAGGCTTACGCCTGCCCTGTCTGTGGTGGTGCGGCTTAGACTCTTGCTCATTGTTTTTTGGATTGTCGGATTGCTTTGGAGTTGTGGGAATTGTTGGGGTACAACCATATTCTTGCCCAAATTCGCATGTGTCATGTTGCAATTGGTTGGCGTAGGATATTTTTTGATGCAGGTTTATCTATGGTTGAGATTTCGCGGTTGGTTTTTCTGTACTGGAGGCTCTGGAAGTCCAGGTGTTTGGCTACTTACGATGGTATTCAGTATTTCTCCCATGTTTTATCACGTCATTATTACTCTCAGGTTGCTGAATGGGAGCTAGCACAGGCGCATCCGGTGAGATCCTTGCCTCGCGGTCCATCTGCTTCCAGTGGGGTTTTACCTCGTGATCAGCCCCCTCCTTCCATACCTCCCGGTGCAGTATTGATACACTTTGATGGTGCCACCAAATCTTTGGTCGGTTGTGCCATTGGTTTTGTTGGCTTTGATGAGGCGAATCACTCCATTTTCTCTTGGGGGCGCTTTATTCCTAATATTGATGACCCATTTCTCGCAGAGCTCCTGGCCCTTCGCGACTCTTTACGTTGGTGCGTAGCTCACTCTTTCACTAATGTTTTGTTTTGTGGGGATGCGCAGGTGATCGTTCGGCTGATTAATGCGAAGGACTCGGCGCACGCGGTGGGTGGAGCTCTCCTGCAAGAGATTCAGGTGTTGCGGGCTTCGTTCCTTCGTGCTTCGTTCCATTTCGCTCCCCGTAGGTTTAATAGGGCTGCCCATCTCGTGGCAAGACAAGCCCTTGGAGCGATGGTGCAGACACTTGTCGACCATCGTGTTTTATTTATTTAATTTCCTAACCTGGTCTTAGGAGGCCTTGTATATTGTCGTATCTTCGCTGCATCCCTTTCGGGATAACTTTGGCAAAAAAAAAAAAAAAAAGAACTATGATCTGCTAACATTTGTGGTGATTACAATGCTAGGTTAAATGTCACATCGTGGCTAAGCTACTCAAGATCGGGGTGAATTTAACAAAAAAAAAAAATTCAGTATGTTATCTTAACATATGTTTAAGATGGTTATTTGTTGACCTATTGAAATTTTGGGATCTTTTTGTTAGAAGCTAAAACTTAGGTGACCATTTTAACCACTTGGCCATAAATTTATTATTATCTTAGCGGAGTCGTTGTCTACAATTTATCCCGTGGACTACTGCCGGCCTTCTGTAACTATATACGAAGGAGATACTAGTCATTTGCATAGGGCTGGAACTGTCATTTCACTTCAAGTTTCAAAAAAATTTAAAATATCCAACGCCAAGTCCCATCTTCGCCGTTCAAACATCACAATCGAACGGCACCAAACGGGCCAAAATAGAAAAGGAGGGAAACAGCCACAGCCGTCCGATCTTCAATCCCTTACCCTACGGCTCTCTTATATAACGCCGTCTTGCGAGCCTGGCAGCCTGCAGACAACTTCGCTCGCTCACTCCACTCTACTTGCCATTGCTTTCTACTCACTCTGACTCGGTCCAGTCGCCGCTCGCCGCCGGCGATCCGTTCGTGCCTTCCGCATTTCCGCTGCCGTTCTCCCCGGTCGCTCATCTGTAAGTCTCCGCTTACTGTTTCTGCTCGTCTCTGTTTAGATACCTGGATGAGGGAAGGGAACAATGGTGCGCTGTGTTTCCACTTTCCGATTGCGATTCTCTTCGAAGTTTTTGTGTACTCTTCCGATTCTTTCTCGGAATCCAATCAGTATTCTGTTGTGCTTTTGCGACGAGCATTATCGTCGAACTTAATTGATTCTCAGATCTGCGGTTTATTTACAGAGAATTAGGTCAATTAGGCTCGATTTCTTCGTCATCTCCTTCTACCAGTGCTTTATACGTCAATGGATGTTATGATTGGACTCTGAACCCGCTCATCTGGTGTTTGGTCTACAGAAAACCTAGAAAATGAGAGAAATCTTGCACATCCAAGGAGGTCAGTGCGGGAACCAGATCGGTTCCAAGTTCTGGGAAGTCGTTTGTGACGAGCACGGCATTGACCCCACTGGAAGGTACGTCGGGACCTCCGATCTGCAACTGGAGCGTGTCAACGTCTACTACAACGAAGCATCATGTGGACGGTTTGTGCCCCGTGCTGTGCTCATGGATCTCGAGCCTGGGACCATGGACAGCGTGAGGACTGGTCCCTATGGCCAGATCTTCAGGCCTGACAACTTCGTCTTCGGCCAATCTGGTGCTGGTAACAACTGGGCCAAAGGTCACTACACTGAGGGCGCTGAGCTCATTGATTCGGTTCTGGATGTTGTCCGAAAGGAGGCTGAAAACTGCGACTGTCTTCAAGGTATACATTCGCCTCTGCGTACTTTGATTCCGTTTTTTCTCCATTGTAATCCGCTGTTAGCATAGTTGCCTACTGAATCTGATGCTTATTTGAGATTGGATATGCAATGGCTGAACTCGATTTGTGTCTTCTTTAATTTACACAACTGCGATTCGAAATTGATTGTATTGTTGTGTATGAACATACAGGTTTCCAAGTATGCCACTCTCTCGGTGGAGGAACTGGATCAGGAATGGGAACCCTGTTGATCTCCAAGATAAGGGAGGAATACCCAGACAGAATGATGCTTACCTTCTCCGTCTTCCCATCCCCTAAGGTTTCCGATACAGTGGTTGAGCCATACAATGCCACACTCTCTGTGCATCAGCTGGTTGAGAATGCCGATGAATGTATGGTGCTTGATAACGAGGCATTGTACGATATCTGCTTCAGAACTCTCAAGTTGACCACTCCCAGCTGTAAGTATCCTTCTTAGTTCTCTATTGACAGCCAAAGGTCCCATATATGTTGTTGACGTGTTTGATTTTCACATCTTGGGCAGTCGGCGATCTGAACCATCTGATCTCTGCAACAATGAGCGGCGTCACCTGCTGCCTGCGCTTCCCCGGCCAGCTGAACTCCGACCTCAGGAAGCTGGCGGTGAACCTGATCCCATTCCCGCGTCTCCACTTCTTCATGGTCGGGTTCGCTCCCCTGACCTCCCGCGGGTCGCAGATGTACCGTGCCCTGACCGTCCCGGAGCTGACCCAGCAGATGTGGGACTCCAAGAACATGATGTGCGCCGCCGACCCTCGGCACGGCAGGTACCTGACTGCCTCGGCCATGTTCAGGGGCAAGATGAGCACCAAGGAAGTCGACGAGCAGATGATCAATGTGCAGAACAAGAACTCGTCCTACTTCGTGGAGTGGATCCCCAACAACGTGAAGTCCAGCGTCTGCGACATCCCACCGCGCGGCCTGTCGATGGCGTCGACGTTCGTGGGGAACTCGACCTCGATCCAGGAGATGTTCAGGAGGGTGAGCGAGCAGTTCACTGCCATGTTCAGGAGGAAGGCTTTCTTGCATTGGTACACCGGGGAAGGGATGGACGAGATGGAGTTCACCGAGGCGGAGAGCAACATGAATGATCTGGTGTCGGAGTATCAGCAGTACCAGGACGCGACCGCCGACGAGGAGCTGGATTACGAGGAAGAGGAGGAAGAAGGTGACGAGATGTAAGTTTGGGGGGAATGAAGAGCGCAGAGTTGGTTGAGAGGGAGGGGAGCCTTTTCATTTTCGTAGATAATTCTAGTACTTGTTTGCGCCGAGACTGGGAACCATATGATATTTGGTATTGTGAAATATTTTGGCCGTCCGTCTATGTCTGTCCTGTTACTTGACTCTATGCGTTTTGATGTTCTTCGTTCTTTGTCATTTTCTCGTTTTATGATGTTGTAATCGTGTTTGAAGAAGCGTTTTGATCATCAATGTGGAGTTTTCATTTAGTCTTCGACCCCTCTCCCTTGTTTTTATTTTCTGAACTGGAAAACCCAATGTAGTTGGAAATTCTAGTACAAAATTGGGCGAATTAGTATGATTGTTGAATTGACGAATGAATGTCAGATCTGAAACTTAAAAGCGTTTTTAATCCGTTCCAGTTCCACCCTAACAAGTTCTTATTACTTCTAAACTCTTTGATCAATTGAGGAAGGCCACATTCAAGAGATCTCGTAACAATCAAGGAAAAGCCTAAAAAAAATAAGAGTGATTTTTGGAAAGTTGTTTTTTCCAATGAAATTTTGTCCTGTTATCACCTACTCTGAGGAAAGCCAGAACAGATTGAATCTTGCAGAGGATGAAGGGATATTAAAGTTTTTATTTAGTATTAACCATTAAAATTAATGTGTTTATGGGTTATGTTTGGTTTAAAGTTTAAACCGACACCATTGTTGTTGTGGCCTTGTGGGCACGGGGTTGAGATTGGAATCGGGAAGACGACAGCAGCGTGGTGTGGGTGTTAAAGATTGCGGCTGGGCCAGCTCATGGAGGATGTGGACATTGCATCTGCAAACTAACGTGGTGATCCATTATTGTCATGTGATTGTACCACCAAACGAAAAAGATAGAGGGTTGCTAAATGCCGCCTTAATCTCACTACAATCGTCCTAATTTAAACATTAAAATTATCTTTTTACCCTTTTCTTATTTTATTTTTAACATATATTTTATTTTGAAACACACATAAAAAAAAACTAAATCTACGCTCTGGTGACTAGTAAAACTCTCCATAATCTAGTCGCCGTTATCCGCCGCCGCCGTTATTTTTAACTTCTTTGTTTCAAATTCGTACAAAGTTGCTTAAACAACTGGTTTGGAGGACTTTCTTCATGTTCTCTCTTGCATGTTATCCATGGTTGTAAATTTTTCATAGCTAGCAATCCAGAGTAAGCCACAAACTTTGTAAGGCACCAAAGGAAATCCATAGCAGGATGCTTCTAGTGAACTTTGCTCATCAATCAATCTACAAATCTACTTATTAACATGCACATATAACTTATTTTCTTTCATACAATCGCGTTAATTTTACATCAACCATTCCACTTATAAACATGTGACCATAGTAAGTTAGTAACTTTTTCAAGATATACCAACATTGCATAGCTACCGCGATAGGTAATGATTGAAGCGACTCATACAAAGTTAAACACTCAAAGATACAAAAGAGATCAAACTCGCACCACAAAAATTCAAATATGGAAGCATTAATCCTATTACTTTCCCCACAACGATTATCATGATAATCTCTTCTTCTTTATTTTCTAGACATCCCAAAACAATAATCGAATAGCAACAATCTCTCCTGTAGAACCGCCAATAACAACAACAACAACAAAAAGAGTGAAGAAAGACAAAAATGAATTCGACTTTTATCATGCTGCTTCGGAAGCGATCAATATTCTTATTTTCGCTATTATATATATTGACGTCGATCGTAAGACCAACTTTAACAACCCACTATCAAAACCCAACTCCCAACATAACCAAAATCCCACTCACTACCAATTTCAACGGCGAAACGGCAAACCGCTCGCCGGAGTTCTTCAACGACGACTTGGCCGACTTCTCCTTGCTACCATCATCACCACTATCATCATCACCGCCGCCGCCGGCCGCGTCGCTCCCGCCGCTCCCCGGCCCTCCTTTGGGGTGGCTGAAATCGGCCGGGACGGTGGTGTCCGGCGCCGAATCCTCATTGTCGACGTCGTCGCTGTTGGGCGCGGGTGCCTGCTCCGACGGAGGCTTGAGGCCGTCGGGGAGGCCCTGGCCGTGGGAGACGGAGGGGATCTTGAACCGCTGCCCGCCGCGGCACTGGTCGCCGTCGTAGTCGCCGGAGAAGAAGAAGGCGGGGCCTTCGTGGAGGAGCGGGACGGCGACGGTGACGGGGACGGTGGCGGTGTTGGAAGGGTCGCCGGAGGACCATTGGGTGGTGTCGGCTTCGAGGGAGTCGTCGTAGTCGCACTGCTGGTAGGTTGTCAGGTTGGACGTCTGGATCACCGAGTGGTTGGTGTTCGTGTTGAAAACTGCGTGTCGGCAAAAGGTCAGAAGAAAGGAAACAAAATCAACAGTTGAAAAATGGTGTTGGTTGCACAAAATTTAATCAAAAGTGGGATATAATCAAATGGATATGAGTAAAGAATGGTAGTGTGATGAGATAGTATAGTCTTTAGCCAATAAAATATTAGGGGGGGGGGGGCGATGATCGGTTAGATGGTTAACCGTTGATGATTAACGATTTAAGAAGGATGAGAGCAGGGAAGACAATTTCGACCCGATTCGTTTTACCCAACCTATTTTGCTTGATTTGGGGCGGGACGGCGCATATTCTCATCGACCCAACCTGCTCTGACCCGCCTCATTCTCAACATGTTCTTGTCTGAATTACATGCAATCTTAGTTAATATTAATTAGAATTTTCTTTTATTATAATCACAATTTAGCTATAATAAAGTTGTAAATTACTAAAACCCTCAATTTTTCCAATAATTTAACTACATTTATCATAATATGGCTTGTTTTATTGATCTTATAATGAAATTAACGTATATTTCTAATATTCTTCATATAAATTGCGTACCCATTGGGTCGACTTGCTCTGACGCGATCCATAATAACTTACCCGACTTGCCACGGGTTGGATATGGATATCTTGATACCCGCCCGAACCTGCCCATTACCATTCCTAGAAAGGAGTGACCATAGACCAGACCACTAACTCATATTACCCCAAAATAACTCTAACGTGACTCTAATGACTGGTCGTTGCTACCACAACATCCTGTTTCCTGTCACAACTCAATCACTATTCACTACTATATGGCCCGTTTTAACGATAAACTAAAGATGAGAATCCGATTCTCTTTTTAACCTAGCAAACTATCTTGAGGAAGATATTGTTTAGAGTCTCAAATGAGGCATCACTTGCATTTAATAGTGATTTTGACCTACTTAAGATAAAGGTTATCGATTCTCTTAAAATCTGTTCTTTTTCTTCATTACTTCACTAGTAGATTCCTTCCTCCATTTTTGCTCAATCATATTGAGTCGGCCGCAAAAAGGACAGCCAGCACTCAGTTAGCACTTAGCACCTTATCCACATTCATTCACCTGGCCGGGTCGGTTTGGCTGTGGCTTGGGTGTCAGTCAGTGTCTGCGCGCCCCAAGACTACAAGAAAGGAACCACATGCGAAAACCCGCCATGTGCGCCTTTCATCTTCAGGAATAAACACCTTTGCGTTAGGAAGAAGAAAGATAGATACATCACACACATTCCCACGCTAAGTTCTCTATTCTTCTTCTTCCATCCTTTCAAGTCCGAAGCTTTGTTTTTGTGTTACCGTATTCGATCGCATCAGGATGTAAACTTGAATCGTCAATTATCCCCGTGAACTAACTAACTTAAAAGCCGGCAGAATTTCCCCAACTGTTAACACTCTGTATGCGGCATGAAGTTGACTCAGAAAGTATGGCGGAAAGAGACGATTGAGATGAGAAATGTCATAAATGCTTCTTACCCAATAACCAAATCAGTCACGAAATTCCCCAGCTGTCCAAAATTGGACGGTGGGAATGGAGGTGAAAGTTGTTCAACAACCGGTTTAGAGGGAGTGAATAGCCAGAGCATTTCAGAACAGAGCATATAACTTCAGGGGAGGTCAGCGGTGGAATAATTAATTACTCCCACCGTCTCATAATAGTATTTTTTCAAGGCAGTAAAGTAAAGCTAAGTTGGAGTTAATCACACACTTAAGACGATCATGTGAAGCTAGATCACTAAAAGCAATTCAGATCGACATGGAAACAAAGAAGAAGGGAAACAAAAAGCAGTAGCAAAACAGGGGTATGAAAAGAAAGTGAAATTTCTTGACAAATTAGCTGAAAAGGGGAACTTACTGAGGAAATCACCCAAGCTGAAATTGTGGGAATCAGCCCATTTCTGGTAATCGGCGGTGGGTTTCTCGGAGAGATCGTACCAACCCAGAGAATCCCCCACCGTGTAGTTCTTGTAAGCCGCTGCCGATCCTGTAAGCGAAATCATCACCATCATCATCATCATCGCCACACCAGCAGCTGCTGGAATCGACTTCCTTTCTTCCATTGTTGTTTGTTCCTAGTGGGTCTTTGACAAAATTTTGGAGGTAAAGGAATTAGTGAGGGGCTAAGCTAGAGAGAGAAAGGGGGGTGTAGATAGAGAGAGATTCGGTTTGGAGCTTTTCACTCTGTTCTCTTATTAGCCTGTTCCTAGGAATGATTGCAGAACACTTAGAACAGAGGAACATGTACTAGTGTGGTGTCTTATCTTTTCTATTATTGTATTGGGAAGTTACTAATTTCTCCCTGTATTTTCTCCTGCTATGACAGAACTGTCCCCTTCTCTTTGGGTATCAGACTATCATTAGAAAGTTGCAATCATTTTTGGGAAGCCTCAGTAAACAGCTTATATAGCCTTCTACTAATGCTATCTAGTAGGCACAACAGAGAAAAAAGTAGCAAGTACTAACAAAGTTACTTATCTAAGGGGTCGTTTGGAAGTTGCGTATGTTAAATCGTTGTATTGTTATGAATCACTATGATATAAATGCATGTATTGATACAATAGATGCATTTTGAAATTACATGGGTTAATAGTGTTTTCTGCCCCTATACTATTGCGAATTAACAAACGTGCCCCTGTACTATATTTTTGCACAAACATGCCCTTCTAATATTACAACGTAACGGAAATACCCTTCCGTTAAAAATTCCGTTTTCTCGCCGTTAACTAGGGTTGGAAATGACCCAACTACCCATGATTAATAACTAAATGTCATCTACTTTTCAAGAAAGAATCCCGTTTCTCAAAAAAAAAAAAAAAAGAAAGAAAGAACGAATCCTGTAAGCTACAGCCGTAATCCCTAATCCGTTCACCTTCTCCCTTCTACCAAGAGCGACCAGTCAATCGGCATCGGCTCCGACCACCCTCGTCCGGTGTCCACCAACCGGTCCGACGTCCACCAACTCGGCCGGCGTTGCGTTGCTGCAGGGGTAGTCGGCCGGCGCTGCCTTGTTATGGGGACTCGGGCGGCGTTGCATTGTTGTAGTGGTCCAGAACGGCCGCAATCCTGGGAGACTAAAATTCCATCCACTTATTACATTTGCAACGCAAGAGGAAATTCACACTTATTACATTTGCCTCTTAGGTAATGCTCCAATCCAAATGCCCTTAATTAAACCTAATTTATACGAATAAGACAAAAGGAGAAGGAAGAAGAGAGGGTTTGTCTCTGTTGCACCCGAGGAAGAAGGATTCCGGGATGCTCCCGCTGCTGCCGGAGGGAGAAGGCTTCCGGGATGCTCTCGCTGCCGCTGGAGGGAGAAGGATTACGGGATGCTCCCGCAGGGATGCTCTCCCACTGCCTGCAGCGTCTTCGTTGACGGGAATGATCAAATAGGAGAGGGGTGGGTTTTCTTTGAAAGTGGAAGAATCGGGTGATTTTTTTTAACAGTGGAATAATTGATTGGGGAGGGATGGCATTTAGTAATTAATAGGGGTTGTTGGGTCATTTTCGATCCTAGTTGACGGTGAGAAAACAGAATTTCTAACAGAAGGGTATTTTCGTTACGTTGTAATATGAGAGGGGTATGTTTGTGCAAAAATATAGTACAGGGGCACGTTTGTTAATTTGCAATAGTACAGGGGCAGAAAATGCTATTAACCCAAATTACATTGTTTGGTTGTTGAGATTATAATTTATGAATTGATTGTTATAAAGTTACTTTATAAGAAAATGTCATATTTGTCCTCCACTTTTAATATAAAACAAAAAGAACTATGGACATAATTGGAAAAAGTAAATGTGCTCAATTATTAAATCAACAATCACAACAATCTCAACTTTTAGTTGAGATTGTACAATCCCTCATTTTTGTTGATTGTTGGTGGGACCCACACAAAACAATACATGCATTGTTTTGCAACTTGACACTTCCAAACGTTGTATTGTGGACAATGCATGTATTTAACAAATACAACACTAACAATCGCAACTTCCAAACGACCCGTAAGTTAGGGAATGCAATCATCCTACTCAATTAGAGTTCCTGAATCCTGGTTTTGACTTTAGAGAAAATATTCTTTGTCTAGTTAGTTTCTTACATCGAGGTTATCATAGATAGAAGTAACTTACCATCTCGTCTCATACTCATCTACTTTGTTCAGGTTTTACTCAATACCCGCCCCATAACTAGTCAGTACAAAGATTTTCTACGTCGTCGACTGGGTACCACAATCGCCGGTTTAATTGCCATCTCTACCTAATGAGAGGATGACCAGTTAGACCATCATTGCTTGGGTTTCATACTTTGATTACGTTAATATTCATCTCGTATCCAATCAATACAGACATTCTCCATGTGATTGGGTCAAAGTACACGATAGCGGGTTTGATTGCCATACCTGATGACCAGTTAGGCCATCACCGCTAAGCGGTGGTTGTGTCGAGTGGGGTGGTTGTGTCACTCGATTGGTTTTGATACTACAGCTCTTCCACAGTCTCCAACCCATTATCTCAGCCAATCATGACCAACCTTTACAGCCTACAGCCTACAGCCAATCTATTGTGCCAATTAACAAATATATCTGCCGCCAAGCAATTATCTGGAGATCACCATGTGCAACAAGGGCCATTTCACGTACAATTGGTCTAAACATCATGATTGACTTCTCTTATGCTTCAATAGTTCAATCAATTTTAAAAAAAAAATTGAAAACTCAACGACATTATTATAATGTACAGAGTGCTACAAGTGGCATGCCTCCATTGCTTTAGCAACTTGTAAATAGAAAATCACGTGTGTCACAGAGTCAAATGATGCTTGCAAAACATCTCTTTCTCATCAGATGCATCACATCTACTCACCGGATACAGGTGAAAAGGCCCTTGGTGCTTTCACTGCATATGCCCCTGCAGCATGGCTACAATCTGGAACAGAGCTGCATTTGGTCAGATTCGCTGGCTCGACGACATTTGCTTCCTTGGAGCTAGAGTACCCCGGTTTACTACTCGCTTCATGCGATCACTCGTAGCAGGAGAATCAATCACTGTTATCAGCAGCAGGCACCTCAGAAATCACAAGATTTTGGAGAAGTATCCCATCTTCAGTTTCAGTTTCATCCATTGCAAAAAATTTACTTTGCTTCTTCTCTTCAGTCTTCATTGCTACATTTCAGACATAATACAGTAGGTATAAATTAATAAAATCTGAAACAGCTGGCTTGGATAGGAAAATGGAAAGAAAACCAACTGGAAATTGCAAACAACATGTTACCATGATCGGGTCTCTTCCCAACATGCCAGCAAAGCTGAAACCTTGGACATATGCCTTGCATTCTCCATCTGTCCAAGCGGCAGCAGCAGTGTTGACCCTATTTGCTGCATTACAGTAGCTTCAATTGCTTCATCACTGAGTTAATTCGGTATGAACTAAAAACAGAACATATGAAATTAGGAATGACAGAACTCTTCCTATCAACTTTTGAACGGAACTCAAACTTGGCTAAGCTAGAAGAGTTCGTAGCATCTCTACCAAGCAATTACTGAAGTAAGACCAACAATATCCGTAGGTTCTTTTGGTGCCTTTATTAACGTCTGCCTTTGGATAAACACCTGATAGCTAATGATAATCTCTATTCATATAGAATTTGATTCTTCGGCCCACCGTGTCAAATAACACATATTGCAACACTTCTGCATAAATCATTTAGAAAGTTCAATACTTCAGCAACCTTGCAATTTTCATAAGTTGAGTTTTAGGTTCGGCATAGATTTACCCGTAACAATGGCTACAAACATTGGCATTATCAGCTATGGTTGACAGGAAAACTTATTATCTTATGAAACAGGAAGGAAGTGATCCAGTTGACTACCTAAATGGAACTATGGAAGTGAAGTGAACAAACCAATGATGCTGAGTACACATTAGATTGATGAAAATGTCAACTGCCAGCAAACCAGATGTTTTTATGGAAACGTGAAGGAAGCACAACACTTATGACAAGAAAGCAGCTACAGAATGAAAATTCTAAATGCTGAACAAGTTATGAGATGAACCAGAAACTTACCAGGCGTTGGTACCAGTGCAAGACATCGAGAACGTCTCACCTTTCAAGTTTATTTCCTGAATCCAATCAATCATCATATTTCGTGCTTCAAATCTTTATTCTTTGCAGCCAGGTACAGTGCAGACTCTCCTAAAATAGCCATATCCCTGTAGTACATGCAGGCCAACCAACAGGAGACCAACTTAATGCCTCAAACCTCCATTTGATTGTTTACAATGGTATCGAGCGGTGATCATAGAACAGAAGGGAATAGTTCGATTACTCAATGTTTTGTTACTGGCTCTAACTTCCGCTCAATGGCCAGTACTTCTTTTAAGCAAAGGTGCTAAGAGAAAGAATGTGGTCAGTGGAAAAGATAAAATGGGTAAATTAGTACTTATTTTCTGCAACTGAGTGACACATACAATAAGCCGTAAAGAGCAATATCAAGCAGTTGCTAGTTGCTACAAAAGCCAACATACTGTACAGGCATCGAAAGTAATAAGCAATTTTTTTGACTGAGATACAAGTATTGGATTTCGACTTTCAGTTAAATGAGAAAGGCGTCAATCACTGAACCACCAAACCGAACTCAACTTCAATACTGCTGCAGTAGCTTATTCTCTGAGCTCCATCACAATGTCTAAGCAACAAAATAAAGACCCCAATACACCCGCAAAGTTTAATCATCAGCATTGCAGGTCTTCATGTCACAAAATGTATACGAGAACTCCCTGACACCATGCAAACATATAAATATGTCATGGCAGAAATGACTTCTTATAAAGCGAATACCAGAATTTTATAACTAGATGCCACCACCATCACATCCACTAATCTTGGGTCATACATTTTCAGTCAAATACACAGCACAAACATTGAATAATCACTTATGACGTACCTGTGAGAGCAGAAATCTTAACAGTGACATCAGAAAGGCCAGTTTGAACACTGTTTTTAACTGCTCAGTGCTTCATCTAGTTTCACGATCACCATGGAGTGTATGCACAGTTCAAGAAGAGTTGCTTCAGTTTAAAAACAAGCAACCACCACATGCAGTGTCCCCAAGGATCATAGCAAGAAGTCATCATATAGTGGATGCGTTATTTGAGGTCTTTCCCAAAGATTACAAGCTCCAACCACTGACTGCATATAGCCAAGCATTTGATGAAGCTCAACCTCTATCCTTAGGAAGCGAACTTGGTGAAGCTAAGGAACTCAGATCTATCCATAATACGGAACAACCAAATTCAAAATTTAATTTCTATCTATCTTCCTTTCCACTTAAATTCCTTTGGACCAGCAAGATTCCCTGTAGATGCATTCATCTCCTCTAGTATGGTCATCGCCAACTCTAGCTTCCCCATTTTCTTCAAGCAGTTAACTAGTGATCTATACACATAAACAGAAGGGCGGATCTGTCTCATCTTCATCTCATTGAAGAGTCTCAATGCTTCCTCAATGTTTCCCGATTGTCCAAAACTACTAATCAAAGCAGTATATGTGAGTAAGTCTGGTTGAATTCCAAGTGCTGACATGTCCTTTAAGTATACCAAGCACAAATCTAATCTTCCCTTCTTCCTCAAGTGATTCAATAACGTATTGAAAGATACAAAATCCGGGATAATTCCTGCCTCCTTTAAAGATGCAAACTTGTTCACCATTTTATCAGTCTGGCCGGAACGACCTAGCATATCCATAATAGTATTATAGGTGACCAAATCAGGCTCATACTTCAGACTCTTTATCTCATCAAATATCATAAGGGCTTTCTCCGACTGGCCACACTCAGCAAAGGCGCAGATGAGTCTATTCATCACTAGAGTATTGCTTGGATATGTCAGCTCCGAAACATCTTTTGCGAGTTGAAATAAACAGAGAGGATCATTTATACTAGAGAAGGCCCGTGCTAGAGTACGGTAAGAAGTTGAAGGAAGGGATTTACAAGACAGAACTAGATCTTTGAAGACCTGGCACAAAATCTCAACGTCGTTCCTTTCACCTGCTACTTCCATGAGGGTATTGTACAAGTTTGGGGCAGTAAAAATATTTCTCTCCCTTAAGAACTGGAGCAATCTAGCAGCAGCAGAAAGATTACCAGCCTTGCATAGCTTGGTAATATGGGAACTGCATATTTCTCTGGCAGAGGTTGGAGCGTTTTGCATAGCATTGAGAATTTGATAGCAGTTCTCATCTCTGAACTCCTCGTCCTCTGGAGATGTCTGGGTGGAGATTTGCTTATAATTACTGACAACTTCTGTTATGCAAGCAAAGAGAGGCATAATCCAGGGAGCACCAACTGGAATGGATGTGACACTGTTCTGTAAACGTGTAAAGAACAGATTCATAATCATTTTCAGACAGAAAAAGAGAAAAGGCATTACACTAGATATCAATAGAAAACCTGAAGAGTTCAGCTTCTTCAATAGGGTTCATTTACAAATGCAAGCTGATTTCAAGGAAATGAAATGGAAATAATCCAGGGAGCACCAACTGGAATGTATGTGACACTGTTCTGTAAACGTGTAAAGAACAGATTCATAATCATTTTCAGGCAGACAAAGCGAAAAGGCATTACACTAGATATCAACAGAAAACCTGAAGAGTTCAGCTTCTTCAATAGGGTTCATTTACAAATGCAAACTGATTTCAAGGAAATGGAATGGAAATACTGGGTAAAACCCGTTGCTTGAGTAGCCCCTGTACAACCACTGATAAGTAATCTGATTCAATTGCATATCCAATTCCTAATTCTGTGACTTAAATCAATAGAGTAATGTTCCCTTGACATCTTAAAGAATGTAAACCAAGTTAAACTCAAGGGTACAAAGAACCTATCTCTTCATACTGCATTCCCCAACTAAGAACCCAGAATCATACACCCACCAAAACCACCAGCCTCATCCTATTACTTCGGCAAGTGAACCTGGGTAGCAGACATGACATACAAAACTGAACAGTATTATCTCAAGTCCCCGACTTTAGACCTTGCGAAGCGAATTCAGCTACATGGGTTCTAATTTCTTCGAGTTGCGATCAGAAAGTAGACCTTGAGACGACAAATTCACGGCGCTGAAGAACTGAAAATATAAAATTGCTACCTTTTTCATCGGCAAGACGCGAATCCTATACAAGAAGAAGGATTGTGCAAGAATGTGGAGTATGTTCTTCCGCATTGATTTGATTGGTCAATGAAATTAATAAGCTCTCAATCGCCAGTGTCCTCCTACTGCAGTCACTTGTGCATAGATCGGCGGTGGCAGCAGTACGTGCTACGGCTACCGGAGTCGCCTCCGGCAGGCGTGGTTGCGGAAGTTAGCTGTGGACGAGACTTTTGGGGTTTAGGTTGGGGGAGGGTTTTAGGACTGGGGTGCAACATTCCCAGTGAGTTGAGTTCTACAACTTCTCCCAAGGATGTTTTTGTCATCTTTCACTTTCCTCAACATTTAAGGATAAAATTTTAATTGTCATATTAGCAAACGCTGGGGTTGATTAATTAATAATTAGTAACTTTAATGGGCCTAACCATGAAAACAAAACTTTAATGGGCCCGGAATGTACTAGCAATATCCCATCACTCTCCCAAAAGTACTAACCCATCTCTGGCCCAAAGTTGTTAACCAGGCCCACAGTCTCTTTCCACCTAATCCACCGATCACCTGGCCCGAAAGTACTAACCTACCTTCTTCTCGTCAGACGTAGAATCCCATCCATCGTCTGTTCGGGAAAGCCCGCGAACAGTTGCCGCCGACCGCCGTGCTGCCTGCCATGGCGTCAGAGCAAGATGCCCTCGCGTCTCCTCTCCTTTAATTTTTTTTTTTAAATCTCCACTAAAAATATTTTGTAGGCGTAACATTAAATCAATAAAATCAAGCAAGTTGTTTGGATGCTTATGAGTATGGAGTCCGTCGTCATTCAACCTTCTCTGTTCTCTTGTTTTTCTTTCTTGGACACTCTGTCTTGGATCTTCTCTGTGGACCCAGAAATGAGTAGTCATATACATTACTTGAACCAGAGAGCGATCCGGCCATTGAAGCTCTTTGATCCTTCTTGCTCTCTCGGTTGCTCCGCTCTTGATTAGCTTCTCAATCGATTGATTCGATCCCCACCAAACAAATAGGACGTCTGCAGTCTGATCTCGTAAAGCCATGGCGTTGTGGAGCAGTAAGAGTAGAAAATGGTGGGCAATGTTGTTGGGTCAGGGAGTTTCGTTATGCCTTGCTCTCAGCGGCTTCAGCACTTCCCTCCTTGCCTCTCTGGGTCTGTATGCAATTCTTCAGTGTTCTTACTCGCTTTTTTTTTGTTTGGTATCTGTTCAATTGGGTATCTTTCCCGCTCTGTTCATTAACTGAAGAGTTTCATTTCGGCAGGTGTTGATGCGCCCATAGCTCAGGGCTGCTTCAATTACTTCACTTTGGCCTTGGTTTATGGCGGCATATTGCTGCACCGACGCCATAAGCTGCAGGTTTCTTGGTATTGGTATCTCCTCGTAGCATTTCTTGATGTACAGGCCAGTTTTCTTCGTAAGTAAATGTAGTTTCTTTCTATTTTCAGCTCAAAATTTGTCTGATTTGAGAACAACCCAGTTCCTTTAATTCCGGAGGATTCAGTAACCAGACGATTAGTTCTGTGTAATGCTGTGCTTTGCTAGTGAACAAATCATACCAATTTTCCTCAATCACCAGCGTCACATTGCTGGTCTGCTTTACCATACCATGGGTCATCGTTCTAACTCGGGTGTTCCTGGGCACCCGCTACTCAATCCTGCAGTTGGTTGGCTCAGCGCTTTGTGTACTTGGTCTTGCTCTAGTGCTCTTATCTGATGCTGATGGTGGTGGAGGTGAAGAAATCAGAAATCAGAATGATTCATCATGTTTCATTGTCTTTAGTTAACCTCCATTAGGATTAATGGCGCTCTTGACACCGCAGGTGGCTCGATGCCTCTTTTGGGCGATACGATCGTGATTGGGGCAACAATTTTGTTTGCCTTCGCCAATGTTAGTGAGGTAATTAGGAATTGCGTTCTTTTTGCCTAGATTATTCTACCATCCAAGTGTTGTACTTCACTTCGCTGCTGAAAATTGCAGGAGTTCATTGTGAAGGATGGAGGCCAGATTGAGATGGAGATGGAGATGTTGTCGATGATGGGTGTTTTTGGGTTGCTATTCAGCTTGGTTCAGCTGTATCCTTTTGATCACATTCATGGTGATTTCTTCACAGAAAGGTCACCTTAGGTTCGAAAGAGTTTTCCATAATTACGTTATTGCAGATCTGCATTTGAGTTGCAGGCTCTAGGGTCAGTGAACTGGTCTTTAGATATGGTGAGTAATATAACCATACTGGCACCCAGTCTCATTTAAGTTTTTTAAACCATACCCATTTTGCTTGTACATGCTTTCAGATATGGGCCATCTCTGGCTACACACTCTCAGTCTTTTGTTTATACTCCATGACTCCTTGGGTTCTCAAGGTAATTTTACCGTCCTTTTTTCCTTAAGGTCTTCATCATTCTCAGCGCGAATATAACATTCATAGATCAGCTCGGAATTGTTTTTTATGCAGTTGAGTGGAGCCACAATGTTGAGTCTTTCCAGCCTGACTAGTAATATGTGGGCTGTTGTTATTCGAACCTTTTTGTTCCACCAGAAGGTTGTCAGTAATCAGTAGTGTGTGTATGTTCCTATGGTTTTGAAGTGGCAATTGCAGCATTCATTGAACTGATGACTTTGAGAACATTAATTGCAGGTGGACTGGCTTTACTTTCTTGCCTTTGCAGTGGTGATTCTTGGGTTAGTCATTTACTCCACAAAGTAAGTTTTAATCTGTTTTGCCCATCTAGTGGAAGCTTTTGTTTGTAAGGCTATTAAATAAATGCTCATTTGATTCTTTAACAGTGAGAAGGCTCCAGTTCCTGATCATGATTTAGATGGTGGGAGTTCATCGAGGACAGTATGTCAAGGACTACTTGCTGATGAAAATGGAGCGGCAATAGCAGGAAATGAAGGTTCAGTTCCATGATCGTAATATTTATGTGCACACATGTTTCTTCTCGTAGTTAGTCACATAGACATTGGCGCTCTATTCGTGGAAAAGAATGTTATTTTTCACAGAAATGGTCAGGTTCAGAAGTTCCATGTACCACAACTTAGTGCCCGTGCTAAGTTATAGTATGTAGGAAGACCCTTCTCCAAATAGGTTCTGCGGTTGTCATACACTTTATACACAATTCAATACCATTGATAGAGCATTATTCTAATTCTACATTGTTGATTCCGTTTATCATAGTTTGATAACTTGCATTGTTGATCATTTGACAAAGCTCGATTAGGATTACTGTTTGCAAATCAGAGAGACAATGGTCTAAGCTCTGTTTTTCTTGTACTACTTTCATCATTTTTGCCAAAATTGTCCTGTTTCGCGGCTTGGCACTAGCCTAGACCATTGTCCACCATTTCTTGTGTTCCACCCAGAAATATGAATGCTGAAAACTTCTCCGAGTAGACACATTGGCGATTCAGGGACCGATCCTTTCTACGCTTACGAGGCTTATCGTCGATGCAGGAGACGTTGAATCAACAATAGATCATTGTTTACTATAGGGGTTCTCAAGTTCTCTTCCAGGATCTCAAGTCCTGAATTACTGCACAATGAACTCCCATCACAATGAATGAAGCTTGCTGGAATAAACTGAGACCATATAAACAATCCCCAAGTTGCCTTCTAGGAGCTGTCGTGCCATCTAAGAACTCTCAAGTCTGCATCTTGCTTCCGAAAAAAAGAAGGATAAAGCACGTCTTGGGTTTATATACCTTACTGCAAAATACGATTCTTGATCATTCTCAAGTACCCTTCTAGTCCTAGGACAATATCTAGCACTTCCAGTCCATAAAATACTGTGGAAATGGGTGAAATGGTCATGGAGGGGAGCATTGTTGTCACATCAACATCTTGCTTTCAGAACCAACAAGGACAACACATTTTCGGGCTCAGTGGTGGTATACCAGTGTAGCACTACTTATTTCTTAGTTCTTCTCTTAGACTCCATTTAGGACTTCCACTCTATGAAACTGCAGAAAACCAGCAACATTTAGGACTTCCACTCTATGAAACTGCAGAAAACCAGCAAATTTGAGGTGGGCGGAAGGGCAACTAGAACATAAACATTCTCATCTCAATTCACATAGAACTGGACATCACTTTCAGTTAGAACCGAACATCCCCAATCACGATTTCGATTTGAGGGAAGGAAACTAGAATGAATGAACAAAATGATCATCTCAATTCAATTATAAACCAAACCTAGACACACGTTTTAGCACCATTGTTTGAAAGAGGGGCAGGCTAGAATCATTCATTGATCATATCTAAAAGTTCCCTTTTCCAAGCAAAAAGGCAAGGAATCTGTTATTGATCAACTCATAGTTCTAATTTAGGGCACCATTTAGGAAATGGAAGAACAGTTTGAGTTGATCAATAACAAGTAAAAGGCTGGACTTCCAAACAAGAACAACCATCACAATTCAAAAGTAACCATTTACAGAGTTCCAGCTCGAGAGTTACAGTACATGTATGGTCTAATCTCTTACATTATAGAAAAATTTATCGGACTTTAGGAATTTCAATCCATCATATATAAAAGAACCAATAGGGAGCCGTTAGAAGCACCATAACACTAACAATATCAGGTCAGCATCCGTCATCCTGAATTTCTAGTGTAAACTAGCTTAGAAGACAGCAAATCCAGCTTATAAACAAATCAGACCTTACTCCTTCACATCCAGATATTCCTTCAAAATCAAACTGGCTTTAGAAGGCAGCAAAACTGGAGAACGACAATCTCTAGAATCAATGTTCTGTTGACCAAATGGAGAGGAAAAGGAACAGAAGGATTGAGTACGATTAAAGAAACCGTGTATTTCAACTTTCCAACAGTAACTATTCCTCACTGTTATACTATCGTACAACTCATTTCTAGGAGAGCAGAAGGGCAACGCTTTTCTAGGTAAATACCAAATTTTCGGCCATCACTCTTACTAGACCAACACTGAATTCAGACCATGAGTTCATAGCATATGATAAGGCCCAACCAAGTTAGGACTTTGATATCAGCAACTTGTTCTTCCCATCACCAAGTATGCCCCACTGTTATACTGTAGAACAACTCTTTCCAGGAGCAGAAGGGCAACTAAGCCAAGTCATAGTTCCCATCTAGGACCCCATTATCAAGCTTTAGAGAGTCGTAAAAATCATAGATGGGGCAGAAGGGAAACTAAGGAAGAAGAGCAACTCCAACTAGCAGAGTTCTCTTCTAGGACCTCATTGCCATGCACCTTAGAGTCCTTGGACAAACCGACATTTGGGGCAGAAGAGCAGTTGTGACGAGTCATAACTCTCTTCTAGGACCCCGCTTTAGCATGTTAAAGCTTCTTGACATTAAGATGGAGCAAGAGCAAACTTGTGTAAAATGGGACTCAGATATACGAACTGAATTTTTTTTACAAGTCAGATTGTAGGAACTAGGAACAGTCACCTCACTATTTCTCAACCTTGACACTATACGGACCAGAAGAGACAAGGTGTGTACAAAGGGACTCAACAAGCGACAGGTTAATTCATAGATCTTACATTTGACGTAAGTAGCCGAACTGTCCCAAAATCATATAAACCAGCAAGATCGCAGTTGTTCAGAGAGGATAACAAAACCCTCGAAGACCCATCATCTTAATCCCTCCCACTTATCACTTACCTCCAATATTCGAGTTCACCATGGTTCTAGTGTGTCCCTTTGACAATTTTCCCATAGAAACTAGCAGAGACCAGGGTAGCAAATTACATATGTCCGCAGACATACAAAAGGGACCTGGCAACAACATAGGCTCTCAGAAGCCGAACTTACTGGTTGCTGTCAAGTTGGCTGTAAATGTGGAGCAAACCATGAAATTTAGAGCAGGTCGACAACTTGCTCAAATCTAGCAAGATGATTCTACTTTTCCAATGCAACAAGAACATTATGAAACTAAGAAGCCATGATACGTACAAGCCCAGATTCCATTCGAGGTTGACAGAATATAACATGTGAAGAAGCAAAAGTCGATAACATAAGAACCTCTTTTTGAAGCTGAAGTGCATGTTTGGTCTTCTTGGCGAGCTGAGTTCTCAATGCTCGTAATTCGTGTTCCATGTCCATAACCTACAAATTAAACCAATTAGTAATGCTCAATAAGAAACATATAATTATAGACCTCAATAGTATACATAACTACGCATAATTCAGAGCTAAAGCACTAAGCAACTGTTAAGCTTAGGTCTTATTCCACAAGAAAGCTCATGTCCATAACCTACGTATATAAAAATTATTTTAAATAGATAGTCCTAGAAAATTAAAGTAGCACACTGACGCACATGGATTCCTTCTCATAAAGCATGAAATTAAGTTTATGAATATACATGTAAATGATTTTGGATAAATCTTACCAATATTCTTTTAGGGATCATGAGAGCAGAATGCCTCCAATATACACCTTGCTTGGCTGAGGCAACATTTTGATCTTTCTAGCCTCTTGAACCTCCTTCATCAATTGTTTCATGTCCTGAAATCCAACACAAAAGTGTTATCCAAGTAGCAATAAAGAAGGATGGACAACACAATAAGCAGAGTAAATGATAAACAAGTTCAAACACAGTGTTGCAAGAACTACAGGAACAATCTCCAAATGCCTATTCTGACATCAACTAATTATCATCAAAGAAACCCTTCTTATTCACAAGAAAGAGTTAACGGGAATGGTGATTCGAGGAACGCTTCTTTCCATTATTAGCTATATTGATCAGATAAAAGCAACGAGTAGAGGAACAGCAAATGTGTGTCATCAGTCATAGCAACAGTCCTTAATGCATTTAAAACCACTGTATTTACGAGCCAGCTACCCCTAAGTTAAAAAAAATAAAAAGACAGACTTGTTTACCTGGCGTTTTAGATATTCGTTCATGTTCTTGGAGGCTTGCTCAACCCTCTGGACTGCAGCACTAGCGCCGTCAATTTCTGCTCAAGCAAAAGCTCTTTCCTCATCTACAAGCCTCTTGGCATCTTTTGAAGATCTGGTCTTTCTATTTAAAGATGGTTCTGGTCTTCAACGACTACAACAATAGAAAAATGTTCATTTAAGCAATCCACAACTTCTTTGCCATATCTGCCTTGAGCCATATGAGTAATGTGCTAACCTCCGGCAATTGTTTCATAGGACCCAGTCTCTACTTGTCGTTTCAAATAAAACATATGCTTAAAGTAGGTACACTTGTTGATGGTTTCCTTCATCTCCGAAAAGATAAGAAACTGTAGAGAATGGAACTTGAGATCTCTCAAATTTACACATGAGATCATAGCATATAATAAGGCGCAACCAAGTATGGACTTTAATATCAGCAGCTTAATTTTTCCAACAGTAACTATTCCCCACTGTTATGCTATCAAACAACTCATTTCTAGGAGCAGAAGGGCAACTCTTTTCTTGGTAAATGCCAAATTTTCAGCCATCACTTTTACTAGACCAACACTGCCTTCGGACCATGAATTCATAGCATATGATAAGGCCCAACCAAGTTAGAACTTTGATATCAGCAACTTTTTCTTCCCATCATCAAGTATGCCCCACTGTTATACTGTAGAACAACTCTTTTCTAGGAGCAGAAGGGCAACTAAGCCAAGTCATAGTTCCCATCTAGGACCCCATTATCAAGCTTTAAAGAGTCATCAAACTCATAGATGGGGCAGAAGGGCAACTAAGGCAGAAGAGCAACTCCGACTAGCAGAGTTCTCTTCTAGGACCTCATTTCCATGCACCTTAGAGACCATGGACAAACCAACATTTGGGGCAGAAGAGCAGTTGTGACGAGTCATAACTCTCTACTAGGACCCCGCTTTAGCATGTTAAAGCTTGTTGACATTAAGACGGAGCAAGAGCAAACTTGTGTAAAAGGGGACTCAGCTATACAAACTGAATTTTCTATTAATCGATTGTAGGAACTAGGAATGGCCACCTCACTATTTCTCAACCTTGACACTATACGGACCAGAAGAGACAAGGTGTGTACAAATGGACTCAACAGGCGACAGGTTAATTCATAGATCTTACATTGATGTAAGTAACTGGGCTATCCCAAAATCATATAAGCCAGCAAGATCGCAGTGGTTCCAAGAGGACAACAAAACCCTCGAAGACCCTCTTAAGCCCTCCCACTTATTATCCAGCCCATAAAACGAAAAGGGCTGGTCGGAAACATACTTCATCCGGGAACCAACAACGATTTCAATCGGAAGTGTTGGCGCCAAACATCACCCCTCGTTAGTCACTAGAACTTGGCAACAGAACTTCATGTGTTCATCATATCTGATTCTAAACATGTAGAATCCACGGGGCAACTATTGACAAGCGGCGACCAGCAACGAATTAATGGGTTTTCTGGGAAAAAATCTATCCCTTCATCATCCTCATAACCCTACTTTCGATGATCATTGGCGCAACATGAGAACACTCAAGCAAGCGGTAGAAAAATTCAAAACCCTAGAAGGAAGAGTATGTGACTTTACTTACTTTTCTTCACTCCCATTCTTGGAGAGAGACGAGGAAGACGTTGCTGGGTGGAGGGAAAATGAATAACAGAGCATCGGTTAGCAAAACACTGCCCGAGCTGCTGCATTTCCACCTCCTCTCACTCCACAAAGCTTAAAAGAAAAGGCATGATAGAGTTCTCCAATTGAGATGTGCAATGGATAGACTACTAGCATTTGTTCTGGTATAAAGGATACCAGGCTTTTTAATCTTACCTGCATGGAAGCGTAGTAGTATTCCTTAGCAATTGACCAATTGTAGTAGACACTTTACAGAGCTTAATCCTCATCTTTCCGTCGTGAAACACGTGGATTGATTGTGAAGGTTGATGTGAGCCATTCAACTGGGTAACAACCACCTGTGAAATAAAGTACCACCATAATCATGATTCATGATACAACACCCAATCTTCCAATTGTGATGTGAAAATGGATACTCTATACAAGATTATTGTAGCATGTGACAGTTCATTAAAGGGAGAGGCGTTATGTACTCTTTGAGACAATGTACCTTAAACTCAACATCATGCTTCCGGACAATAGCCTCCACATAGCTTCCAAGGCCAGGAGCTGATCAAAAAGTTAAGAGAACTCTTAGGTTTCTGCTATAAGCTAACAGTTAAATTGTACAAGCATGGTTCTTTCAGTGGTCTAAAAACATATACCAAACAACATAAATAGGAACAAACCAGGATCAATGGTAGTCAATGTGTGGTCACTGAGAGTTACTTCAGCTTGCAGCGTCCGTCCAACATCATACGGCTCTGGAACATAAATAGCAACAAATCAGGATCAATGGCAGTCAATGTGTGGTCACCGAGAGTTACTTCAGCTTGCAGCGTCCGTCCAACATCATACAACTCTGGAACATAAATAGCAACAAACCAGGATCAATGGTAGTAATGTGTGGTCACCGAGAGTTACTTCAGCTTGCAGCGTCCGTCCAACATCATACGACTCTGGAACATATATTGGTTTTGTAGCTCCTGCAAGGAAGCAAAGCTAGTGAAATTAAAAGGGAAATTATTCCTGATCTGAGAGCATCAGAATGTCAGCATCTAAAGTTAGTGGTTGAACCAATTTGCTATCAAAGAATCTTCTTGCATTATTATGAACATACCTGATATCAGCACTTTCTTTCCAGCTTCAGATGATACACGATACCAATGGTTAAACAATTAGTGAGTTCTGGATCATTGTTAGACCAACAATTGATCCTTTGGTATGTACCTAAGGCTTCAGTTCCCTCTAATTCATATGGGTGTGATGCCTTCTGCTTCCCACTCCTAGTAGCATCTCTGATTGTGTGACATCCAGATATGAGATCCATGCTTGTGATCTACCCAGTACCAACTTTAACTACAAAAACAAGAAAGACTAGACAAAAAAAATCTTGAACATAAAACGATACACATATCAAGGTGTCCTAAACCATAAAATAGGCTTCTCCAAAATTCAGGTTCACCATCTCCGTGGTTCTAGTGTGTCGCTTTGACAATTTACCAATAGAAACCAACAGAGACCCGTGTAGCAAATTACATATCTCCCTAAACACATAAAAGGAACCCTGGCAACACTCTAGGCTGCCAAACTTACTGTTGCTGTAAAGTTTGCTGCAAACCATGAATGAAATTTAGACCAGATCGACAACATGCTCAAAACTAAGCAAGATGATTCTACTTTTCCAATGCAACAGGAACATTATGAAACTAAGAAGCCAGGATATGTACAAGCCTAGATTCCAGTCGACGTTAACAGATTTAACATGTGAAGAAGCAAAAGTCGATAACATAAGAACCTCCTTTTGAAGCTGAAGTGCATGTTTGGTCTTCTTGGGGAGCTGAGTTCTCAATGCTCGTAATTCGTGTTCCATGTCCATAACCTACAAATTCGACCAATTAGTAATGCTCAACAAGAAACATATAAATAGACAAACCTCTTTCCCCGGCGTTTTAGATATTCGTTCATGTTCTTGAGCACTGGCGCCGTCAATTTCTGCTCGAGCAAAAGCTCTTTCCTCATCTACAAAAGGATATAAATGAATTTTACTGGTTCAAGAGTCCACCCGCAACCATTTCCAAGCTACATGGCCTGATAGAGGGCCATACAAGATGCGCAGAGTTATCCAGCAGAAGTTCTGGTATCGTGTACTTCAGAAGGAGCAACAAACTACCAACTCTCCAAAGCAGTATAACAGGATCAATTTAAAAGCAAACACAGTTGCTGGATCCAAGTTCTGACACTGTATACTTCAGCCTTTTTTTGAATTAACTCTCCCTCCATTTCAGTTAGCTGAACAGCTAGAGCTTTTACCGGCAAGAAGATAACAGAAGATGGCTGAAGTAAACAAAAAGTTTCAGCAACCATCCTCAAAAGCGAGGAGGACTTGAGAGCACATCTAGTAGCATTACCATCAATCCAATAGCAGTTCTTAATCAAAACTAACCATTTTGCAACATAGCCAATAACACTTTGTAATCAAGACTACCCATTTTGCCCTTCTTAATCAAAGCTAACTATCTAGTAGCCGATATCACTTCTTAATCAGCTCAGCTGTTGTGTTATGAGGAAATATCCTACAACAAGTACATTTACACGACATACTTATTTGACCATGAAGCTGAGGATCATCATAAAAAAGACACAATTAGGAACTAAGGAAATCTGGTCTTTCTATCTAAAGATGAATCTGGTCTTCAATTTTTGCCCTGAGCCTTATGAGTAATGTGCTAACCTCCGACAATTTTTTCACATGACCCATTCTCTACTTGTCGTTTCAAATAAAACATGTGCTTAAAGTAGGTACACTTGTTGATGGTTTCCTTCCTCTCCGAAAAGATAAGAAACTGCAGAGAATGGAACTTGAGATCTCTCAAAGTTACACGTGAGATCATAGCATATAATAAGGCGCAACCAAGTCAGGACTTTAATATCAGCAACGTGATTTTTCCAACAGTAACTATTCCCCGCTGTTATGCTATCTAACAACTCATTTCTAGGAGCAGAGTAAATACCAAATTTTCAGCCATCACTCTTACTAGACCAACACTGCATTCGGACCATGAGTTCATAGCATATGATAAGGCCCAACCAAGTTAGGACTTTGATATCAACAACTTGTTCTTCCCATCACCAAGTATGCCCCACTGTTATACTGTAGAACAACTCTTTCCCAGGAGCAGAAGGGCAACTAAGCCAAGTCATAGTTCCCATCTAGGACCTCATTATCAAGCTTTAGAGAGTCGTAAAAATCATAGATGGGGCAGAAGGGAAACTAAGGCAGAAGAGCAACTCCAACTAGCAGAGTTCTCTTCTAGGACCTCATTGCCATGCACCTTAGAGTCCTTGGACAAACCGACATTTGGGGCAGAAGAGCAGTTGTGACGAGTCATAACTCTCTTCTAGGACCCCACTTTAGCATGTTAAAGCTTCTTGACATTAAGACGGAGCAAGAGAAAACTTGTGTAAAGGGGGACTCAGCTATACAAACTGAATTTTTTTATAAATCGATTGTAGGAACTAGGAATGGTCACCTCACTATTTCTCAACCTTGACACTATACGGACCAGAAGAGACATCGTGTGTACAATGGGACCCAACAGGCGACAGGTTATTCATAGATCTTACATTGACGTAAGTAACCGGACTGTCCAAAAATCATATAAACCAGCAAGATCGCAGTGTTTCTGAGAGGATAACAGAACACTCGAAGACCCATCTTAATTCCTCCCACTTATTATCCAGCCTAGAATACAAAAAGGGTAGGTCGGAAACATACCTCATCCGGGAACCAACAACGCATTCGATCGGAAGTCTTGGCGCCAATTTGCAGTAAAGTTTACACTATTTTTTATCACTTGCCTCTAAAGCTAGTGTTGGAAGCTAGTTTCAGTTCCCATGTAGGCTGCTATCAAAGAATGTTTTTGCGTTATTATGAACATACCTGATACAGGTCTTTCTTTCCACCTTCAGATGATACACGATACCACTGGATTAAACAATTAGTGAGTTACTGGAACATTGTTAGAACGACAATTGATCCTTAGGTATGAACCTAAGGCTTCAGCTCCCTCTAATTCATATGGGTGTGACGCCTTCTGCTTCCCAGTCCTAGTAACTGCCAACTGTAATATGTTAAACAGAAGAAGATTTGAGAAATCAATGATCCAAAGGTTTTACTTGACATCTCTTACTTCGTGACATCTAGAGACGTGACCCATGCTTGTGATCTACCTAGTAGCAACTTTAACTACAGAAACAAGAAATACTTGGAAAAAAAGATCATGCACATAAAACGATATGCACATCAGGGTGTCCTAAACCATAGAATATGCTTCTCCAAGATTCGAGTTCACCTTCTCCGTGATTCTTTTCTTGAATAAGATATACCTTCGAGTTCACTTCCACTATCTTTTCTTGAATGTGTTTCAGGACATTAACTAACTTCTGCACTTCAGCCTTTTCTTGAATCAACTCTCCCTCCCTTTCAGTCAGCTGAACAGCTAGAGCGCCGACCTCAAAATCCCTCCAGAAACACGTACCAACAAGCAATAACTTAATTGAGACATTAAAACTCAAAAGCTCCAACTAGTTCGAGAAGCTTGCAAACCGCAGCTAACAAATACGTGTCTTGTCAACCCAGGTTCCTTCTTGCTAGATGTCAGTTGTTTATTCATCGTAATTCTTCTTCTCAAGGGTGAAAAGAGAATACAGGGGAACATGTAATAAAGCCACCGAGCTATAACACCGAGCAGGAGCATGAACAATGAATATTAGGAGTTTATCTCCCTTAGCATGCTGCTTCAGACTGAAAATTCTTGAATGACGTGATTTATATACGAACCAACCACCTCCCAGAGTTCACCTGGAAAAACTCAGCAATGAATTCATCAGGTCCAGGGACTTGTCCTTCTTCATTGAGAAGAAAACATCTTTTATTTCCTATGATGAGACTAGGCACAAAAGTAATCTCCCTCTCCCAACTTCTTTTAGAATTAGACTACTTCAGCATACATATTAGCAGTAAGAATTTTCCCATTTGGACTGAAATAGAATATTCATGGGTAGCCGAGATATCAAGATCAGAATATCAGATAGCAAAATTAAATGATAAAACCAGGAATGTTGGATAGTTGAAATACCTTCACTAATAGAGTACACTGATCATACGGTTCCTGAACTCCTATAAGAACTTAAGATGGATTTCTCATGTCAGAGGAAAATTAACTCCCATCCCAGACAGACTCTATATAGAATCAGTTTATAGGCTGCATGTCGTCTCAAATTGCTGGACTGACCAGTTTGCATATATACCACTATGAAGCAAGCGAACCCACCACGAATATACCACTCTGAAGATGCCAAACTCTCTTCTTTCTAGTATCTCAACAAAACTAATTTAGAACACATCTGACATTTCCCATTACTGGACATATGAAAGCAAAGGAATTGGGAAACAAAACTAATGCTCAATTGCATGTAACGGGTGTAAAACATAAACCAGAACTTGGGTTTCAGCATTCCTGCTTGCCCTCCTCAAATCACATACCATCATGGCAAACTTTGCAACTACTTGATTTCTGGAATAGGAAACATCAAACCAGAATTAGACTCATTATGGCAAACTTTGAACCCGAAACTCGAATTCTTCCTACTAATCTACCTCCAACACAAAAAAAAAAACTTTGTATTTGGCAACTGGCGTGGAACCTCGATGTTGCATTGGATTTTCCAACAACAAACACACCATCAGTCACTGAGTGCAAATCACATAACTCTCCTCCTCATCATATAACACCTCAAGGGAACTTTATTCAAGCACTAACAGAGCAAAACAACAAACTTGCTCACCAGCGGTGGCTGGTCTACCCTTGTATTAAACAATAACATGGGGATAACATTTCCTCTGCGCTTATATGCTCCTTACATGCCTATACAAGAACTCACTTTGCGCCCACCAATAAGTAATTTGAGCAAACTGCAATGAAGTGGAAAAATTGAATACTAGCTGCTGATTAATACCACCCGCATTTGATTAGTATAAGGAAAAATAAACTGGGGCACAAAACCTTACAATTTTCCTTGCAACACTTCAACTACTACACTTTCCGTTCAGGCATAAGCAGTGAGATGCAGTCAATAGAAGTGGCCGCCATTCTTTCTATCCATAAAAGCTGGGTACGCTTTTTGCCCATTACTGTATCACTTTCTGTCTTCTAGCGCCTGTCAAACTCTTCGTGAAAAACCTTCCTCACCCAACTGCTTGCTCTGGCTGGTTCTTGCCAACTCTCGCAAGTGACCATGCTGCTCCCCTATCGCCCGTACTCCACTCCTGCGCTTGCCCCTTATTGCAGCCGTCGTACCGTCCTTTCATCAAATCGCTGCAACATGCCACTGCTGAGCAAGGGATCTGCATGCAACCGGTACAACTCTTGGCCAATTGATTGCTACCTGCTCACGATGCCACCACCCATGTTTCGTGCCATCATCCCGTTGCTTCCCTTGCTTAGTTGAAGAGCGAGCTTCTCTACTTTGGCACTCTCAAAATCGCCTACACCTTCTCTGAATCTCTTCTATTTGGTTGTTTCTCTCTCCCTGCTTTAACGCCGGGCTATTTGACTCAAAACTCTCTTCCTCACTGATCTCTTCTGCGCGGCGGGTACTGCTACCACCAACCAACGGCGGTGGATACTTCATCTTTATTCTACCCCTCTGTCTTGGAATAGGGATTAGTTATAGGTTATGCCGACGCCTTATGTGGTGAGCGGCGTTTCAGTTTTTTTGTTTTTTGGATTCTTCACTTCTTCTACTGAGCTTTTGTTCATTTCTCTTTCCCCTTTTCAGTGATTTCCTTCAGAATGGATAGGTAGCAACTCAAATAGATACTTGGTACTCGGTGTGCTCAGTCACGGAGAGCGGAAGGGTGGGAAAAACAGGGTACCTGGTGATAAAATGCGAGAGCCGATCTTTCGTGCAACGCGGAACCTACTGTGGCTGCAGTGACCTTCTCTCTCTCTCTATTTCTCTCTTCTTGCCTTCAAATTGTGATCTCGACTCATTGCCCTACGAGTCCATTGTTTCGTTCATGTTCTTGCAGGGTGCGGGTCGAAGGGGCCTTTCATTGTCTCTTATAGGTAAGATTCAATCACTGGGTGGTTCTATTTTCAGAATCAATTTTCTTCTCCATTTACGCTGCTTTCATTTGCGGTTGGTTTAATGCTTTTAATGGGAAAAGAAGCCTAACAAACTAATAGAATGCATATGTGGGTTTGGTGCATTTAATTATCATTGGACTCATTAGGTTCGATCAGTTAGTACAAAGAGATATGTTGGTTATAGTGGTACAAGGAATGAAAAGTTTTATATAGCAGAAAAGGAGATCGGCCTATGTATTGAGCTTCTGCTCTGTTTTTTCCCCCCTCTTGCAGAGGTTTGTGGATTGTGAAGCCTGCCAACCACACGGAAGAGGTTTATTGAGACGCCAAGGACCTACTGCCCAAGGCAAGCTCGAAATTCTTTAGATTATTGTTTCACCTATTACATTTTTGTGCGCTTTGAATTGTTGTAGTCAGCTTGAATGCTTTTATTTCTTTGTTTTGGTTTATGGACTAATAAAAAACTTATTTTCGAGGAGTATAATGGAGCAATCTTTATATATATTTGTGGTCTTATTTAGGGGTGTCAATTCGGTTTCCGGTTAGCGGTTAACCGGCCGGTTTAACCGTTAACCGCCGGTTAACGGCTAACCGGAAACCGAAATTCACATGCCTCGGTCGGTTGTCGGACAAATGATATGGTTAGCCGGTTAGCCGATTAACCGAAGCCGGTTAACCGGCTAACCGAGGCTAACCGACCGACGATACGGCGTCGTTTTGGCTAAGAGGAAAACGACCAAACCTTACCTCTTCGACACTTCGCCTCTTTGTCCAGCAGCCTCCATCCTCACTTCGACCTCCATCCTCTGTTCCTCCCTCAAGACCGGCGACCCCCAGCCCTCCGTCCAGCTCGACGTCGCCCCGCCGTCCGACCCCCAGCCCTCCGACCCCCAGCCCCAGCCCTCGCCTTCCGACCCCCAGCCCTCCGTCCAGCACGCCATCGCGCCATCGCCGGCCAGCAAGCCATCCCCGCCGGCACGCCATCGCCGGCCAGCACGCCATCTCCTCGCCAATCTGCCGCTAGCGAAAGGGAGATGAAGAGCAGGAGGAGGGCAGCCATTGAAAGTGGTCTAGTATGATTTCCAACCTCCCTGCAGCAACGATGAAGAAGAAAGAAGAAGAAGTTCGGGATGTAGAGAAGCTGGGAAACCACAGAGAGAGACTGAGAGTGTGAAGTGCAAATTTTGGAAAAAGGGGAAAGTAGGTTTGGAGGAATTGATGTCGGGTTTTGAGAGAGTGGGGAAATGGGGAAGCGAAGCAAGAGAGGAGGAGGCGGAATCACGAGGCAGATAGTTTCAACTTTCAACGGTGGGGATCTCTTTCACAGTGGCGGTGGAGGACACGAGGCAGATAGTTTCCAATCGGTTCATTCCGGTTTTCGGTCGGTCAGCCCATCAAACCGAACCGGCCTTCTCCTTTTCGGTGTAGACGGTTTAACCGGCCCTTAACCGAAACCGCCCGGTCGGTTTTCGGATAACCGAGCCGTCTGCTTCGGTCGGTGGCCGGTGGACACAGGTCAGGTCTCGGTTTAACCAAAAACCGAGATTTCGGTTTTCGGTTAAACCGAAACCGACCGAGTGACAGCCCTAGTCTTATTTGCATTCTGCAAATCTGGTTGCAATTCATTATGTTTGTAAGAGATGGGAAAATGGGTGTGTTTTCTTGCTGCAATCTTGGTAAACTAATTTTTTTTTTTTTTTTACAAAAGATATCATATATTGATAGAAAACATATCGACAGTTACACCCTGGAAGCCAGCCAGGTCTGGAAATCAAAATAGCGACACATAGTCGGGGACAAAGAAAGGGCATGTCTAGCTACCATATGAGCTACCCTATTGTCATCCCGACCTATAAACCGCACACTTAAACCCGGATTATCCCTAAAGATTTGAACCATTTCCACCAAAATAATCCCTACCCGCCTATCGCGCACTTCAGCCTTCACGATCTTCTCAATGATCACTTTGGCATCACCTTCAAAACGCATAGCCATAAACCCATGCTCTAAACACCACCGGACTGCTTCCCTAAGCGTAAGGAGTTCAGCCACCATTGGATCATCCACATGCCGAAACTGAAAACCCGCTACCTAAAGTAGCAAACCATCCTCATTGAGCAGAACCATACCGCCAGCAGAATGTGACCCTCGTCGGACAGCCCCATCCCAACGACACACAGGACCCCCAGGACCACTTACCCCTATAGAAGAAAGGTTATGCGGACGCACCGAGGGAACCTGCGGGTCCCGAGACAGTCCGAGCCACTCCCCTACTTGTTGGTTATACTGCCTCAATAACTCCGCAATGGTGAATTGCTTCCCTTCGAAGACCACCCAATTCCGGGACTTCCAAATTCGCCATAAAAGTGCCATAACCGCCATAAACTGCGAAGGTTGACGTAAGATAGCTAGCAAGCTTTTGAGGAAGAGGGGGAAAGTATGGCGAGGCAACCCCTCCCCAAGAGAATCTAATCCTCCCTGCAACCACAGAGCCCTAGCCACCGGACAATCAAGGAAAAGGTGTTCCATGGTCTCCTTGGCCGCCCAGCAGACCGGACAACGAGGCAGCACCTCCACATCCTTCTCAATGAGAGCCTCCGTCGTGGGTAAAATTCTACTGAGGATTTGCCATGCAAATACCTTCAGCTTTGGCGGAATATTCGCTTCCCACACCCGGATCCAACTTCGCTTGTCCATCCAACTAACCTGCGCCCGCCATCTTCCCTTCTGCTGATCCAAAGAGACCGCCAAATGATAAGCTGATTTGACAGTAAAGATCCCATCCTCTGAACCATACCAAATCAACCGATCCTCAATATTCAGCCGCGGCAGGGGCATCGCTTTAATCGCCAGGCAGGTCGGAGGGTCAAACCACTGACACAGCTTATCATCACACCAGCGCCCCTCCCCAGGACAGAGAACAGCCGAAACCGTCAACTCTCCTTCATCTGGCAGAACCCGAGGGTTATACACCGGAAGAGAAGGCAGTTGGGTCGGGATCCAATTTGAGTTTAGCAACGAAGCCGTCTCCCCATTCCCAATCTGCCATCGCAAGCCTTTGCTCAATAAATCCCGACCAAACAGAACACTTTGCCAACCCCAGGAAGGACGGGACCGCGCAGTAGCAGAGAGAAAGGAGCCATTCGGGAAATACTTCCCTTTATAAACCTGAGCTAAGAGAGACTGAGGTTCGTTCAGGATTCGCCATCCTATCTTTGCCAACAACGCTTGGTTAAATTGTTCGAACCGGCGAAAGCCCATACCCCCCTCATGCTTACTCTTGCAAAGATTTCTCCAAGAGACCCACCGAATCTTCGAACGGCCACTTTCCACTCCCCACCAAAATCTGGCCACATGTTTGTCCAAGAGGCGACAAAGCGATAACGGCAATCGAAAGCAAGACATCAAATGGAGTGGAAGAGCTAGGGCAACAGACTTAATCAGAGTTTCCTTAGCTGCCCAGGACAAGGTCCTGCTTTTCCACCCCTGCAACCGGTCCAAGAGCTTATCTTCCAGATACCGAAAAGTAGCCGTCTTTGAACGAGCAATTAAGGTGGGCAAACCCAGATATTTATCCTGAACCCCAACCGCCCCTACACCTAGGATTGCCGCCAAGAAATCCTGATCCGGTAGAGCAACATTCTTACTGAAGCACACTGCTGATTTCTCCAGGTTCACCCTCTGACCACTCAGCTCCTCATACTCATTCAGGACCTCAATCAGATTCTCACACTCCTGGAGCGATCCATGGAGAAACAAGTAAGAATCATCAGCAAAGAACAGATGAGAAATCCGGGGAGCTCGCGGGGCGACCTTCACACCTTCCAGCTTCTTCTTCGAAATAGCTTTACGAAGGAGGGCAGCAAAACCCTCCGTGCAAAGTACAAAGAGAAGAGGAGAAAGGGGATCCCCCTGCCGGAGCCCTCGAGAGGACGCAAAGAAACCAGAAGGAGAACCATTCATAAGCACCGAAAACGTAGCAAACTTTAAACACTCCTGAATCCAACCACGCCAAACCGAGTTAAAACCCATTTTTTCCAAAACCGCAAGAAGAAAGGACCATTCGACTCTATCATAGGCCTTTTCCATATCAACCTTTAGAGCCATATATCCCTTCTTTCCCCGAGTTTTGATTTTTAAATAATGCATTAACTCGTGGCCAATTAGGACATTATCCACAATCTGCCTTTCTCTAATAAAGGCGTTTTGCCCTTCCGAGACAATGAGAGGCAAGACCTTCGCTAGACGTTCCGCCATGATCTTCGTGATCACCTTATAGATGAATTCACACAAGCTGATGGGCCGAAGCTGGCGCATGGACTCCACATGATCTACTTTAGGAATTAAGGTTAACCAGGTGTGGTTAAAGCTCCGGAGCATCCTACTTGTAGCAAAGAAGGAGCTAACAGCAGCCACAACCGAATCCCCAACAATTTCCCAGAAGGCCTTGAAGAACTTTCCAGTGAAACCATCCGAGCCTGGCGCCTGTTTAGAGCACATAGCAAAGACTGTCTTCCGGATCTCATCCCGCCCGACCTCCGTCGTCAGGGACTCATTCATTTCAGGCGTTACATTAGACGCAATAGGGAGGTCAGCTACCCGTTCCCGCATATTATGAATTTGGGATTCCGAGGTAAAGAGGTGCTGATAGAAATTAACCGCCACCTCCGCCTTCCCTTGCTCCTCCGTAACCCAATCCCCATTATCATTAAACAGACCAGAGACAAAATTCCTCTTCCTCCGGGTACGCGTGACCGTATGGAAGTAGGAAGAGTTCTGATCCCCTCTTTTCAACCAACGTACACGCGACTTTTGTTGCCAGTATCTCTCCTCAGCCTCCCATTGCCTGCTCAATTCCGATTCCAGAGAATTCACTTCCTCCCAGTTGATTGGGGAAACAGCCTTTATTCTGGAAATCTCATTTTGCAAGGTATGGATATTACGCAAAGAGTTCGTGGTCCCCGCACGGCTCCAATCATAAAGCAGATGACGGAGCCTCTTCAATTTCTCCCACAACTGGAACATAGGGGTACCATGCGTAGGCTCCTGCCAAACGTACTCCACCATAGCCTTGACCTCAGGGTTATCCGCCCATCTGGCATCGAAACGGAAAAGGGGGCGACACTGACGGACATAGGGTTGATCAGACAGGAGTAACGCCCTATGATCAGATCCTTGATCAGTGAAATGCTTCACCAGAGTCTCTGGAAAGCGATCCATCCAACCTTGGGAACATAACGCCCTATCCAGTCTTTCCCGAATGCAAGCCACTCCCATTCTTTTGTTTGTCCACGTAAAAGGATCCCCTTGGAAACCAGGATCATGCAACCCAAGATTTTGGACCAAATTACGGAGGTCAAGAGCCCGGGAAGCATTCCAAGGGTTCCCACCATCTTTTTCCCCTTCATGAAGGGTTACGTTAAGGTCGCCAATGATCACAAAAGGGGCTTGTAGGGTATCGCAAATCTCACGGATCTGGATCAACTGGGAAGCCCGCTGAGCGACATTGCAACTAAGGTAAACACATAGAACCACATACGACAAACCATTCTCATTAATAAGCGAACCAATACAAAAATTTGAATGATAGAAAACCGAAGCAACAACTTCGGGGGACCAAGCCAGAACCAGACCACCAGAACCATTAAAAGCATCAACAAAAAAACATTGAGCCGACTCGAAACCTAAACCCCTCAAACGACGGGAAACTACGCGCCTGGACGACCTCGTTTCAGAAAAGAAAACAAGGTCCGGCTTATTTGACCGAACTAAACTAAAAGCTGTTTGGAAAGTGAGGGATGGCCCAATTCCTCTCACATTCCAGGCCAGAAGCCTCATTTATCTGCTTGGGGCCACTCTTGGCTGGCTTCCTCCACCACTACAGCATTACCAGTCTCAACCTGGTCTTCCACAAACTGCCTCTTAGGAGTAGGACTATCCGCAGACATCCCATCCATCTCGTGTATTGACCTCTTCCGAGTGCCCTCTTCCAGGTTTGATCCATACTCATTGAGCTTAAGGACCATTTCTTCTTCCGCAAGCTCCAATTTCTCCTTGTGCTCATGGAGCACTAAACTCTCCTCAAACGCTGCAACCACCTTCTTAACTTGGCCAGACTGGACCGGTTGCTCTTGCTCACCAGCCAGACGGCGATTCTTGACCACAAAGCGAAGTTCATCCTCTTCCGACTGAGAATCATCAGAGAGAGAAGGAGCCCCCACCTTCTGATCTTCAACCACCGATTTCCCAGAATCCACCAGCGCTCCCTCCACCTCTTGACTTTTAATGCAAGGAGCAGGGGCACTATCTTGAATTTTAAGGCAAGGAGCAGCAGCACTCGCCTTGACCTTCTGGGCCCCAGTCTTCTTACCAATCCGGGTTGGTTTCACCCGTCGGGCTGCTGGGCTCTCCTCTTCTTGGCTGGGCAGCGAAGGGGCCTTCTTCTTCCGGGCCGGGCGAGGAACAGGCTTATCCTGGGCCAGGCCTGTCGGTAGCTGACCAAGCCCAGGCTTCACCAATTTGCGCCCTGTCTTCTTCCTGCCGCAATCGTCCCCCAGCGCCGGATCAATTTCCACCCGCGAAGGAGGCTCAAATTCATCCTCCATATCCTCCAAAATAAGCCTCCTCCGATAGGTGGCAGAATGCTCAGTCGTGCTGGCCTTGGGTTCCACCGGTAGGTGAAGATCATCACCGCCAGCGATTGCCTCAGAGACTTCGACAAACATCTCAGGCAACTGGCGCTGGTGCTGTCGGCCCGCCCGATCCCTCGCATCATCAGTCACCTGTTCGGCACCTCGGATTGGCGTCTGCCCCCGAGTTCCTTTGTCCATCACCGCGCGCCCCGGACGCCCAACTCGGCCAAGCTTTACAGAGGGCGAACGAGCAACTCGGAAGCCACGAGGACTCATTTTTAGCTTAGTCCCCAGCTGAGCAGGAGGATCAACGAACCGCGGGGAATTCAGGTCTTGCCGAGGCAGATTTTGGAAAGACGGTTCCTGCAGCTCCCCACCATGCGCGAAGCTAAAATCCTGCTTCCTTTCTTTAGGATCGCGGTAAGAATTGTTAACCCAAACCGAGTTGGCGCCTCTTGAAAAGGTGGAATTGTTCTCGTCCGAGTCGTAGATACGAATCCCCAACTTCCTGGTGGTCATATGGGGACCATATCGTTCCTGTCGAGCGGGTGGTTCAAAGGAGCAGGCACGGAGCGAATGACCCACCCTTCCACATTGGTAGCAGAAACTGGGCAGGTACTCATATTTTAAACTCACCCAGAAGTTTCCGGTGTCCTCATTTGCTGCGAAAATCTGAGAGCGGAGGGGTTTAGAGAAATCGACAAGCGCCTTAACTTTCACAAACCAGGCCCCAGTGTCTTGATAGGCAAAGACACCAGATTCCAGCACCCGACCGATCGTAGCTCCCACCATCTTCCTGCCAAACTGCTGCGTACAGCAATCCTCTTTGACGTCCCACAACTGAATCCTGAATGGAGCAATTGCGAGGTCATCAAAAGTTTGTTTCGTTACCGCAGGGGTCCATGGCCGCAGATGGATAATCTGGTCATTAATGACCCAGGGGGTGCGCTTCAACACCCAGATTTTGGCCTCTTCGCTTGGCAGCATGAACTCAACCAAGCCTTGCTTTGCCAGCACCACCCTGATACGCCCTTTGATTAGCCAGGGGGTGATCACCGCCTCTCGTAATTCAGTCGTAGAGATCCTCTTCGAAGTAAAGACTCTGCCCAGCAGTGAGTGAGAAGCGCGATACTTCGAGGATTGGACCTCTTCCATCGAAAACTGCACCACCTGATCTGCAGTAACATGCGCCATGGTCCGAGTCTGCAAAAGAGAAGCACGCACCACCATATTACTTTCTAATAGTTCCACATTCTGAACACCCATGGCATTGATATTCCTAGGAGAGGGAACAACAGCCGCAGTCCCTAATTTAACTTTTATCCCTCCCCTAGACTCGACCCGAGGAGGTGGGTCAGTCTCCACAGAGAGTTCAATAGGGAGGCAGTGGGAGAGCGGAGAGTTACCTGCGTGGGTTGGAGTCCTGGAAGCAGCACCGACGAGAGCTGGTCTAGCTTGACTTCTATCACTACCAAGAGAGATTCTCAGGATAGAAGAGCTGAGACCCAGCCCTTTAAATAGAAATCGATTTGCCCTCCCAGGGATATCCACTTCCACTCGGTTGAGGACTCTCCGAGACCCTCCCCGAAAAGGACTCTGCTTCTGAAACAGAGGAGAAATATTTTTATTTTTTAAAATTCCAACAATTCCGGTAGAAAAATCAGGGAAGGATCGTCCCCTAACAACTCTACCACAGAACGCGGAACCAGAGAAACCACCAGCATCCATCACATCGTCTCCGGCGGCAACAACCAGAAAACATTCCGGTCGCCGGGGAGAAACACCCCTCTCCGGGGTTTTTATGTTACCCAAACTCAGGGGAAACAAAGAGGTAGTCCCGATCTTTACTTTCGAAGTAACAATCATGGAGGTTGGATTAACTACCATCTCCGACGAATCCACCTCATCCGTCGAGGGGATAGGACATTCCGGCCGCCCAAGGTTAAGACCCAGGGGGGGATTTCAGGTCCGAGAACAACCACTGGAAGGGGAGAGGTAGCCCCGATTGTCATTTCCTTTTTGACAACCATTTTGGGTTTAATAGCTACCAGCTCCTCCACTTCAAACTCTTCCATTGTAGGGATCCTAAACAACCACGCAGCTTTTTTTGAGATTCGCCGCCGCTTAATAACAGTATCAATGGAGCCATTAATTTCTTTTATGTATACACCGGACTTCCGTTTAGCGCCTCTTTGAGCAGGAAGTCGATCTCCCGAGGGAGTTCTAACAAATCTGGGGAGGGGTTTGCCTCTCCGGCGATCTGTACCATTCCGAGGCCCACTCTTATCGTCAAGAACCTTCTGCGCAGCGATGAGAGACGGAGATCTAGGGGTATATGACTCCCAAGAGAACCCCCCATGTTGATTGCGAAGACAGCTGATGAAGGTCGAGATTAACACCGAGCTCAGGATTTTCCCTGCCCACCGGGCAAGGTACAGGAGAAAGGAGAGAGCTCTCCTCATCCCGTTTTTTTTTTTTTTTTTTTTTGCAAAGTTTCTTCAAGAAACATAAAACTCAATCTTGGTAAACTAATTAGCCTTAGGCCATGGGTGAAATGCCATATGTAGTCCTACTGTCGCTTCCTCTTATTATTCTTTGAGTTTACTTTGTTCAGATAGTTGTATGACAGCTTAAAATGTTTTCTATGTAGCAGATGTGATGGGGAAACTGGCTTATAGGTAGATAATCGAGACTGCCAGGGAAAAGCTCGGGTTCAGTTGCTTGCAGGAAAAGGAGCTGACGCCCCTGATGTATCACGAAGAAGGTGAGGAGAGGGATGAGCACACGTTTTGTGTGGCTAGGACTTTGTTGCTGGCATTGGGTATCATGGTAAGGAATAATCTATGCAGTTTGGGGTTGCTAAAATGTTACTCATGAAGATAGTTAGTTATAAAACTGATGCATTCATTTGAAGAAAACGAATCCAAAAGAAAAAGACATTTAAGTTGCTACAGTCTGCAGATGACACTGAAATCTCCACCTTTAGTTAACTGAGTCTCTTATTTCCCATATGAAACGTTGCATTTCGGAAGGAGTACACTGTTGGCCATATCCAGTTCTTAGGTTTTAAAATTTCCAATCAATATGACACTCTTAGTTCGCAGAGTAGTCTGTGATCATGCTTGCATATTGACATTAAGAACTTGGTTCTCTGAATTACTGAAAATTGTGAATGAGAAGAAAAATGAAATGCAACCTCTGCAGCAGGCATTGGGAATGCTCTGATACAATAATAATGTTCTTGGTGGTATATGCTCATCAGAGGAAGAGCTTCAGGATCATGTATATCATTTTAAGTAAAGATTTCCATGGATTTCATAAATAATTGTATTGATTTTCATTGCTTCTTTTTCTTAATGATTTATACTGCTTATCCTAGGGTGTGCTGGTGCAGGGAGTGGCATCCTGTCATCTCACTGAACAAGTTCTCAATGTTCTGTGGCTACGATTCATCAGCTATACTCTACCAGATTTTAATGCTCATTCTCTCTTAATGTCGGTTACTTTTTGTTATTAATTCTTGGATGACTCCCAAGTAACTATTTTATGTTTATTTTTTGTTTTGACTTTTGTGAACCAGGCTTCGCTTTCGCTGCAGAGAGATACTTCAGACTGGTTGCTAGCATGCTGGTTTAGCCTGGGGATGAGATTTCTGTTATGGCCTTGACAAAGAGGCCAGAAGTGTTGAAAAACTTGTTGATCTTTGACTTTGGTGGTGGTACTTTTGATGTTTCCCTGGTAACAGTTGAAGAGGGTATCCTTAATGTGAATTGTGAAGCCAGTTGCTTGAGACACTCACCATGGTGAGAAGATTTTGACAGCAAATTGGTCAACCACTTCGTCTAGGAGTTCAAGAGGAAGAACAATGAGAATCTTCCTATAACTTCTTTGCTTTTTTCTTGACTGTGATGTCATCCAATTTGGGATTAATTTCTTGAATTTTACATAGCTTCATGCTGATTATTTTCCTGTTATTCTTGCAGTTTATATGTACCTACCATGATTCAAGCAATTAGAATGTCAGGTTGTTTTGGTTGGAAGTTGGGTTTGTTTTGTCCCTCCATCCTGTTTGCCCTATTTTGTGTTCTATTCTGATCAAGTGTGTCTGAAAACAAAAAACTTATAAAATATTCTATATCCAGTTTGTATTCTTGATTCTTTCTTAACGACTTCTAAAGATGCATGATACACCAACGTTGTATGCCATGGAAGGAGTTTTTTTTTTTAACATAGACATCTATAAAGGTAGTAGTCACGAGTGATACAAAGTACAAAAGTAAACCAGGTAGTACGACTGTTGTCGAACTACCTATGAAAGGGCCGTTAATGCCACAAAAGGGCAGCCCTATTAGCAGCTAAACCTGCAAAATGGACAAACACATAGACTACAAAAGAGCCAAAAATTCACAAATAAAATGGACAAACACATCGACTGCAAAACGAACAAACATAGCCCATCTAGAAGAGGAGCTGGAGTGAGATAAGGATAGAGCCACGTGACGTCCCCACCACCACAATAGATACACGCGCCTTCACTTGATCAAAGCTGAAATTCAACGGCCCTGCATACCAAAAAACAAGAAGTCCAGGCCAAAAAGTGGAAAAACCACTATCCCCTGCACAAATAAAAAAACAACCACGTTGGGCAAATAGGCCCATGGCCCAGGTGGTGCTGCACCACAAAATAAACCACGTATCCATCTCCACTGTTGCCACGTCAAAAGCCCTTTCCTTAATGATTATCCATCTCACCGCTTGACCGCCACCGCCTGAACGCTATCGCCTGACCATCGGGGAGAAAGAGGACAGAGGCTGTCGTAGTTCCGACTTCCGACGAGGCCGCACCATCATAGAAGGCATGGCGGCGCCTCCAACGGCGGCGAACCATCTGAGGGGAGCGGGTATATCGATGTGCTGGAACTTGGAACCTAAAGCCAGACCAAGTGAAGCAGATGCAGGGCTCGTGCGACAGAATCTGCACAACACCACAAAAACGAAAACCAAAACAGAGCAAAACCAAACAGGCCAGCTAAATCACATACAAAAGCAAACCCCAGAAGCGACTCTCCTCTTGAGAACGCCCAACATCATAGCTTCGATCTCTGTTAGGAGCCGATGGACGGCGGGTCTTTGACCGGAGGGAATCGAGAGGAATACGGAAAGGCTTGATACCGAACGGCAAGTAGGGTTTCCCTTTTGGGGGCACAGAGAGAGACGAGGAGAGGAGAAAATGGAAAGGGAGACGGTGGGGGAAAGGTCAGAGCCGCGAAGCCTTGATTCTGTTAGGAGCCGATGGACGGCGGGTCTTTGACCGGAGGGAATCGAGAGGAATACGGAAATTGATTCTGCCATGGAAGGAGTTATATATTTGATGTTTTTGTTTTGTTTGTGCCACTGCCATAAATTAACCTATACAAACATTTTTTACTAAATTGATTACTTGACAGTTGACACTTGACACCCTCCCTTGCCAGTTGTCCCTATTCCCACCCAAATCCCTCAATGACTGATAATATACCAAAACCCAGGGACTGTCAAAAGGAAAGGAAAGAATTAGGCTTCCCAGAAGTACCATTGTACCATCCTTCACCTTCTCTCTGACATCTGAGACTGAGAGCATGAAAGAATTGTTTTTAACCTTCCCTCTCCCTGTCGAATCCTTTTCCCACACTATTCATAATTCAGTCACATACATCCCAAATTTCTACCATCCAAAATCGTCTCTCCATCACTCTACGCCATCAACTTCATCTTTTCTTACTGATAAGCCAAACTTCCATTCTCTCATCCATACCATGGCTTTCACTAAGTGTTGGATGTTGCGGTATTGGTGAATTGGTTTCAAACTTTTAAGCACAATCTAATGATAAATGTCTTGATTCTCAACCTATACTACTCAATACTCATTCTCAACTACAATATGATCTCTTTATTTGGTAGTTGGAATTTGTAGCTTGAGATTTAGTTGTCTTTTGATGTTCACTTGCTCTTTTTTCGCATGAGATGTTTAGAGTGCAATATGAATGAAGGAGGATTACTGCCTTCAAAGACAACTTTTTTACAAATTGAAAGAGGATAGTTGGAGGAAGAGGAACAAGGAAAAGGGAAGCTACATCCTTCTTTTCAACTTTCGGCTTGAAGCATGCCCAATTGATGTGGGGGTTGAGAATTTGAGCCGATCTATTTTGGTTCCTTTTTAATGAACTGTTTTACTAACTTTAGTAAGATGGGTATGAATTGATTTAACATGTGATATTAATGAATTTTATTTGTAAAAGATATTAACTTCATAATCTAATGATGAATAGAGTAAATGCATAAGATTTATCTAACTTTAAAGATAACTCTTTTGACAGAGTTTAATATGTACTGATTTATGTTTTGTGAATAATTTTTATGATATATACTTTATGTTTATAATTTATAGTTATTTTGTGTTATAATTATCGTGTTTCTAAAATATACTATACAGTTCTAAACAAATCATGTGGCGTAGCCACGGGTATTGATTCTAGTTACAAAATAAATGCTCAGTACATGCAAGAATTGAGCTCCCTCTAAGATTTCCGTAGACCACGCAATCAACAATGATCTGAAATGCAAAGTATATCATGAAGCAAAGTCTACTTACAGCATTCTGAAGGAACTATTCAATAAAATTAACGTGTCTATTAAAGCCATGGATGTAGATCAGAACGAACAAAAGATGATTTGGTAACATGGACTTTGAATAAGCAATAGATCATTGTTTACTCTAGGGGTTCTCAAGTCCTGAACTACTGCATAATGAACTCCCATTACAATGAGTGAACCTTGCTGGAATAAACTGACACCATATTAACAACCTCCAGTTGCCTTCTAGGAGCCGTCATGCCATCTAAGAACTCTCAACTTCTCTTCCAGGATCTCAAGACCTGAACTACTGCACAATGAACCCCCATCACAATGAATGAACCTTGCTGGAATAAACTGACACCATATCAGGTTGCCTTCTAGGAGACATCATGCCATCTAAAAACTCTCAAGTCTGCATCTTGCTTCCAGAAAAAAAGAAGGAAGGATAAAGCACGTCTCAGATTCTAAACATGTAGAATCCACGGGGCAACTAGTTACAAGCGGCGACCAGCAACGAATTAATGGGTTTTCCGGGGAAAATCTATCCCTTCGTCTTCCTCAGAACCCTACTAATTGGGGGCAACAGGAGAAAACTCAAGCAAGCGGTAGAGAAATTCGAAACCCTAGAAGGAAGAGTATGGGACTTTACTTACTTCTCTTCACTGCCATTCTTGGAGAGAGAGACGAGGAAGACGACGTTGTTGGGTGAAGGGAAAATGAATAGCAGAGCATCGGTTGGTATTTATAGATCAAGGCGGAGCTTTGAAGGCGGTTAGCTAGGACACGTTTCACTTTTTCCGTTTATAGCCGTTGGACGCGTTTTGCTATTTTCGTGTACGGTTATTTAGGGCTGTCAGTTCGGTTGCCGGTTAGCGGCTAACCGGCTGGTCTAACCGAAAACCGTCGGTTAGCGGCTAACCGAAAACCGAAAAAAATGGGTGTCGGTCGGTTGTCGGAAGCGTTCAGTGGTTAGACGGTTAGCCGAAAAACCGAGGCCGGTTAACCGGCTAACCGACGCTAACCGACCGACACTAAACGACCCCGTTTTTGGCCTAAATAAAACTACCCACATGGGGCTGGCCACCTCTCCCTAAACCCTAGCAGCCGTGAGTGAGAGCCGCCCCCCATCCTCCCTCCTCTCGTTCCTCCATCCTCCCTCCGACGACGACTCCGACCGCCCTCCCTTGCCTCCTCCTCCCCCATCCTCCCTCCGACGACGACTCCGGCCGCCCTCCCTTGCCTCCTCCGCTACCCCTCCTTCCACCGCCACCACAACTTGATTCGACTCCGAGCCACCTCCTCCTCCCCGGCGACCCACCTCCTCCCCGGCGTCGCACGCCTCGCCGCCCGTCGCCGCGCGCATCGCCGCGCGCCTCGCTTCCGTCGTCGCGCTCCTCGCCTCCCGTCGCCGCGCGCCTCGCCGCCTCCCGTCGCCGCGCTCCTCGCCGCCCGTCGCCGCAGATCTGTTTGCATGGCCATGGGCCATGGAGAAAGAAGGTGAGAAGAAGAAGGAGGAAGGAGAGAGAACAGATCTGGTGGAGGAAGGAAGGAGAGAGGAAGAGATAAGGAAGGAGATAAGGAAGGAGAGGTGGAGCTTTTTTTGTTTTATTTTTTTTATTTTTTTTTTTTTTGTGAAAAATGTATTGTTTATCGGTTGGACGGCTAATCGAGCCTAAAACCGGAACCGACCGGTCGGTTGGCCGGCTAACCGTGACCTCTCTTCGGTCGGTGGTCGGCAGCAGTAGGAGGTGTCTCGGTTTAACCGATAACCGGGTTTTCAGTTAAACCGAAACCGACCGACTGCCACCCCTACAGTTATTCCTTGCTGGACACGTTATTCACTTATTTGAATTTCAATTGCCATTTGCCAGCTTTTATCGTAAAAAGGAATAATAATAATAATAATAACTACCCGCTGGAATTTTTGCCAGTGAATAAGTAGGCTAGATAATAATACCAGCCCAAGAATAGAAAGATGGTCCATTATAATATAGCCCAATAGTAATACCCTCTGCAGCCCAAAAGGAATCAAGGACCATCAACTACAATTATGCCAAATACACAATTTTTGAGTTTAAAGCAAGGTCCAATATCCCTATCTGTCTTAATTAAGCCCAATGTTAGGATTTTTTTTATGATAGCCTAATGTTAGGATTAAGGATGGCCCTTAAACGACAAATTTCAGCGCACACTTTACGCAGGTAATATATTGAGTTCTTTTATGGTGTGAAAGTATGAACTACGAGAACTGTATATTTTTTTATTACCATTGGTTATTATTTTTTTAAATTCTTTTCCGAAGAGTCCAGGCGAGAAAGATATGGGTAAAGGAAAAATGGTGGAGGTAGCCAACCCCAATTGGCCCCAAAATCCTAAATGAATGTCTATGTGTGGAATTGTCAAGGGGTGGGGAGTACATTGACATTCCAAACGCTAAAAGCTCACCAAAATGTGTCTAAGTCGTTCTTATTCCTTTGTGAAACTATGTCTCCTAGTGACAAAGTTGAGTCATGTCTCGATTAGGTTTTTCAGATTGTTTTCCTGTTAACCCTTCCGGCCTGTCGGGGGGTCTAGTATTCGGTTGGCCACGAGGAGCTTCGGTCTCAGCCATTGGCTCAGCCTCTTTTTTTATTGCCATTTCGGTCATCAATAATAACTCCCTTTGCTACGGTGCTTGTCCTCGATTTGTGCTAATAGGAGTCTATCTTTCATACGTAATCACAAAGCGGCGCACACAAGTAGAGGATCTTCGAGTTTTTACGCTAGATTGTCGGATCCTTTCCTAATAATTGGAGATGTTAATTGCTCATTGTCCCCGATAGAGAAATCAGGAGGGGCCCCATGGCGTATGGACAAAGCCCGACCTCTTTGGGACTTCCTTAATACTATGGGGCTACTAGAAGTGAGGTTTCAGGGTCCTAAATTTACATGGACTAATCTGGGTAGAAACGGTATCTTGATAGAACAAAAAGTCGATAGAGCCTTTGTTTCCACGAGTTGGATGTTTATTTGGCCTAACTCCTGTCTCTACCATCTTTCAGATAAAGGGTCAGACCATAGACTCTTGTGTCTCATGACATCCCCGGAAATGACTAGAGCCAAACGTCTATTCCATTTTGATATAAGATGGGCACGAATGCAAGAAACAAAACTCATCATAGCCTATGTCTGGAACCTGCCTATAACCGGGTCCTTACAATTCTGCCTATTTTATAAACAGCTCAGGGTTCGTCACACCCTAGTAGATTGGTGCAAAGGGGTACCTCAAATTCATCCAGATTAATTAAAGATCTCAATCTAACTCTTGATAATGCGCGAAAAGACATTATAGTTGATTGGAATCTGATACAATCATCGGAAGAAAGACTAGAGGTTCAATATATAATGGAAGAATTGTATTGGAGACAAAAATCCTGAGTTAACTGGCTAACAGAAGGGGATTGCAATACACCATATTTTCATATGATAACAGCGATTAGACGTCAAGCCAACTTCATTTGGGGATAAGAGGATTCTAGAGGTCTCTGGTGCACAGATGGGCACGAAAAGCTAAGCATAGCAGTAGAATTTTATCAAACCCTATTTCAGTCCCAGCTTACTGAAGGCATTGACCTGTCCAACCTGCCTTTTGAAAGTCTAGTTTATGAAGAACAAAATCGAGCCCTTATTGGTCATATCACACCAGAAGAAATCAAAGAAGTAATCTTCAGTATGGGAAAGACTCAAGCACCCGATCCATATGGCTTCACAACTGGATTTTATCAAGCTTACTGGGATGTAGTGGGCCATGATGTCACTCAGGCTGTTCTAGTTTTCTTTCACTCTGATCATCTCCTACGGTCAATTAATAGAACATGGATTTCGCTTGTCCCAAAAACAGCAGAAGTTAGGTCCATGAAAAATCTCAGACCCATTAGTCTGTGCCAATTCATGGAAGAGAAGCTCATTAAAAAGCTTCAAGGTTGGAAACAATGAACCTTGTCCAAAGCCGGTAAAGATATTTTAATAAGGACAACAACTACCAACTTACCAGTTCATGGCATGTCCTGTTTCAAGATCCCTAAAGAAAAATGTCGGCGGTTAAATAGTCACGTGGCTAGATTCTGGTGGGGATCAGCAGATAATGTTGATCACCCAATACATTGGGTTTCCTAGAAAAGTTTAGCACATAGTAAATTTCTTGGGGGTCTAGGATTCAGGGACTTTGGAGCATTTAACCAGGCGTTGTTAACCAAGCAATGTTGGCTAATCTGGAAGAATCTGGATTCTCTTCTTGCTTCAATCTATCAAGGTCGTTATTTCCATCATGGTTCATTGTTAGATGTCTCTCTAGGTTCAAATTCCTCCTGGGGATGGCGCAGTATATTGTTTGGAAGAGATCTCCTTCTTCAAGGGTTTGTAGCCTTTAAGATGGCAAGTTGGTGATGGGCAAGACATTGTAGCCTTCAAGGACAAGTGGGTAGTTTCAGAAAATCCCATCACTCCTTTGGTCCCCCTCTCGAATATAACTAATTCCCCAAGAGTCTCCTTATTTATTAAGGAAGGTAGAGGAGAGTGGCATATCCCAAGGCTCCAATATTATTTTGATCCTATAACGGTTGGCCTTATATCTAAAACCCCACTCCCTAGATGCCAACAAAGAGACACGAGAGTTTGGCATTTTACCAAAAATGGCTCCTATACAGTCAAAACTGGATACCATCTGGCTTTAGAAATCTCTTTAGTCTCAAGTCGAAAGCCACTAGTTCAAATTATCGACCCTCCTATCTGGAAGAAAACATGGGATATTCTAGTTCCTCCAAAACTGAAATTCTTCATTTGCCAGTGCCTAAGAGTGATATTACCACCAGTAGTAGCACTTAAGTCTAGAGGGGTTAATTGTCATATCCGATGCCCTGATTGCTGGAGAAGTCCAGAAAGTATTTAACACCTGTTCTTCAGATGCCCCTTGGCCACCAGGTTGTGGTCGCTTATGGGCCTAAATGACTTCATTGTCTCGGCCCCGACTGTGAATTTCAGTCTCTGGTGGCGACATGTTATGCTTTCTGAGCACCCCCAAACCCATGTTCTCTTATACGTATGTGTATTGTGGAGAATCTGGAAGTCTCGAAATAAGGTGGTATTTTAGCACTATCAACCTCATGCCCAGTCTCTAGCGCGTCAATGTTGTTTCCAAGTTCGTGAAGTCTCTTCCTCTCTGCCTTTAGTGCTTGCTCCTCCCCTTCAGCCCTCAAGTTCCCGCCTTCCCTCCTGGATCCTCCTCCTGATGGTTTTCTGAAGTTCAACTTTGATGATGCGGTTCGTGCTTCCGGTTGCTCGTCTGGACTAGTGGTTCGTGGAACAGACGAGCATGTGGCTTTGGCAGTAGGGTTTCAGCACCCCGGCATTGCTGATCCCTACCTCGCGGAACTTCTTGCTGCTAGGGACGCCATCTCCCTCTTGGTATCCAAGTCCCTTCCTCGTGTCGTCATCGAAGGTGATTCAGAAGTGGTGATTCGTCAGCTTCGTCAGGGCGTTTCTTCAGATTCCCTCGGAGGACCGGTGCTTCGGGATTGTTTCCTTCTCCTGTCTTCGGTCTCTGTCTCCTTAGAGTTTAGGGCAGTTCCCAGGATTGCTAACAGGGCTGCCCATAGAGTGGCGCAGAAAGCTCTATTACTTTCTCCTCTTGAGTTATGTTCCTTCGACTTTGTTGGATGGCTTCACTGATGTAGTGAGTTTGGAGGATTCTTGGGTAGATTGTATAGTTTTATCTATTGACATTTCTTGGGGGAAAAAAAGAAGTATGAACTACAAGAACTGGATTTTTTTATTACCATTGGTTATTCATTTTTTTTACATAATTTGTTTCTCCATAAACTTAAATGGAAGGGGAATTACTGCATATTTTCGGTTTTATGTTTAGTAAAAGTACACATGAATGTATTTTATTTATTTATTTTTGGGTCATTAATTTATGAACATATTTTGCTCGGATATGGCTAAAGTTTGGTAACGATATTTGTGATATACCGAAATACTAACGAAGCTCCCAACTAGACTCCCTCGCTCACTGCTAGCAAACCCTCAACCGTCGAAATAATCAACTTAATTATACATAGTTCATTCCTTCACTATTTGACAATGACAACAAATGACCAGTCTAACCGAAAAATAAACTGATAGAAAAAATCGAGTACACAAACTATCGATAGCAATATAATGAACGTTTTTTTTTTTTTTTTTGTCATTAGATCCAGTTCGAACAAAGCAACCCCTAACAATTATCCAAGGACTGCAGAATCGTACTCTCGAACTTGATGTCCCATTACTATTTGCAAATGAGAGAGACGATGATAAGGAGAGAAAGGAAAGGAAACCATTTCTCTGTTCCCTGCCTCCGCATAAACAGAGTGCTCTGTTTTTCATTTTTGAGCACACTAAAATTCTTGGGGGTTAATGAAATACTGTTAAGAGATGAAGAGAACTGGGGAGCATCAACCCAGCAATGGCGGAAAGGAAACAGAGGAATTAGTTTCGGCGAGTGGTTAAATTAATTGCCCACTTATCATCATCAGAAACAGAGGAATTAGTTTGTCTGTACAATCGATTCAGGGGCATCTATCCTTCCTACGCTTATGAATCTTATAATCGATGCATGAGACTTCATGCAATCTGCAACTGTGCTCTTTTTGTAAAAATGCCACTATATGCCTGATGGTTGATGTTTGCAGATGGTGCACAGTCAGGAATTTCTTCACCAATTCTGTCGGCTGTAGGGATAATGAGTTGGTCGGTCGGATGAATGAATGATAAATCATTACGAGATCAGGATACACAGGAGAAAAACTCTCGATAGTTCACAGTCTCTGTCTCAAACTCATACCAGTACTACAAACTAAAAATTTGACTTTCATTACAGCAATTCCAGTAGACATTACATTGGATCTAGAAGAACATGGCTTAGTCCACCCCGGATTAAGCTTCAGTGAATCAACTTCCTAGAAATTAATGACAAAAAAACTATGGCTGGCTCGTATGTCGAACCACCATCGACTGTGAGTAAATTATCATCATCATTACATTAAGCCAACTCAACACATGGCAGCAGTTGAGTACAGATTTCGCACACAGCTGCTGCAACTCATTTTCTAGCAGTAAGCAAGAAGTGGGGCAGTCATATACTCTTCTTCACAAGGGAAGGCAAATGGTAAAAAAAAGGATGCCTTGAGAGGGTGGAAGAAAAACCTTGTAAAGCAAAAACAAGAAGAGATTTGGTAAACCGCCGATGAGAAAAGAATGGTTGAAGAGCAGGAACTTGCACATACCCTAGTGCTACGGAGCCTATGATACATTTGTGAAAGAGCTCTGAGAGACATAATTACAGCTTACAATTAGTGGAACCAGGTATTCATGGATGGATTGATCAAGTTCCTCAAGTAGCTCTTCCATCTGGACCAGCCAACACAATCTGAAATTTCAACAAGATGTGTAGTGGTGGAGTTGGTTAATTTAATTTGATTCCATTACGTAAGGAGAGCTATAAAAAGAGAGCTGCTGACTTGAAAGGAAAGAAACCAACTTACATTGCAGTCGAAAGCAAAGCGCCTAGCAAGCATAATCGCTGCATTTCTGTCTCTCTCTGATTCAAAAGCTAGTACAAACAAGAGTTCTGTGTTTGCTTGCCAAAACACTGCCTGAGCTGCTGCATTTCCGCCTCCTCTCACTCCACAAAGCTAAAAAGAAAAAGCATGATATAGTTCTCCAAATGAGAGATGATGTGCAATGGACAGACTACTAGCATTTGTTCAGGTTTGAAGGATACCAGGCTTATTAACCTTACCTGCATGGAAGCAGAGTAGTATTCCTTAGCAATTGTAGTAGACCCTTTACAGAGCTTAATCCTCATCTTTCCGACGTGGAACACGTGGATTGATTCTGAAGGTTGATGTGAGCCATTCAACTGGGTAACAACCACCTGTGAAATAGAGTACCGACATAATCATGATACAGTACCCAATCTTCCAATTGTGAAAGCGAATACTCCATACAAGTTATTGTAGCATGTGACAATTCAATAAAGGGAGAAGCGTTATGTACTCTTTGAGACAATGTACCTTGAACTCTACATCATGCTTCCGGACAAGGGCCTCCACATAGCTTCCAAGGCCAGGAGCTGATCAGAAAGTGAAGATAACTCTTAGGTTTCTCGTATAAGCTAACAGTTAAATTGTACCACCATGGTTCTTTCAGTAGTTTAAAAAAAATGTATCAAACAACATAACCAGCAACGAACCAGGATCAATTGGACCAGTGCTTGTCAAAGTGATTCTCTGGTCACCGAGAGTTACTTCAGCTTGCAGCGTCCGTCCAACATCATACGGCTCTGGTGCATAAATTGGTTTTGTGGCTCCTGCAAGGAAGCAAAGCTAGTGAAATTTAAAGGGAAATTATTCCTGGTCCGAGAGCATCAGAATGTCATCTGAAGTTAGTGATTGAACCAATTTGCAGTCATGTTTACACTGTATTTGTCTCTTGCCCCTAAAGCTAGTGGTTAGGCACGCTGCTACCAAAGATTCTTTTTGCATTATTATGAACGTACCTGATATCAGCTCTTTCTTTCCACCTTCAGATGATACACGATACCACTGGATTAAACAATTAGTGAGTTCCGGATCATTGTTAGAGCAACAATTGATCCTCAGGTATGAACCTAAGGCTTCAGTTCCCTCTAATTCATATGGATGTGACACCTTCTGCTTCCCGCTCCTAGTAACTGCCAACTGCAATATGTTAAACAGAAGAAGATTTAGGAACTTTAACTAGCAGCAACTTTAACTACAGAAACAACAAAGACTTAACAAAAAACTATCATGCACATAAAACGATACACATATCAAGGTTTCCTAAACCATAAAATAGGCATCTCGAAAATGCGGCTTCATTATCTCCATGGTTATAGTGTGTCACTTTAACAATTTTCCAACAGAAACTAACAGAGACCAGTGTAGCAAATTACATATGTCCCCAGACATATAAAAGGAACCCTGGCAACAGTCTAGGCACTCAGAAGCTGAACTTACTGGTTGCTGTCAAGTTGGCTGAAAACTGTGGAGCAAACCATAAAATTTAGACCAGGTGGACAACATGCTCAAAGCTAGCAAGATGATCATACTTTTCCAATGCAATAGGACCATTACAAAACTAAAAAGCCAGGATATGTACAAGCCCACATTCCAGTCGAGGTTAACAGAATTTAACATGCGAAGAAGCAAAAGTCGATAACATAAGAACCTCTTTTTGAAGCTGAAGAGCACGTTTGGTCTTCTCAGCGAGCTGAGTTCTCAATGCTCGTAATTCGTGTTCCATGTCCATGACCTATAAATTCAACCAATTCAGTAATGCTCAATAAGAACAGATAAGAAACATATAAATATAGACCTCCCTTCCACAGTATACAAAACTATGCATAATTCAGAGCTAAAGCACTCAGCAACTGTTAACATTAGGTCTTATCCCACAAGAAAATTCCACTTACTTGAAGCATGCCTGAAGGGTATTAGGGTAGGGTGACAGCCAAAGTATGTAATGTAAATACTTTTAGATGGATAGTCCTAGAAAATTAAAGTACCACCACTGACGCACATGGATTCCTTCTCATAGAGCATGCAACTAGAAGTTTATGAACTATACACGCAAGTGATTTTGGATAAATCTTAACAACAATCCTGTAGGGATATGAGAGCAGAATGCCTCCAATACACACCTTGCTTGGCTGATGCAACATTTTGATCCTTCTAGCCTCTTGAACCTCCTTCATCAATTGTTCCATGTCCTGAAATCCAATAAAAAAACGTGTTTATCCAAGTAGCAATAAAGAAGGAGGACAACACAACAAGCTGAGTAAATTATAAACAAGTTATAAACACAGTGCTCTAAGAACTAAAGGAACAATCTCCTAATGCCTATTTGGACATCAACTAATTATCATCAAAGACACCCTTCTCATTCACACAAAAGGATTGATGGGAGTGGCGATTCGAGGAACGCTTCTTTCCATTATTAGCTATGTCGGTCAATCAGATAAAAGCAAAGGAAATTTATCAGGATATAAGTTTCATCAGGGATACATGGTACCGTTTCAAGACCAATTACTCTACAGGTAGAGGATGAGCAAATGTGTGCCATAACTCATAGCAATAGTCCTTAAAGCATTTAAATTCACAATATTATACAAGCCAATAACTTTTAAGTTAAAAAAAAAACAGACAGACCTGTTTCCCTGGCGTTTTAGATGTTCGTTCATGTTCTTGAAGGGCTTGTTCAACCCTCTGGACCGCAGCTCTCGCACTGTCAATTTCTGCTCGAGCAAAAGCTCTTTCCTCATCTACAAGCCTCTTGGCATCTTGTGAAGCCTGCAAAAGGATATAGATGAATTTTATTGGTTCAAGAGTCCACCTGCAACCATTTCCAAGCTGCATGGCCTGATAGAGGACCCTACAAGATGTGCAGAATGGTCCAGCAGAAGTTCTGACATGCATACTTTAGAAGAAGCAACAAACTACCAAACTCTCCAAAGCAGTATAACAAGGATCAAGTTAAAAGCAATCACAGTTGCTGGATCCAGTGTCCCTGCCTATGCTGAACAAGGAACTTGGAACTTCTCATTGCAAAAGATGGTCGACTATAGCAAAATTATAGATTAAACTAAATTTAAAGACCCCAGCAACAGAGGAAAATACAGAAACAAATTGTTTTATTTGCGCAACAATCTTTCGTGTATTTCTTACCTTTGACAGAAGGTGACAAGAAATTTTGAGGAACGAAAAAAGAAAAGGGAGTTAAAGCAAGTGAAGGACAGAGTCAGAACGAACTAGATTCTGACTTTAAAATCCATGAATCTGTGTAGTTTGGTTTGGTTTACAAATACAAGCCACCAGTTTAAGTGATCCTATGCTATCCAACTATGCACCCTCTTGTTGTACACCTAACCTTCACGGTACATAATATGAGCTTCCACAAAAGATAATAACACAAAGGAACAGGCCAGTCTCGTTCATGACAGTTCCCGCAAATAGAAGCCACCGAGAATAAAAGGTAATATGTAAGCATAGACTTTCAGCTATCTTTTCTTGAATAATACAAACCTGCTTCAGGAAATTAGCTAACTTCTTCACTTCAGCCTTTTCTTGAATCAACTCTCCCTCCCTTTCAGTTAGCTGAACAGCTAGAGCTTCCACCTGTAAGAAGATAACAGAAGATGGCTGAAGTGAACAAAAAGTTTTAGCAACCATCCTCAGAAGCGAGAACTTGAGCTCAACTAGTGGCATTACCATCAAGCGAATAACACTTCTTAATCAAAACTAACCATTTTGCAACTTAGCCAATAGCACTTCGTAATCAAAACTAACCATTTTGCCCTTCTTAATCAAAGCTAACCATCTAGTAGCCAATATCACTGCTTAATCAGCTCAGCTGTTGTATTATGAGGAGATATCCTGCAATCCAAGGAACATTTATACGGTATACCTAATTTAACTATCATCTAAAAGACGCCAATAGAAACTAAAGAAATCTGATGTTTCTATTTAAAGATTTTTCTGGTCTTCAACTAAAAAAATTGTTTGTTAGCAATCTACAACTTCCTTGCCATTTCTACCCTGAGCCTTATGAGTGATGTGCTAAGCTCCAGCAATTGTTTCACAGGACCCAGTCTCTACTTGCCATTTCAAACATAACGTCAGCTAAAAGTAGCTACACTTGTTGATAGTTTCCGTCCTTTCAGAAAAGATAAGAAATGTGTAGAGAATGGAACTTGATATCACTCAAAGTAACACAGACTTCCCTGTTCAGCAAGACATCTAGCATCCATAAGCATCTGAACATGACACTTGGAAGGACCTCAAAATCACTCCAGAAACACTTAACAACAAGCAATAACTTCACCGAGACATTAAAACTACTCCCACTAGTTCCAGAAGCTTGCAAAGCGCAGCTAACAGATACATGTTTTGTCAACCCAGGTTCCTTCTTGCTAGATGTCAGTTGTTTAGTTCATCGTAATGCTTATTCTCAAGGGTTAAAAGAAAATACGGGGGGAAATGTAACAAAGCCACCCAGCTATAACACCGAGCAGAAGCATGAGCAAAGGATTATATTGACTCGAGAATAGCGCACAGAAATGCACAAAAAGCGTAGCCAACTGAATAGTAATTATGAGATGAAAACTCACCATTGCAATAGCATCTTCCACGTCGTCCTTGTTTCTACCCGCTACACGCCCTCTTAAGGCCTCTAAAGCATCTCTCAGCTTCTTCAAAAGCACATGTTTCTCCAGTGAGGCTGCCTCCCTCAATCTAGCCTGTAACATCCATAATTCAACACACAGATGAAACCAAATGAACAGACCGAAATTAGAAATATACTTAGGAGCAGCTGAAGAGATCATAAAGAGCTGTCACGTGGTCACGCCTTCAGGATTAGAACAACAAAACAACCAAAAGCACCAAGGGCAAAAATAAAATGGAAGAAATTTTCACCTCTTCAGACAATTTAGCAGCAGCAGCCAAGCCCTTCTCAAATTTATTGGCGAGATCACGAACAGAGAGTCGCTTCTGCTGATCCAGCAGCTGAGCTGTCTCCCGGGCCACAGCTTCCTTCATGGACATCACTTTAGGGTCATCTTTCGCATCAATGATCTGATTGTTGCCTCCAACCTTATAGTTTGGGAATCGACTGGAAGCAAACATCACATCGGCAGATACAGCCGGCACCGCATCTTTCGGCATAGTATCTCTGTAATCGCGGCCAACCCTCGTCATTTCCCCCACTCTCTCTCTCTCTCTCTCAGTATTCACCTGCTCTGTTCCTTCTTTTGACAATATCAAAAAGTGGGGTTCTTGCTTGAGATTTCTACACACAAATAAAATAAGAAACTTGAGGAAGAATCATTGCAAAAGCGACTCGTCAACTAACTACAACAGCTCAATGTGGGTCAGCGTTTACCAAACGGCGATTACCTCATACACCCACCCACACAGTAAGATTTGACGGGAAAATAAACAAAAATACGAATAAATTGTTCAAGGGTTTTGTCTATTTTCGCTTAAATTATGCAGAAACAGAGTAAAGAAGGAAGCTTTTCGAACCCCTGAAACCCGGAAATTGTCCGTATCCGCCCGGTATTAACATGAAAAATCAAAAGAAACAGCTCTAGCTAGCAAACAGTGGAAAGGCAGGAGATAAACAGGCGATAGAACCCATCAAACAGATCGTGAGAACACAGATTAGAGAGCTGGAACCCTAAACCCTAAAACATCCCAGAGCTCGTATCTCGCAGGGTAGTGATAAATGAAGACAAAAAGGCGAAACTTGGAACTTACCCAGATCACGAAAGACAGACAGATGCAAAAGGAAAGCGAGCTAGAGAACAGTTGTTGAGATTCCTGGAATGGGAGAAAGAAAGAAATGGGCAACGGAGAGGAAAAAGGCTATAACCGGAACAGAGAATTAGGTGAGGGAACAGGAAATTTGAGTGCAGGGAAAGGGAAAGGAAAATGCAATTATCAAATTGGAAAACTTTAAACGGAAGAAGGATGAGAAGAGAAGAAGAGCAATAGAAGATTATTATGCAGTGGACTGTCGTTGCTTTACCAAAAGGAAAACAAAGCAAAAGAAAAGGCGAACAGTGGAGAAGAAAGGATGGACCAGGAAATGGCTATAAAAAAGGAACCCAGCAGACAAAGAAGAAGCGAAGCCGTCCCCGGGCTGCTAAGTGCTAATCAAACGGGTCTCTTAATTCATAACTCTCTCAAGTTTAATTGATTACAGACGAAGTTCATTCAGTACTATTGTTTTATGTTGGGTGAGACTTTGTCAGTGGGTGGTTAGAGAGAGAGAGCACTGTTATTATCAGCAGGAGATCATCATCAAGCTAATATAAATGTCATTTTTCTGTTAAAAAGTTGCAATAAAGGACAGGGGAAACCTCTTCAGTGGTGGGACCTGGAATTGTTGAGGCTGAAACGGGGAGAGAGATCCGGACAATGGCCGTTGGATGTCGATGTTGTTCGTTTGCGCTGTTGTTCTTCTCGTTGATATTGATGGTCGTCCGTTGGTGGGAATTTATGGATTGCCCTTGGTCGGCAAGTCGAAACATGATTTTGTGAAATCGTATTAGAGGTTCTATCGAAAAATAAATAGATTTTTGTGTACTAAGAATGAGATCTAACAGTAATTCAATTGTTTCGTATGTTAAACCAACTACCGTTTGGAATCCGACATCTGATGTTTTTCCAATCCGACCGCGGGAGGATACTTTTTCTAAAACATTGGTAGTTATGCATCCAAATTGAAAAGATCAGCTAACTGCAACAGAAGTTGAGTAGATTGAAAAAACTTAGTGTCGCCACCATTTGATACGTGAAAAAGCGTTAACAACAAAACATATCGACATTCCTACAGCAAAAGATCACTAGTACAAATCGAAACATGCTCAAATGATTTTTCCTCGGACCAAAATGCTACGATTGCTGATGGCAAACCACAGCCTTGCAAGAAGAGTCTGCTCCATCCACAACCCACATGCTTAGTTCTTCCAGTCGTTTCCTTAAAAATTCCGGACTCATCTCCCTCGACCAGTAAACCATCTTCTTACCCGAGAGGGCTTCGCTGCTGACACTATCTCGATCATCAATCTTCATCCCCACTGCTGACTCAGCAATCGTCTTAACAGCAATACCATTCTGGTTTAACAACTTCGCAAGTACTTGAGCAATGTTGCTGCTGTTCTCTGGCTCGACTCGGTTGATATAAGTAGCTACCTTGGCAAGGAAACCATCACCAGCAACGACCTTCTTAGCTGCAGAAGAGCTTCTAGCAAATAAGAGATCCAGCGCTTTACCGGCGAAGAAATCGTTTGTTGAATCTGTGAACTCGCGATGAAATATGTCGTCATTGACAAAAAGCACGTTTGCGTCCACTGTCCAGACGTTTAGTCCATGCTCCAAACACTTCTTCATTAGATAAGCCTTTACCAGAAGGATGTTGTCTTGGGAATTTACCAATTTATGGTCTCTCATATTCTTGCCAAGCTCATCAGCAACAATCACCGGATGCCCTCTTCTAGCAAGATCGAACAAGTAATCAGATGAAAGGCCCACCAGGACATAGTTCTGAATGTTTAACCTCTCAAAATGGCAGAGCAGGTTTCTTGCTATTGAATCTGATGCCCATACTATGCTCACGAGCATAACAGTATTGTGTTTCTGCACAGATTGAAGAAAAACAGGGCCAAGTTCATCCACATTCCTGACAATTCTTCCAGGCAGAACTTCCCTAAAACAGAAATCATACCATTTCAAGTTACTCAAGGGTTGCATTTCCAGCAAGTCGATAGAACTTTTTTCACCCAGTAATTGAGAGTCTGGACCAGCAGATTTCCCATAGTTGACACCGGTATCCCTGTGAGATACACTGAGCGCTCTCTCATGTCCAAAATTGGTGTATATGTTGAAATAGCCTCTAGAGTGTACAAATTTGATGAACCAAGGAGTCCAAATTCTCTCTCCTATCTTTTTGTACCATCCGTTTGTTACCTTCATTGTAGATAGCAGCAGACTGTTGTCAGCTAACAAGTCCAAGGAACAAGAAAACTAACAACTCTTGGAATAAAGGTGTGCAGCAGCACTTACCATTCCGTCGAGAAACGGTTTGATGCCCTTCACCTTGTGATCATCATACCACAACCTGAACTCTTTCCATGGCTTGGGAAATAGGATCTGTCCCCAAGTCCCAACTATCTGGTACAAGAACAGCCTGGTTCCCTCGTCCAATACTATCTTGTTGCCATGTTTACCTAGTTACCAAAGAGAACAGATTTACAACCCAGAAATGCAGCAACTGAGATCAACAATGGAAGAGCCTCAAAATCCTATGTCTTCCTTCCAAGGAGCCTAGTAAAACCAAGATCTTGGACTTGTTCACTATCAAACCATGGATTCAAGCAGAAAGCATAAGCAAAGGTAAGAACTTTAGGAAACGCAAAATCGGGGTACCTGGAACAAACCTTGGGCGCTGGAGGGTGACACCAAAGATCGAAGGACTGAAATTGGAGCTATTGTAGCGGTAATTGAGGATCACAGCTCGGACAAACTTATAGAACACGGGAGCAACCTCCAAATCGTCCTCCACAATGAAAGCAAACTCGTCATCGGAGCTCGGCCACCACGCCTCCAACCACTGCGCCTGAAGACCCACGTTCCCGGTCCGGTAATGCACGATCTTGTTCCCGAAATTCCATACGAACCCATCCACGAACTCCAGAATCTGGCGCGACTCGTCCAGCTTCCGATCCAGAACATCCGCCGAATCGTTCCCGGCGACGAAATGGTCGACGTAGACATGAAGATGGACCGTGTCCCCGCCGTAATCGGCGGCGGCTAGGGATCGGAGACATCGGGAGACGGATTGCAGGCGATTGTATGCGAGAACTTTGATGAGGAAGCTGAAGTTTGGAGCGAGTTGGGGTCCGAGATTTTTGCTGGAGTCTACGATTGGAGAGGAGATGGCTGGATTGGAGGAAGGAGAGTGAGAGAAGAAGAGGAAGAAGGAAAGAACGAAGAGGGAGAAGAGGAGGAGAGGGAAGAAGTTCCTTTTGAGAGGGCTCGCCATTTTGGGCATTATTATCTGGTCAGGGGTTTAGGGTTTGCTGAGAGAGAAGCAAATGGAGGAGATTGACATTTCGTAACTATCGGGAGGGTAGCCGGACCGGAGATAGAATAAACCGGTCGGATCTCGATCTTCGCCGGTGAGGTTTCGGATATCCAGCAGTACGGGCTATGGGCGTGTTTTCTACTGTGCAGTGTGCAGAGATGAAAGAGAGGGTAGACGATAGGGTTAATTGCTCTACTGCGCACTAATGTCTTAGGGTTACCACAAAATGGTCCTTATATTTTATTTTTGATCAGGACGTAGATTTTATTTGCAATAATTACTGAATCAGTCATTCCGTTAGTGATATGACATTATATTATTTACTTAAACCGTAATTTAATAGTAGTTCAACTATTTCATACCATAAAATCTTATACAATGCTATATAGTACATATATCAACTCCAATTAAAAAAGTACGAATACACTAGTAAATTTCATACTCGAATAAATCTCACAATAAACACTCCAAGGTTGGTGAAACTGTATTAGCTGTTTGATCAAAAAAACCTCCTATCAGAGCCTAAACCGGTAAGCAATATTTAACATTATAAAAGAATTGAACCACGATTAAACCACAATTTCTATATAAAATATCCTACTACTGAATTTACCGTTACAACATCCGTTTTACAATCATTCAACCCTAAATCTCACCTATTCTCAAATCTCTGTTACCTAAACCCACCTATTTACAAATCCCACCAGACACCACCAAAAGAGGCCTTGCTGTGTTCCCTTGAAATTGGAACTGATCTTTGCTGAGCACGATTAATCTCTTCCATGGCCTTGAGGTTTTGATTTACATGAAGAAAATTTCTTTAAAACAATTCATCTTTAAGAAAAAGCCATACTTTCAACTCCTTGGATTCCATCATTCATACAGACAGCAAACCATCCGCTGTGCATGGCTTGTGCTTCGTACAGCACAAATGTAGAAGGCATTACATTGAATGCTTTGAACTCACACGACTTCTTGGCTTGTGCTTCTGACTTCAGAAGCCACAACTCTAGCTTTGGAAGGTCTGAAATGTGGAGACCTCTCCAAGTCTTCATCATCGTTCATCAGCATCATATAGTTTGGTTCACGGTCTTGCACGATGCATTGCCAGATGCAAAATCATCATAATTAAAGGATTCTTGAAGTATGTTTAGAATGAATCTTCCATCTGTCGAACATAACTTAAATGCACAGATTTTGTATACCTGCATTCAATTCTCTGCAGATGGATAGTGGATGAAAGAGCAATCTCTAAAGCAAGTGAGCTACATACACTGTGCTATGCCTTGAGGAGCACAAGATAAATAAAAATACATCCTTAGCCGGCAAGCAGAAAGGGGATGCGTTCCAGCAGAAGCTGAACCATCTCTGACAACGATCCACTGCATCTCTTACAACAGCTTCTTCTAGTGATCCTGTCAACTGTTTGTTCAACATATAAATACAGATAGTCGGTCTAGGGTTCATGCATATAGACACTAGGCAAATATGTGTGTAATTGTTTTCCCGCTTTGTCAGGCAAATAATTCATTGTGCCGTCTCCATTGCTTACACTGGTTTAAGGTTTTCTTACCCAGATTCTCTTCCTTCTGGGACAAGTTTTACAACATGAAAGCATAAAATTCAGCTAAATTTTCGAAGAAATTATCTTCTTTCTTCCTTATGGCCAAACAAACTGAATTTCATCGCTTTGACTATTTTGTTTTGCAACTTTAGAAGACTTGAGGGTACCTGAGGTAGCAGCACGATCCTGAAGTAGTTTGTTTGAGGCCCTGCGGCTCCCTGATTGTTTGTCATTTCCCGTTTCCTTTTAGTTGTAATCCTTTCTGTTGCAAAACGAATGCTTTTCTTCTTTCAGTGAAAGCTAGTTGTATTTTCCAGGGCATATATGATTTCGAATTCTTTTATGCTTCACGGCACCATTTAGAACTCATGTTGACAAACACGTGAATCAAATTGCTGTAGTCTGTCTCCAGCAATGAAAGCATGAACTTGGTCATCAATGTGAACCCAACTGAACCCAGGAGTTTTAGTTGCCTTATTTAACTTCATCAGCTTCCTCACCGAGTTCGCCTCATCCCATTTCCCAGCTTCTGCATATATGTTTGAAAGCATCGCGTAGTACCCGGAGTGTGTGGGCTTCAGCTTGAACAAATGGTCAGCTGCCCAGCATGCCAACTCCATATTCCCATGGAGCCTGCATGCACCAAGCAAAGAACCCCACACGTTTGCATCTGGCTCCTCTGGCATGCTTTCTACAAATTTAACTGCTTCATCAATTAGTGCAGCCCGGCCAAGGAGATCCACCATACACGCATAGTGCATTTGTGTCGGTTTGATGTTCTGAGCCACCATTTCATCAAAGTAGGCCTTTCCCTCGGCAACCAGACCTCCATGACTACAAGCTGATAAGACAGCAAGATATGAGACTGAATCATATTGCACTCCGTCTTCTTTCATTGCTCTGAAGAGATCAAAGGCTATATCCAGTTCACCTAGCATTCCTCTTCCTAGGATCATAGTATTCCAGGAGGCCGCATCTTTGTTTGAGATTCCACTGAATACCTTGTCTGCAATATCAATCTTCCCACATTTGGTGTAGAAATCCAGCAGGGCATTACAGATGAAAAGATGTGGGTTCATATACTGCCTCACTACAAACCCATGTATCTGCTTCCCAATATCTAGTGCAGGCAGATTGGCACAAGCTGAAATAGCACCCACGTACGAGACGACGTCATGTTTCAAACCTGCATGTGCCATCTCCTTGAATAAATCAAGTGATTTTGAGCACTCACTTGTTTGGGAGTAGCCTATAATTAGGATGTTATGAGATACATCATCTCTAAGACTGGTGTTGAATACAGTTTGAGCAAGGTGTAAGCAACCACATTTTGCATACATGTCTGTCAAAGCATTGGAGACAAAAATATCAAAGTAGGATCCCATGCGAATGGTCCTTGCATGGATCTCTCTTCCAGCATCAAGTAATCTCAATCTTCCGCAAGCAGGGAGAACGTTGGTGAAAGTCACTGAATTGCCAATTTCTCCTGCAAAATGCATTTGTCTAACCAACTGTATTGCAGCTAATTGCTGCCAATTCTGGGCTAAATTGGCAATCAATGCATTCCAAGAAACCACATTCTTTTCACGCATTTGGTGGAATACATTGGATGCTTTAGTCGATTGCCCTGATTTGGCATACATGTCAATCAATGAGTTGGAAACAAAAATATCTGAGTCAATTCCATGTCTTGCACTAAACCCATGGATTTCCCTCCCGAAGTCCAAATTTCTCAGTTCAACCAAAACTGGCATTATGCTAGAGATGGTGACAGAATTTGGCTTCATATGATTGTCGATCATCGATTTAAACGTGTTCAATGCATTAGTACTATGACCCGAATAAGTAAGACTTGCAATGACAGCATTCCAGGAAACCTCATTCTTCTCCACCATTTCATCAAAAACTCTCCTTGAAGCCTCTAACTCCCCACATTTCCCATAACCATCTACCAGAGAATTTCCTACGGTAACTTGAGAATCCAGCCCAACCTTGACAGTATAACAATGAATCTGCATCGTCGTCACCTCATCTCCAAGTCCAGCACATACCGGCAACACAGTGACAAGAGTGGCAACGTTGGGCATAAGTCCCGACATCAAATTCATCTGCAGAAACAAATCGAAAGCCTCCTTATAAAACCCAGCGACAGAGAAAACGCCAATAGCGGTATTCCAAGACACGACGTCTCTCTCAAGCATTTCATCAAACACCTTCCCAGCGTCCCTCACATCTACACAATCCCCATAAAACAGCAAAAGGGTATTCCCAACAAACACATCCCAATCAAACCCACATTTAAATACGGCTCCATGAACCTCCAGACCCTTCTCCACACTCCCGCTATCCGCGCACGCCTTGAGCACGAAAGGGAATGTGTAATCATCGGGTCTAACCCCGCTTCTCACCATCCGATTATAAACTTCGAAATCATCTCTCACTCGGGCAACCGACTGAGCTCTGATGAGGGTGTTCCACAAGAAGGCAGAGAAAGAAAACGGGAGAGCTTCCTCGAATAGTCGACGAAACGTCGTCACCGGGCACGGGCGGAAAGCAGCATACCGGAGGATGAGAGAAGTGGTGAGGGAAAAATTCCGAGGGAGAAATCCGTTGTGGAGAGCAAAGGCGTGGCATTGTTGGGTTTGGCGAAGAGAGCGGGCACTGGAGACGAGGGTTCCGAGAATATCACAGCGACCGGCTGCTCTCGGCGTTGTATAGGCTGCGGAAGAGGAATAACGGTGGAAGAATGTTGTGATTCGTTGGGTTTGAAAAGGGAGATTGATACAGCGTCGCAAGTAGATGAGTCGACGGCGATTTGTAGCAGAAGCCAGGCCGAGGCGAGAAGAAGATGACTGTAGCACTAGCATAGGATTTGGCGGCGTTTACCCGACTCTGTTGTGCTCCGTCGGAAGTGGCGGGGAGAGCAGAGCGCGAGATTACTGGTTGGCTTCAAATTCTGGGGTGGCCGGCCGGCTACCTGCCTGTGCCTGGCCCGATTAATCAGTGGGCTGGGCCAAATTGAATCCAACCCAAACCAACATTATTAAATATTTGGATCAACTCAATATTGAAGGCCTCAAATCGAAAAACAAAACTCCAACATACCATGTCACCTTGCACGAGAGAGAGAGAAGAATCATGGAAAGCTGTACAGAATTTGCCCAAATGAGGAATGAGTTACAGCAAAGTGCAGGGTTTTGACTAAACGCATCAGAACTTTTTCAGACAAGAATGATAACAATGAGGGACGGTGACACTTGACAGTGTCTTCTAGACAATCATACACAGGAAAAGCCATTCAGTTTTGGCTTAGCTTCCTCAACTAGTGGACTAGTATTCTCAAGAGTTCTTCATTTGCTGTTTTCACCACCATCACCACTACGTAGCCTCTTCAACAACCACTTCCTCCGCAGTCTATCATCCAGCTTCATGAACATCTTAGCCCTCTTATCATCACAGGAAAGATACTCACAAGCATCAATCACAAGGTCATCGTCAAATTCCGGTATAACTCTGATCATCTCAAACAATTCATCCAGGTCCACACTGTCGGTCTTCTCAGCAGCCAGTGCATCGGCAATCTTGCCC